GGAGGGGAATGTTCTATTTGATTTAATAAATTTTTATATAATTTCGTGTGAAGGATAAGAAAGCGTCAAGTAAGCCCTTGAGATGTTCCACTATAGACATAAACCGCACGGCGGAGACCGCGGCGCCACTGTAACTCGATTAAAATACTATATATTTGTAGACGTCTGAAAAGCAGAAAAAGACACGGTCTATTTACAGTATCTTGTCATCTGGGTCATATAATGTTAATGGGAAATCAGCCTTTTTTGTGCCGCCCTGTGTAGACGAATGAATGACCTGATTAAAACCAGCTAAATCAGCGGTGACCTCCCTAAATTTAGGGAGTCTTGTTGGCGATAGCTGCCGCCTGTGCCTGCGTTTCAGCGTCCTTAAAATAGATTAGCCGATTTCATCATAGCTTCGACCGCTACATGTGCCGTAACACTGTCACAAACTACAGTAGACGGCGAGAAGCGACAGTGGACAGGCGTTGTAAAGCGGTAAAGCAGCAATGCATAACAGAAACAACGTAAAGGTCGCCATAACATCAGAGTTTTTGCGGTGCTGGGAGCGCAAAAGCCGGAAGTGGCAGGGAAAAAGTTGTCTGACCACATTTCAGAAAGCGAACTTCGTCGTTCAGAAAGAAGATTCATTGTTATTGGTACGGTAATTAATTCTGAAATGATAATATTGTCGTACAGCCATATCAAAAGTTACCTTCAACGGCAAAAAGATCTGAAATACCAACTCGATCCGGTTGGCTTTGAGGGATGTCCTTTTGACGGCCGATGACTCCGATGGACCGTTGACGGGGGCAGTCCACAAATGAAAGCCAAATGTTTAAGCAACGCTCATAAACGCGTCGGCCCAGGAATATCACAGACAAGCATACGGCGAACAGGAAGGACCAATAACGCCGACACAGTCTATTAAAGAAAACCAAAGCTTCAGAATTCGTCATTTACTATAAACTGTGGGGAAAGGACCAATTTCTTGATACAGAGATCTGATTGACTGTCAGTAATTGCCTTAGGGTCCGAACGACAAATTGGTAAACGGGAAGTGCATTGATTATGGCACGACCGGAAACAGTGGGAAAAGAAGCCAATAACTATACCTGAATTAAGAATCAGTTCGTTATTAGAACATTAGGCGTTATTAAATATCTAAGCGTTCGTGAAGCGCAACTATAAAAAAAAACTAAACTTATTAGTAACTTTTTTAGTATTTTTTATTTTATATCAGATTTTAGTATTTTTAGTATTAAGTTATACTGTGCCTAACAAGCGTCTAATGTTATTTAATATAATATTACCAAATAAATATTTCTACCGAATAGATATAACAATTGTTATTTAAACAAATGTGAGGCTCGTTAAACATTGCTATCGAAAAGTACCGTACGAATTAAATTAACGAAAAACGCATAATAAAAATTGCGAATTAATAAATAACTAGCTGTTAAAAGTTCTTATTTACAAACAAAAACACAAGAGCGCATTAAAATGCAAGTAATGCATTGGTCCAGTAAGGCTCTGTAAACAGTCGAGCTATCTATAATGCACGTCTGGTAACGGATAGATCCAGCGCCTATCCGGTTCCTATTTTTTTATCTAGCCTCAATGCGAAAGAACACGTGGAATAGGGAAGGGCTATTACACTTATCTAATTCGTATTGACTTCTTTCTAAAAAGTTCCACAAAACCCCATGGGAGAGAAGAATGGTTGGGAATAATTTCGAAACAATAACTACGATAACGTATCAACATTTTGTGAATAAAATTGCCTGCTTACAAGCTGACAAAACTCATTATCTTGTTGTAGCTTATTCATTTGTTTTTTTGTAGCAGATCGAAATTTGGGTATCTGTTGATCGTGCTCCAAAATAGTATCACTTGGCCGGGCGTCCTTGGACGTTCATTCTCCTAATTCATTTCTCCGTTCATTTTAATGGAGTTGTAGCTAACGCGTAATACTAGCAAGTCTAGTGGCATGCAGTTCAGTTATTAACCATTAGCGATATATTCATATTTATTGAATAGCTGGTCGATCAAGCCGACACGGATACGCCTAGTCGGCTTTCGCTATTGGACCAGAGATGATTCGTAGTGCGTCGGGACTGTATGGAAAAAAACTCGGTTCTTTTGAAACACGAAGAAAAGTTACATCGAACGTAAAAGGTCATCGTATGTAGAACCATTTCTACCGAAAATATCGATGTTCGCTTATTTGAGAAAATAATTAATGCGTCATAAACTCAAAAGAAGTCACTTATTCATTACGGCAGTAATAGTATATTGTTAGCAGTTTATAGCTGGACACTTTTATTGGAAAGAAGGATCCAAATTCATAGATATTGCCCTCTGCTCGTGCTCTTCACAAAAAGTTCATATTCAGTCACACATGGTTTCAGCTAATGTCCTGTAATGATTGGTGCTTTAACCTTTTTCCGCGCCCCTTCTTCGAAAAGCTGCTCTCGGGTTCCGAAACGAGACTATAAATCTAGTTTCTACGTTCGCTTGAAACAAACGGTGGGTTTAGCATGTATTTATTAATGTATCTCATAAATATAACTAGTAAGAGAAGTATATATAATTTTTGGGAAGACTGAGCGAAAACGTACGTTACAAAGCAAAAAAAAACATAAGAATTTTGACAATTCACTAGAACCAGAATGATGGTTTAATCTCTTTGCCCAGGCTGGGCAACATAGCTTTCTTTTTAGATGGACCAACACCTTTTGTGTACTTCTTTTGACTGAGTTTACTGAGTTTTACTTCCTAAGTGATTGTGTGCAGATTTAGCTAAATGGACTGATTTCTACACATGTAAACATGGTACATTCGTTCTTAAATTTGGGCCGGTCCAGGCGGGCAAAACAATCAGCCATAACGTAGTAACATGTAACGCCGAAAAGAATACATTAAACTTTAGGAAGTTATTTAACATCACTTAGGAGCTCTGCCCCGAAATACGACACATTTTACAAATCTACATGAAGCCACACTTCTACTATATATAAAATTATGCCATTAGCGCAGAGCTTGCCTCTCAGTAACGCTACGTATCTGTCACTAGTTTAGTAGTAGTAGTACTCACAGTAGGTTTTACCCTCTTGCCTCGAGTTCTTCTCTAAATGTTTTCATGCGAACGCTGTACTTATCTTTTTTTCTTCTTTTCTTACAACTTTTCGATGTAAAGAAACTATCAGCAGCAGATATTGGTTGTGTCGACGTTGTTTTGTGCTAACTACTGGTCGAGCGAATGATACAGCTGGAGGCAGTCTAGCTAGGTATATTATACGTGTCTCTCTATGCCGCTTCCGTTACCAACGTTTGTTTGTTGTACCGCAGCAGAACGGCATCAATGCTCGCCGACAGGTACATCGTACAACAGCCAAGGTATCGGCGGTCTGATAGGCTGATAGCGGTGATCGTACATGTTCCAGCTGATTCGGTCGAACGGGTTGTCTGTTATTCGATACAATCAACGTGACAAAACGTAACGGTAACAATGCCATCTGTACACGTATTCTGCTGTTTCATTTACTCAACATAGGACTCTCGCAGTGTTATAGTAAATGGTATATGACCTAACGTGGCTTACCCGCGTGGGTGTCGTAATGCCGATAAAATATTAATAAAGATTTGAAAATCCATATGCATACTGTAGACGTTTGGTCACAAGCGTCGATGTTCATTTAAACCCTCCAAGCTAGAATTGAGTTTGACCAACTATTCGTTTCGGATTGAAACATCTTACCGATAAAGGTTATTTCCATTTTATTAGACCTGGGAAGTGCCACACCTATATGGGTTCGAATCGGACTATGTACGAGACTCGCTGATAAAACGCTTCAGGATCTACAGATGTTGAAAAGGACCGCAGTGTTTGCTAACGGCGAAGTTGTCACCGGCCGAATATGGTTGAAAGCACAGAGTAGCCAGTTAAAATGACTCGTTCATTGACTGGCAATATCTTGGACCGCGCGATTCGCTGATAGCTGAAATTCCTTGCAGCGCTTTGGTCAGACGCATGTTTAAAAGGTCCGCTAAAGAGGTTCTGACAGCCGCAGTCACAGAGATCTTACTGAGCGTACAAAGCTGCCACTGATGCCTCAGTGCGTGAATAGATGAAAGACTAGTGGTGCTTGGGAGCATCGCAGATAAAGCAGAGTGAATAAAAGGTACGAAGGCGTCGTTCATCAGGAATACGCACACGGTTCACAGTTACTGTACTGCAATAAATAAGGCACCGGATCCCAGAATATCCTAGACTGAATCACATATGCAATCGGAACATGGGATCTAGGTTCTACGATAGATGGTTCTGCGGCGACGCAGGACTGTAAAACACTTATGGCATTTGAAATGAAGCCACTCAAGACTACGGCTTCATGTTTTCTACAAGGAATGCATACTTAAATGATAATACTTAGTGCGCAAGTTGAAGCATCTCTTTAGCTACAAATAGGGAATTTGAAACATATGGAAGTTCAAATTCAGCTCTATGTTCGAACAAACATAGCTATTGCTCCCCCCTAATATAACAAATCTCAGTAAATCTTTCTTTCTATCAGTATTGATAAGAAATACACGTACTATTATTATTCCAGGTAAATAATTTATTAAAAGACTGTATGAAGTTCCTAGTTCGTATGACAAAGCATGAAGATTAGGAAGTATTGAGCGTTCGTAGATTATATCCCTATGCACACAGAGAAGCAACTAATTGCTATATAAGCTCAGACTTTTCATTTCAGGAGTTAGGAAAAGATATAAGTGCTACACTCAGTACAGAGAAATGTCTATTCAAGTTGTTCATTGCTTCCATAACACATACATTTGGCATCTATTAGAGTTATTTTTATCACAAAAGGAAATATACGGATAAGTCTGTTCCTAACATGTGGCCTTACCGTTTGGGGCTGCTATATGGAGAATTAAGATCGGACACATTCACGGGCCTATCAGTCGATAAGTACCTATCCATTCGCTTTCTGTGATACGTTCGTTTTCAGTGATCGATGCCTCGGGGCGTCCATCGGCCGGTATGCTCACAGGAACCTTGACGGACTTCGGTAATTACGACGAATGCTTGCGCGTCCGCGTTCAGGATGATGACGACGGCAATGAAATCTACAGGTACACAAGCCAACCTACATACGCTTCGCAAGAAAGACGATGACTTTTCTCTTTTCTCCCGTCCAAAAATGTCACCGTTGGCATCTGCCAGCTTAAGAACAGTTGCGTACGTACGTACGTACGTACGTCCGTACGCACGTACGTATGTATATATACAGCTGTTATACTTTGATGATTGATGTCTATCCGTTTTTAGGTGGTGATCAACAAAGACTGAGTTCACAACAGTGTATTGTAAGATGAAAATCCAGAGAATACTTGCTCAGATAGCCACAACAAAATCAACATGTGACATAAGCGTCCTTGACTGTTAGACGTAGTGACGATTCAGTACATGTTATGTCATGGACACACTTCTATAACCAGTGCAGGATCAGTAACGGCAAAGGATACCTATCGCTTCCAAATTTTGTGTTGAATTCTGCCTTCATTTTAGAAACTTGGCGATCGCAGTATGTACTTCTAACTACGAACTTTTTTCGACCTTGATAGTGAGCAAGGCAAATATTCAAGTTACCATTTTGTTGCCTCTAGTTACTAATGTAACCTTTTTACTGTTTCAGAGGCAAATACTGCACACTTAAGTTCACCGCACCGCTACCTCCGAGACCTAAACGTATCCACTATGATATGGTAACAGATAGCTAATGCTTTTTGCCTAAAAATGAAGAAAGATAGATAGAATTTGAAGCCTAACATTTCTCAGTAAATAAAAACGTACAATAACCGCACTTCATTAGTTGTTATAATCCACACTTCGACTGGACCGCTTTTTACATCGCATACATCAAATTACGTTGTGAGAAGAATTCGGGGGAAATGAAGGTTATCCAGTGGCGTCAAGGTCATTGAAGAAAACAAATTATTGGTTCAGTCTGGCAGTTTGAATTTCGTGCGCAACCAGGAATAGTTTCATTTAGCTGGCTGTGTACCGATAAATTCAGGATTCGCGCCCACCTTAAACACATTTCGCACAGTTGCATCTGTCCTGCGACCGAAGTTGAATTGAGCTGACGGAAGACGCAGCAGTTTCACCATCGCTGATGCAAAGAAAAGATGACTTCAGTCACAACTATCCACAAGACGCATCTTTTACAGACTAAGGCACGGACATTCCCATCGAGCAGCAACAAGGTCCTCGTAATCATTACGTCATGAGACCAAAACGCAACAGCGTTATGTTTTGGTTGAAACATATGGTTACAACGCACATACAATATACAATGAAACGAGCATCGGCGCGAATTGAAACTGGCAATTTTGCCGGACAAATGCAGTATGATTCATTTGTGCGCATAGAGCCGTGATGCTTCTTCATAGCTAATTATTACCAACAATGTGCTTTCTAGTAAACCTATTGCTGCAGATAAATGTTTTTACTTTGCTTTCAATACTCTACAGGGTTTCATAGAGGATATAAGCTTTTGTGTTTTACCTCTGAAAACGCCCACGGAACGATTTTTAGCTAGTGTTATTTCGATTTTTCTTAGCATATAGATGCTTATATCTAAAATGGGCCAGTTTTTATATGCTTCAAGCATGCTCCAGTGCAAAGCTGTGTTTATACAGACAACATAGAGAGCCGAAAAACGAATGAAGTTGTATGTTAATGATAACAGTATCGTCACTATAGCTACAGAGTGTTTAAGAGCCTCCGGAATAGAGGAACAGTTCAGGACGAAAAAGGCATGGTTTTGCATTGTCCCTGTTTCAAACTGCTAATCAGGACTTGCCACAAAACGCGCTGGGCAGTAGAAGATCTGCTGCACTATGCTTGGACGAACTGCGGGAACCCTCTAGAACAGGTGTTGGGATTGGGTTGAAAATTGACTGAGCTAAGAATGTCTAACTCCGTTTAAGACAGTCAAAAATCAAGAGCTACACTGATTATACCTACATTATTACTATAAACCTTTGCTAACGGCATAGCGTTTCCGAATTCGATCACCATACTGGTATGTACGTGCGCACACGCATAAATATACATAACATGCAAAAGTTGATCGTTTCTCAATTCTAAACGTGGAAATGTCGACCTCAAGTTTCAACATAACTGGCAAAAGATTACGTACTTAATGATATCATAAAACGGTAAAACTCGTGATATGCCGCAGCAGTAAAAAGTCAAACTACACAGCTTCGAAGAGCAGTGAGTTGTTACGTGCTCAATGTTGAGCGACACACACTTGCCGCCTCAGATGACTAGCTCATTGTCCGCTGCTAATCAGACGACACCTTTATGCTACAAAAAATGTAATACGCGAAACATTGGCGTACCAGTAGACCGAAAAATCTAACAAGCTTTCGATACAGGGATCACGAGAAAGCTGTAAGACCCCGATCATCGAATTACTTTCTATATGTAGTCACAATGTCGGTTCAAAACAACGGTGTTCCGTCCGTCCAGGCGACAGCATTGCAGTTCGCTGCCGCCGTAATTCAGTGTGATGACGGAAAGCCTCTGTTAACAAATCGAGCTTGAGACACAGCAGACTAGCGTGCATACAAGATATATGGAATCATTCAATTTTAATGGCTATAATTGTGTTTAATACAATAAAATCGATAGCACCGCCACCAACGTCCAGAAGGTTCGACCTCTACTGACAGTAAGTAGTAGGCTGTAGGATTTCGTTTTGGGTATTCGCACATAGATATTTCGCCCCTTGCCAAAATGACTCAGTACAGCGTTGAGACGATACGAACGTATTATGTATATTCAGCATAACACCCTATTCCCTGTTGCTCGGCAACCCTTATCGATAAGAACTAGATAGGATAGCGGGTTAGGTGGAGCTTACGTTCATTTCAAGGTTCACTGAAAGACAACAAAGTGTATCGTGACATATACGAGACCCTCAAAACTTCGTCTATATATTACACACTAATAAAAGACGTTTTTGTGGTTTGGCAGGACATTTGGGCCACTCTGGGTGACAATCACACCCTGCCGAGGGGCGGACTACTCGAACATATGGCGCCCCACTCAATTTATTTTTACCATTTAAATTCACAGTTGGGTATCTGTATACCCAGCGAGTGCTCGAGCGATGACATTAAAAATCTAGCCAATATCAGTAAGTATTTTTTGAATTCAAATTACTATCAACGCAGGCGGTGGGAAAAAGTATTACATTTAACCATCCTGGCGCTTCATGAACTTCGCAAGAAAAAAGATGAAATTTTTTGAATAAAAATGCATATTTTTGGTGCGCACTTATTTCCTCTGTAAGTGCGTAAAATTGAGCTAACCAGAATATTTAGCTCAGACTACAAAATTCGAAATGGCTGCGTTTAAAGTGTAGTAAAGCTATGTGTGTACCGACCGAGTTGTCGATCTGAGAGCTGCCCAGCGTCATCCACTGCGGACGTTACGTAAAAAGCTATAGATCAGTTGTGTCACTTGCATTTTATCATCTTTAGCTAACTTCTCAAATCGCAGGGAAAAAGACAGAAACATGGATAAAAAACTTTGACAGACGAAATATACATAGGAAATTCGTTATTTCGAGCTGTCGAATTAAGACGAAAAGTTTATGGTCATCGAAGTTAATAGATATCAAAAGTTGAACACTTTAGGGATTCCTGAATCGTCCATAGGTCTATCCTAACCTAACATGACACGAACGCAGCGCGATGTGTTGTCGCCAGAACGGGTATCGCGGTCAGTTGGCTGGTACCGAATTTTGGTTAAGAAGGCGGCTGAAGCAACGGCCTGACATGTAGTCTGAGTATTAGCCTTTCATACACAAATTAAAATTTCTGCTTTTTTCTGTACGATTTGTGTGATTTGCCACACTAGACAAGGGGGTGTGAACTGGTCAGTGGTCTCATACGACATCTCTGCATATATACTATGGTGAATAACCTGTCCCTTGTTGTCATGGCAAAAACCTATTGTAGCCGGCACGCCGGTAAGTGCGCCTATATTCCTGCGACCATTCAAGAACAATATTTTTGCAGAATTGGTCATCGAGTTAAAAATTGTTTCTATCCGTCAACTCGTTTTTACAGAATTACCACCACCACCAAATAACCATATTTCTTTGTTCAATGAACTGCATTCTTCCGAGACATTTATAGGGATCTGTTTGAAACAACAGACCAGTCATCGTGCAATGTATCGTACTATTCAATACTATCCTATGTGTGATCCTTAATCAGCACAGTGTTGCTTTGAACATATTTCAATAGGTAGCATACTTCTTCGATAGGCATACTCCTTGAAAGATTTTTGTTTTTGTTTTTGTAAAATTGAAATTGTAGAGAAACGTGTTGCCATCTGCGCTTTTTGAAACCTACAACTCCAGAGCCAATGCGGAACATTATATTACCTGCGAAAATAGCAAATAGTTACTAATTTCGAATATGGAACGTTCGTAAACATTTTGCAGTGCTGAAAAGTATCAACTGGACGGTAGCAGTCTCCGACTGCGATGTCGACGAAGACTCGATCGAGGTTCGGCCTGGCCAAAAAATTGCCATGTGAGATATCATATGAAGTACCAATATGTTCGATGGCTAGTGTAACATGGTAAAATTTAATAACAGTAATTGAATGTTTTGATTCAGTGCTTTTGTGGTGACTATCCTATTTCATGTAACGGACTCACAGGTTCTTTAATAATCACAAAAACCATATTACTATTGTAATAATGATATTCGAAGTGATAACTTGATATTTGTTACTTCATTACAAAGTGCATCCGCTTTGGTCGTCGAAACCAATAGGCTTCAGCACATCATTTATGTATATATCTTCATTTATACTGTTACCGCCAGTTCTTTTTTACAACACCAGCTTGAATTAGCGTTTTTCTTTTTGTCAGAAATTTATTTCTGTGCAGGCGTTTATAGGTTACCATTAAACCTTTAGATCGACCAATAGCTCTCCTCATATAATAAAACGATAGTAATTAAATAAATAATGTTTCAAGTCAGACGACGACGATGTATCTCTATATCTCTCATTGTGAAACTTAAGGGTATGGCACTACTTTTCGAGTATACCCTGTGTTGAATAATCAACAATGAGTAGCGAATATGGCTGACAAGTGCTTGAGGTCGCTATCCTTAGAAAGGAAAACTAGGAAAAAGGAGTTCTTGCGAGATACAGTTTTTCCAATGGTAGGATTTAGCGTAGCTTTATCTATTATATATTTAGGCTATTAAATAAATGCATACAATGAATGAATGAATTAAATGTCATAGAGTGAAATAATCTAATCCGGATTTTATTTCCAGCGTCGCACTCGGCACAATGGCTGTACTTACTATTCTAGGTACTATTGTGACAGCCCTGTATCGGGTAACAAGCGGTGCCGACGAAACACACAGGCCCTCTGGTAGGATCATAGATAGGCTGCTACGATTATAAATAAATTACCTATCAGAGCTCAAAATATCCTCAAAAAGAGCCTCAAATTTGCTATAGGAAAACAGTAATCGAGTGGCGTAGCCGCTAAGACACTGTACTTATTTACAGTTTTGTTCCATAAAAAGTGAGCGCCGTTGGTGAATGTGGCCAATTTTTCCTATACAAATAAAATTTCGCTTTGCCAGTCGGTAATTTTTACAAGCGGAGATGTCGACCATCGAGCGCATCCCTAGCACAGTATTTCTCAATGTTTCGAATCATCCTTTTATAATAAGAACAGAAATAATCATTTATACGTAGTAGGTAAGAGTAGGCGGCAAACAACGAATTACAAACGGGTTATAAATAGTACTAAGTTTGCTTATGCGTCCTGTGTTGTAGGTTTCTTGATGGCATTTTTCTGTGCTTTCTCCGTGTACGAAAATTCCGTGAGGTTGTTCTCCACGAGACAACAGCCAGGTCAGTATGTCTAGAATCAATGTGCACACTGCAGCAACAGCTCTGCACACTTACAATTTACCATTTAACGAGGTTAGGAAAATTTAAACGACAGGTGGCCTTTTGTTGGGATCGAAACTCTATCATGTCACAAGTGGTTCAGCATCTTGCCGTCGAACGGATTCGTATCAACGTGAGCAGACAGCGCAAATACATCCATACATAATCAAACATAAAATACTTTGTCTTAGCGCCTAAAATAATCGATCACGGTGAGAAATATCGTGCACGGTCCTTTCTTCTACGAACCAAGCACAACAAAGTAATCGAAAGTGTTTTTGCCTTATCGACCAGGTACACTAAGTGTAATGCACGGAATCAAGTTCTTCAGCATATGCTGGGTGATACTTTGCCACGCGTACATCTTCACAAATCCCGAAGTTGTGGGTAATTATCACTTAAAGAAATCACTTTAGCCAAGTTTTTTTAATCAAATATTCTTTATTGTTTTTATTGTCACTCGTTAGCTGCCTGACGGGCAGCGACGTGTCTCATCTAAGCCAAAAAGATAAACCGGTTAAGGGATAGCTCCTCTTTCCTAACTAGGCCATTTGATGAAAAAAGCGAGAGAGATTATTACGCCACTGTCATTCGTCTGTTATACGATGCTGTCTATTCGTTCCTCAGCTATTAAAACGCTTTAGGCTGGACAGATTTCCAGACCAATTTCCAAGTACGGAAATATCGCCTCATTTTGTCCCAAATGTATCAGTAATTGCATTGAAAAATAACGTGCATTTTTTTGTGCTTTTTCGCAGTTTCTCTCCAGAATATTCAACGCGAGCCGTTTAAATGGTCATTCCAGCTGTTAATGTCTGGATGGCTGGCTGTCGACACCTTCTTTATGCTCGGGTAGGTGTCGCTAGTGCAGGACATTAAACTGGACGGCGATAGTCTAGGGGATAACGTATTTGCCTCCTAATATTACGTACACGCTATGGTGCAGCTTCGGACCTGGGTGTAAACACATTTAGTTTCGTGATGGGAGCCAGCCGTATGATGGACAACGATACCGGATAAACGGTTCGAAATATAGAGGATATTGGGCTATGCCGTACTCATCAGTGATCCGCTCGAGCTTAAGGATTTTACCCCTTTCCTACTACAATAAATCGAAAATGTGATTTTTTTATCTTAAATCGAATGGGTATCGTAACAGTGGTTGTGAGTGAAATACAATTACGTAGAATTTATCATACGATATCATTCATTGACTTTTCATTTGTAGTTCGTTACATACATACGTACAATACTTTGTAAAGTTGCCCCTTGGAGTGCGTACTTTTTGGATAGCCCGATTTCCTCTCATACGTTCTATGGCCGTAATAACATAACACTTTTATTCGTGCCTTGTTTTGCATTGTTCGACGGGACGACAGAAACGGTACTGTACGGTGACTTCGAACCATAATGATGCCGCCTGCGCTTCTAGTCGCACAGACCGCATACAGATCGATGCAAACTTGCAGATTTATTGTTTAGGTATATTATTAGTGAATTTGTACTATTTGGCTTAATACTATGCTCAAACGGTAAGTTATAGTTCGTTCTCAGTGTTTTCACCTTGAACATTTGTTTCGTGGTCCTGATTTTCCGCACGTGCCTTTGGCATTGCTGTTTTCTATAATTCATGATGTGATTATGATACACTGACCGTAGTTATAGGGCTGTTCATTGCGAGTGCATGGTTGCGGCGTCTGACTTCAATAGTGTAATATACGTCTTCTTGTGCTTGTTGCCTTCGTAAAGCCTATGATCTGCGTTTTTTCGCTATTTACTGCTATTGGGCTATCTTAGCAGCGCATAGGGGAATCGAACCTAGAGTTGATGAAGGTGATCTGCTGCTATCATACACGGGTCATCTGTAAACATGACCTGATATATAACAGATCTTTATTTGAAATAACCCAATCCTCATAAAATCGCTATTACCGAAATTTTGTCGTTATTTAATGTATTTAAGGCATACTATATTCTAGCCGGATAGATTTCGTTGACTAGTTTCTGTTATACTTATTGCTGGCAGGATCGTTTCGCTGATAAACATCTAGTATATTCATACTATAGTATAGTATATTACGTCAGATATATGTCAAACAGGAATTTTAACTAAGATCAAGTTTTTTTTCTGTTTCTACCTAGATATACTGAATCTTCAGAAGCGTTTAAAAGAAAAATGGAGAAATTCTATTTCATTGATCAAACAGAGTAGCTTTATGAGTATTTTGAGACGAATCATTTCTCAAATTAAATTCATTTTAAAGACCAAATAACTCTTCAGTTCAAAACAAACTATATCGGATTCTTCATAGCAGCAGACAGCGACTGATCAGTCCTAGGACTAGATGAAATGCTTGGGGTGATAAAAGGTTTTGATAGGGACAGGGCCTCATTGAGAATAAGTTTTAAGGCGAACAAGATCGGTTCGATTTTTAAAACTTGTGTTCTTTGTAGCATGCTTGGTATCAGGCGCGTTAGCACTGAAATAAACGGTTAACGCCTTAACGTGCCTGGGCTTTCGAAATAGCTTCCTGTTCCTTACGGTCGTTAAAAGGTTGGCCGCATCAGCATGTTGATTGTTTTCAGCGCCAATCTCGTAACGGAGCCCAAAAAAATTCTATCAACATGGAGTTACGCAACTGGTATAATTTGTGTTTTTGTTTGGACAAGAAAATCCATGAAAATTTTCAACGGTTTTCTTGATGTCGTGCGCCATTGTTTCGTGGGCTTAATGCATGTTTACGGTGGCTACGGCCCATAATCAGGCCCCTTTAGAAACTCCTAGCACCGTTCTATTTATTTTCTGCACTTGATGCAATCAAACCATCGTTAGCGACCTTCTACCGAAAATTTCTGTAATATGCATAGGCCTTTTTTTGTTGAAAACGGCCTGAAAACTATTGGCAGTGTTCACAGTTCTAAATGTGCAGGGCACATTTCCGTGAAACTCTCCTCTGCCCCTGTAGGTTTGTTGAATAATTTAAATATAAACATCTTAGCAATGATGAAACGCACTGTGAAAATCTGAACATTCGTATTGCAGTTAGCGAAGAAGTAATTAGATTACTTAATAAAACTGAGTTTAACTTGATAGGTAATATTGAAGTGCTTCCAAACGTGTTTTCCTACGAGTCATCCTCAGAAACTTAGCCACGGCTCTTTTTGTTCGTACTCAGATAACTCGGATCTAATGCATTTACAATTGCTTTGCATAAACATTATGTATTTTAGGGCGTTAACGTTAGCTTATGGCAGTATGAAGTACATGCAACAACATAACGGAAAACTTTCAATCTTCATGTACTTCTTCCACCGTCTTTGGAGACTTGTGCCACCGCTGGGATTCTCGATTTGTATCATGGTAATAAACGGATGGTTTAAGAGCCGATTTCAGTGTACACAGTCGTTCAGCTAGCTAGTTAGGACAACAATAATTTCGATCGATTCTTCAGTTGTTATAGCCGGAACAATTGGAAACCACCGTCACTCTAGCACACACCGCGCGCTGCACTCTTGTTGCACGTTGTTGAAATTCACAAGATTGACCGGCAATATACTTGACATTTTCTAGTACTTATTATTTATATTACATTTGCTATAATCACTGCGAATGACTTTCAATCGGTTTAGAAGTAAATTAGCAAATTAGGACACGTGGACGATCTGTACATTATGAATCATTTGGATTCCGAAGAACGATACTAAAAACATAAAGCACAGCTTTAGAGTCATTCTGAGTTGTCAATGACCCTTATTTTTGACGAGACATTTACGAATACACGACCCCAACACATATCTATTGCCTGTCAGAAACTATCAGTGAAATATACATACTGCAAGGTGGAGTCCATAAAGTGGAGATATAAGCTACTTGTACAGTTTGATCATTCGAAACGCTAGACTCTAACTCGAACTGCTCTGATCTGATCTTGACTTGAGGTTGTTCTACCCTTACTCGGGCGGGGTCCTCTATGGAAAAAGATGGTAGAGTATCAAGGTTTGAAGTGCGAATCATCGTGGTGGCAGACGTTGCTCTTCATCGCCAACTGGTCAACGAGCTACGAGACTCTCGTAAGTTCCATTGATACGAGCGTTGTTATTTCGTTTTTTCTTTAGGGAGCCTTGTGTTAGGATCTATTGTGTCAAACACGTTTACAGCTATTAATATTGTTATCTATATGGTGCGTGTTTGTGCTTATTAGTGTTTAGAAACGACATGGTATCTTCAGTGTGACCTTCAACTATACGCTACTGCTTTGTTGGTCATATTGCCGATGTATCGTCGACCGGCCCTTGCCACTTTGATTAATATTGGTATGTACAGTATACACAATGTGGTAAATTTTTAGCTCTTTCTTAGGACCCCTGGAAAAGCTATCGCAACAGATGTTCCTATGAAGCACGCTGATGTGCTGTATCAATATATATGTCAGTATGAATGTAAGGTAGTAGAACATTGACAATCACTTACTGAAATATTAATTAAAAATTTGCAACGAAAAAAACTCATTTTTATAGCAGCTTATAAGTATTTGTAAACCTCACTAATGAAGTAGTGTGCTCTTGGAGAAAAAATAAATTACGGTCTTTTATTGCATCACCCAGAGAGAGTCGAGCCGTACATCCGAACTGTTTCTTTTTGGAGTGGATAAGCAGTTGGTGTTTCCAATTTTCAGGTTTGCTGCTAGTAAGCATCGCCATATTCATGGTTGTTGTTATCAAACACGACTTTCCACCGATTATGATTTTCCTCCATCCCGATATTGAGTGAGTACTTTTTTTTATGAAAGGGGTAGCTATAGCCAAGTAACTGTGTGGCCCTTATTTCCAAAGGATACCATCTGGATAGATAGTTATCTCAGGAGGGCAAATAACGCCGACATTACTGTCCGAAGCTGAGGCGTTGCTAGGCTTGTCTTTATTTCTGCCTTGCATGTAATGAATCTTTTATGTAAATAATTGAACAAAGAACATTTCGTATTTAATTAAGTGTTATAACTTTCCTTTAGCTACCTCCATTGCGTGAGTTATGAATATTTCACTTCACACTGCATAAATATAAGTAAATAATATATAATAGTAATAATATATAAATAATATATAATAGTAAATAATTAATTTCGAAAACATGGTTTCATGAATTACAACAGTTCGTCAATCTTACGCTATTGCTAATATGTATTACAGGCTAATCAAAGAAGAAGCTCATATTCTCTACTACAGGCCGTACACTCATTATGGGCCCTATGCGGTCGGCCTCTTTATGGGCTATCTGATGTTCAAGACGCCAAAATGGAGAACAAATACCCTGCTTGTCGTCATCGGCTGGATTATAGCCATGGGAGGGCAATGGGCTATCATATACGGTTAGTAGCTACTATCACATGTAGGCGGTATTTTATTTTGAATTCTGCTTCATTTTCACAGAATAGTTGGTCACCGGCTAGTATGACGTCCAGATGTTTTTCTTTTCCAGGCAAAAAAATATATTTTGGTTAAATATCAAGTCTAAAGTCAGACTTCAATAAACGTCATCGAAAAGTAATCGTTGTCTCTTATTTTCTATTCAAATATAATTGTTTTGTAATAGGTATCCTTCCGTGGCATCATCGTTATGACAGCCTCGGTCTTCCGCAGTACCTCTATGCGGCTACTCACCGAACATTGTGGTCCATCACCGTTGCCTATATCGTATGGGCAGTCCATTTCGGGTGCGTACATCTATATGTACGTATACATATATGTGCGTATAGAAACGTATGTAGATATGGACGACGTTATAAATTGAATTCATCCGGTACGGTGTCCGGATATAAATAAATAATACCCTCCCAAAGGGCTTATGGTTAAAACAACAGGAAAAACAAATCTTAGATGACTGAAAGAACGGCGATGTGCTATTTCAGCTATGGAGGATGGATTGGTCAGTTCCTCACGTGGAAAGCGTTTGTTCCCCTTTCTAGGTAAGTAATGCCCACAGTTATCATCGCCATAAAACAAAAGGTCACCATAAAAAGAACTTTCCTTATTTATACAAGTTGTACAGTGTGTTCCGCTGGCAGAACTTGGAGGAGCGACCTCTGGCAATAACAACCAGAAGTTCGGCCGAGCGGGCCACGGCGTCGATAGTAGCCCATTGCGATCAGCAGCCTTGATGTGTAGTTACCTCGAGGGATTATAATCAAAAGATTAAAGCAAATAACCCAGGGATTTCCTAGGTGAATAGCAAATTGAGCCAAGATACTGTGAACGAACACCTAACAGATTTCTTTCTTTAGGAAAATCTTAAAGCAAACTTTAAAATGGTGTTCTGTATTTAGTGTGGTTGATCGAGTTAAAAGTATCTATTCGTCGATAATACCGCCGTTAGCAGAATTATCCCTCATCAACTGATATTTCGTCCTGTAAGATTTTCATAAGGCTTACTATGATTAACTTCCTGATGCCTTTTTATGCCACAGACTGGTGTTCATGACGTACCTGGCCCACCCGATTGTCATGTATTACAAACGCGGAGCTGCTAAAGAAAGGTTTTATTTGAGGCACTTTCCTGAAATGGTACGGAAATAACATCTTATTTCTCGTAAAAATCGTTTATTATCAAGTTACGTAGCCACATAATGATATGACTTTAGAAATTATGTATTTTATCTTTGGCTGGGAACCAGCAAGCCATTTATGCATACATAAGAGTGAATTGTTTCACCGATGTAGTTGAAGCCTCATTTTATTGGCGATCTGCTATTCTATCTCTCAACTCTATGAATAATTTTTAAATGTGAATTCATTAAATATCTGTTAACAAAATAACATACTTCTGCTCATTTGTCTCAATTTCAGACGTGGCAATATCTTGGCGATACTCTCTTTTCCTTCGGTTGCGCCTATGCGATGTCGATGATGTTCGAAGTACCTATTATCAACCTTGAGAAAATTATCCTAAAACCTCTACTTGGTAACTGTGATCTCTTAATTTTTTCGGATAGTACTTATAGAAACCCCACCCTCGTCCCTCCATCAACAAAGGATTTTGAGGGAAAAATAAAGATGTAAAGAAGCAGAAATTAGTAGTGCTTATAGAATCTCTTTTCGATTTATTCGACTCTGTCCTAACGTGAATATGGATTCTCAGGTGGAGGTAGTGGCCGTGACGGGCGGCACCGAATGGCAGAACGAACGAAACGCGCGAATGGCCGAGATCTCTCTCGGGTAAGTGCTTTCTAGCATACTAACTTTACCCTATATTGAGTGTTCTCAAGAAAAGAAATGCACAGGGCCCGAAGCGTTACAAGCGCTACATGTATGAAGTGGGCTTCGCAAAAATCATTATATAGGAGCTGACTAGTTATTTTATTTATATAGTTATATTTTCTTCATTATTAGCCTATAAGTAGCACTAAGCCTGTTGAACAAATCTGCGATGAAAGACACACCGAAGCTTCAATTACGAATACTAATGGAAATTTATCCTGTTCTAATAGAGTGAACGATCGTAGTGCAGTGCTTGAAGCGATAACGTTTGAATGTATTGTAGGTAACCCTAATGTTGTTTATACAATGAAGCCTTTATCGTTGCAGGTTTACCGTCAGGATATAGATATGAATTCTCGCGAATATCAAATGGATCAAATGGCCATAACTGGCTATAGAAGAACCATCCCTGAAAGACTGTAACGCCCGGATAGTAACTGATCTTCTAGTCGCCAGCTCATGATTAGCTGGCTAAACAAATGCTTGCCAATCCGTATCATGAGTGAATTATATATTAAAATATGAGCAGATCTATCTCAGGCTACAGCCAGATGATATGAGAGGCAACCCTCAATGTGTAGAACCCTGAAATTCGATAATTCGCGACGAACTGTCAAAACCATAGACCTTCCATGATACTCTATAGGTCTCTCGAATCCAAAGTCCGATGGTAGGGGTCATACGATGATCCATTTGACAAAAGAATTTTCCGTACACGTATCAAGTTCTCGTGTGTTGCGTTTCTAAACGTCTGTGATGATGCTGGCTTTGAATGATGAAACCAGCTCATGCCAGATGAATTATTTAAGTCAAGCAACACTTTATCCTTCGAACCACAATAACTTCAGAAATTGTCATCCTACGATGTAAAAAATATCTAGATTTTATTTAAAAGATAAAACTCATATTTTGGAACTAGCTTGGATAAACTTTTTCATCGAAACAAGTACCAATACACGTCTACTCCAACGTCTGTACTGGATCAGGGTATCCGAAACAATGATAAGGAGCTATTTTTAAAAGCTCTACATTTTGCAGTATGATATAATAATAATAACACGATTCAATAGTAACAGGCGAAATGAACAGAGTTTATATAGGCTGTGAGCGCGTGCAAAGGTTACGTGAACATCACTCGTTACGTATGTAAAAAGAAAGGAGATGCAAAAATGCACAGAGTGAGAACCGTTGCCGGCTCCATCCATCATCATGCACTCATGGATCAATGGACCTGGGAGCTTGCGTCGAACGAGTCGCATTAAAAGTGTTTTAGCATTCGGACAAAGGTCATTTTAACTTGTACTTTGTGACACTATGCTATCGAATGATGTGTTGAAATGTTCCGGTTCATAATCTGCTAGGTACGTCTGGATGAATGTCACATGAGAAGCTCAATCATTCCTCTAATGAAGAAACAATTTGTGTTATAAACAAAGATGCGCAAGGTGTTTGTTACGAAAATAAAAACAAGTTAAGAACACTCGTGGATGTTTCTTTATTTCACGTGAGTTACACAGACGCTTGTATAATGGTTAGTGCGTTATTATTTGTTTCAAAAAATGCCCATCTATCTACTTAGTGTAGGCGAATTTGATAACGCGAAAGAAACACTGCCGGATATTTCTCGGAAACGGCGCGTGTCTACGCATCTTCAATGTGATTTAATTGACGACGTCACTCCCGTTAAAGTCTTGTCTGACCATTAACCAATTCATATAGTTAACAACGTTGGCTATAAATCGCATGGTTGCAAGACGGCCGTCTTTCTCTGTCAAAAAAAACCTCTGAGTTTCATCTAAGGAACAACCGTTAGGACTTAATGAGTAAAATATCAGAGAATATAACAAAGAACGTGTACTACACGTACTACGTTCCTTATCCTTCCAATTATTTAGATAAGCAAAACTACTTTCTTTCCAACCATATGTGTTCCCATTGGACTGCCAGTACGATTGATATCGATCTGCATTAGGATAGCTTCTGTTCTTAAGCCTATGACGACCGATTGACTGTACAATATCAAATTCATACTCTGACCACGAAAAAGGTTTTCTGTAAACACATCTAGTTGCCACAGCCTACGTTTTTCTATCTACTGCACTATGCACCCTTGCGTATCACAGATTGGTACGACGATGTGCGATCGTTATAAAAATGATTTCGGAGAAGTATAACTATCCGTCTGAACTGAATCGTTACGTTATTTGAGTGTCATGGGGGGAGGGTTGAACGGGTTACTCGAGGCTTCTGATCGAGGCCTATTTATGTAAATTTCAGTTCGTAATCATACGCGGCGGAGTCTGACAGCTATGATTACCTTTACGGAAAATTCGTTGCCCTGAAATCAATTTTCCCTAAGCGTTGCCTGAAAAAGTTTAACATTTACAATACCATGGTGAATATAGATAAAAGGTTAACTAGATCTCATTTTTCTGCAAGAGGTGCAACCAGGTTACGTCTCTTGTCTACTCTTCGTTCACTTTATTAGAGAAAAACTCCAAGATCGATTGCTAGCGAGTTAAAATAGATAGAGATACGTTTGCACAGTTTGGAATGTATGTAACTTAAAATAATGTATATATAGTGGTAAATTGCTAGGCCCCTCAGCTGACACACCGCGGGATATCCTCAAAACCAAACGAGCCTAAAACGAGCGCCATTTTATGTTCGACTCATACTAAATATTGTTGAATCAAAGACTGAATCGCGACCAAATAGAATTACGAAAGAAAATACGTTTGACCATAATAAAGCAGTAACATATTATTTGTAATTTGCTCGTCTGCGATTGTACAATAGGCGAAACGTGCAACTGTGGCCCCAAGGCGGACAACATATAAATCACACGTCTTTGAATGTGACTTCTTTAGAGAAAACGAGGCTGATTTGTTACGAACTAATTATAGTCTGTGAAACCGATTGCCGTTGAAAAAAGTGTTACTTTCGTATTATGGTAAAGTGGAAAAACCATTCATTAATCTGCCTTATGCAGTAATTTCCATCTTAGCATTTTTAACATGAAATTTTAAACAACGGTGTTCAGGATCGATCTATAAATCTGTTAGCATAAAACGGAAACGTAAGCCATAACGTATGTTTTTTTTTCCTATCAGTTTACAGTTATTAGGAAATCTCTATCCAATAATATTTGAGTCAGGATTAGAGAATAAGAAACGGAATGATAGTTTGTGCCCATTTTTAGATCAAACTAAATGACCTACTCAAGGCGAACTCTTTGTAATACATTTCTGAATGCCGATTAAAATTTCTCTAAATAATAAGTGGTCAACAATTGGAAATTATCGAAGTTGTCTGTTATAACAGGAAAGCTTCATTTTAACATTTTTTTAAATAACAGGAAATAGTTCATTTTTAGGCTTTTTTTTTATTAGAAACACCACGATAAATAAAGGTTATAAATACAAGGCTTGTAAATTATTGATTGGATTATACTACTTGAAATCATTTTGGAAGCAACTAATTCAGACGAGGTTCTCGACTCACTTCCTTTAGGTATTCACGAGTTGAGTTGTAGACCGGATAATTTCTCAGGCCATCATCACCGTTCAGTATGTGATTTGACTGAACTTTGCGAACCCAAAATATTTGGATGTTTTAGAGGAGGCCTGAAAAGTTCGGCTTGTTTAATGACCTATGTATATGTGTGTGTCTATGCGCTGTGTCCTAAAGGCACAGCAAAAAAGTCGTAAAAAATTTCTGTGCGAAAAATTTCGTGACTATGTCGGATTAGTTCATGAGTTTTTGCCAGTCAACGAAAACGCTGCACCGTATTGCTAATTCGATTTTCTTTTTTTTTTTTTTTTATATATAAACTAAGTAGATAAAAGTGAACAGAGTGACTTGGGGTAATTTATTCGATTAAATTTTGAACTGAAAGGATTTGAAACGACCGTGAACAATCTGTGCCTTGTTCACAGTTTGAACGCTTCAGATACTGTTTTTCGTGAAAATACGTTTCGCCAGATTAAAAATCAATTATCGTCTGAACCCATTAATGCATTGACAGGATAGAGCGGGCTGTAGACGAAATTTGAAATTTTGCAAAGATTACACCAAAAAATAGACTAGTTTAGAGGAGACACACTACATCTTCTACCGTCTTTAAGTAGGTCGGTCCTCAACAAAAGCCAAGCAAGGATCGCTTTCAGGTATGGAAAAAAAAACAACAGGACTGATTAGACGAAAACATTAGTGGTGTGTCTTTTCAAAAAAAAAAAAAATTATCCGTCGTTTTACTCGGCGATAAAATGTCCTGTACCTGTCAGAAACATGTCCTCGTTATGTTTAAAGCTCAATATCTCCAACGGGTTTTACCAACAAAACATCGACAACTTTTTCCTGTCTTGTTACTATTACCACCAATTATACTCATTTCATATTGTCGACCTTATCAGGTGTTGTATTGAACTTTACCCTGATTCTGACAGAAAATATCTACGCATCTAGGAGGATTTTTTACATGCTGAAAACTTTATTTTTGCAGCATGTTGTATCTCAGTTAACATACATTTTTATCCTTTGGTCTGCCTATTGGCACTATTTCTGGTGTTCGCAGTATTTTCAGACAAAATATTGAGAACGAAAACGTCATGACTAAGTCACCTTTACAACAAGATCGACTAGTTATCATCGTAACTTAGCCCAACAATAGTCGGTAGCCCTTTGCCATTTACGTGACGCAATCTGCGTGACAAGCGTTACGAGTATGCCTTTTCTATCGATAGCTCTATGTATGTGCGTATTTTCTGTCATCAAATGATCAAATTTGGTATGGCTTTGTCAGCAACAGCTGATTGACCCTTTCCCACCCGACCCTCATCAGTTTCGATGGCCGTCAATATGCCGACAAATGCGATTAGCCTGAAACGTTAGTTTCGAATTTTCCATCGTTCTCCCTATGTATCTATTGTTCTATTTAATATTGTATTATTCAAATTCCACCAAAATTTCGCTAGCTAGCGGATCTAGATTGTCTTGAGGCGATCTAGCCACGTTTCACTACGCGCTCGATAGCCGCGTTACTCCGCAGTTAAGCAGCTGATGGTGTTGGTAAACAGGGCTGCTGCTGTAGTCCTGCTAGTGAGTAGACTACTAGACAGACTGCACTTACATTTTGTTGTATATGTTGATCGGCGGGTGGCTGGCTGGCTGGCTGGCTGGCTGGCTTCAGTAGGGAATCGTAGAGAAACAGGAGAAACAAATCAGCCGCCGCTACTGCTTTGCTCTTTCGAGCCTCTCGAACAAACGGAGTCTTGCTGGTGCTCATCCAGACCTCTGCACAGACAGAGTCCGTAGAATCCTTATCAGCAATTTGGCAGAAAAAGAAAAAATAGTCGTGCAACAGAATCGTACTGCTGATAGTGGGTGATAGTTTCACAGCAGTGAGTGGGTTTGGCTGTGCGTGCGTCTATGTGTCTGATAGTTCTGCTGCTGCTGTTGCTATTGCAGTTGTATTTGTGTATTGTTATTTCAAGCTAAATTATCGTGAAGTGGGGCAAACTGGTTCGCGTCGTCGACTCGTGCCGTCGAGTCGATTGCGTAGCGCGATTGCGTCTGTGGTGCACTGTCACAGCGGGACCAGCGCAATGTCAGCCCTGGGCACTCGCTCGACGGGTTGCGGAGGCGCGGAACAGGTCATCTCTCCGACGCTTGTCGAGCGATGTGACAAACGGCAAGTAACAGGCCTTAACATAGAACAATTTATTGAGCATTAGTTAATTGCAAAAATTAACGAGTTGCAATTGCAAAGGGTTTACTGGTATACTCTTCAGGGGCACTAAGTGTGGATAACACAGATCAGTTCTCATTTGCCCTTTGCAGTCACTATGGCACCTTTAAAATGACTGACCAAGTCGACAACAGCGGAAAACTTAGTTTAGCTATCTACACTGTTTACTGCTGCCACTACTGCGCAGTTGGCGCCAACTGGGCGTTGCAAATCCGAGTCGACATAACAACGATCTCGCAGCCGTCAGTGATCGCGTGTCAGGAAGATTTCAATAAGGCCGAACAGGCCTTCTATGTAAGGGGAAAAATGACAGATATCTCCGAACAATGTGAACGAAGCACTATTTTCTCTGTCGATTTACACTGAATAGACCTTATTGTCGCCTTATCACATTAATAAGCTGTAGATTTGTTTTATGGGGGAAGCATGCAAAAAAAGATCAATTTTACATTATCATAATCCTTGCAAATCTATAGCGAATAAAGTATACTCTTTTTTTTTTTTATATTTATATATACCAATAAAGAACTGATTCATAGACTTCGTAGAAATCAGATACGAATTTCAAATTTGAAGTTCGCCATATAACAACATCGGATCGCCTGTCATCAGTTAATCATTTGACTGGCAAAAAGTGTCAACTGTTTCATACTTCGTTGCAGTGTCTCAAAACATTCGTTAAAAGTCAGCTAATGTGGTTTGAGATCGAAGTGATACTGGTCGCAAATCGAATCAGCTGTGACTAGCGATGGGTCTGGATATTACCGTCCTCTGGTTATGATGGCGTACTGCTAGCTGTCTCTCTTCCTCTCTCTGTGCCTGTGTGTGTATGCGTTACGTCCTATTGCGAGTGCTGGCTCACGCATTTACTTCGGGGTCTGTTCTACAAGCGTTTGTAGAAAGCATAATGTGTAGATTAATAGTTATAGTAGACATGGTGTTCGTATTTAGCTAACTGGCTGACTTTGATTGCCTAATTATAGTGTAGCCATCTACTAAGGGGCTATCCGTAGGTCTGAAAGACGTATTTTTACCAGCGAGTTAGTGGCATTGCTGTTCAAAGCTGTGGGATGCGTTTACAGGCTTTTGCCGATAGTGGTGTTGGATGGGTGACTCAACAATCCATTCGTCGTAATCGGGACGCGTTTTTGCTAATAATCGGAGGATTGGTGCCAAGAACTGTCCACTTTGATTCCAGTGTCAGTTACTGATGGCGCTCGTGCTCGCGTCCCTGCTGGTTACCTGTCCATGCGCAAAATAGTGCTCATTTATATGCGACAATAACCGATATTTTCTGAAACCACACATCTGTATGCGATACCACTGAGAGAAGGAAACGAACGCGCGCGCATCTACGTCTCGTCGTGGCCGCATGAATATTGTTGCTTGTACTGTACATTGCATTTTCGTAACACTATAATATTATGATTATCTTATTATATTACTATTATAATAATCGAATGAAAAGTGAAACGTCGATACTAATTATAATGCGGTGTACAGTATTAGATAGAATAGCCAAGTTAGATATTGGTAGTGACGACTCTCTTTCACTTTGTTGGAGACTGTAACGAGACTGCACGTTTGGTCACGTCAACACGACTTCGATACGCTTCGTAATTACTATGGAAATTCTGGCTATATAGAGAACTGCAACTTGAAATCATGCTCAAGTCAGACCCAATTATTTTCAGAACTGTTCGCCTATTCACAGTGTTATACACTCGGTCTTTGGTTATGATCGAAAATCAGGAAATCGTCTACTTCATTGTTACGCACTTTTTGCGTCCTTCTATAACTGTGCATCTGTCATTGGCAGTGTTTTTCCTTGTTGGCCTTATACAGCGAGTAAATAAAGTTTGTATAATTATGTGGGCCCCGACACTTTCTTAAATAGTAAGGTGAATCGCGCTTATGTTCAGAAGGTGAGTTTAGAATAATAACGAATCGAACCTATACGGACGAAAGTCATTGTTCATGCTTAGAAAAACCAATTTTCATGTTTAAAAAGTACAGAAGACTGTCGCGAAAGATTTACGAATTGCAGCATATACACTGTTTCATCACTTCTTTTGTTACTAGTATCACAAAACCCAGTGGCAACAGCCTTTCGGTTCCGGCGGCATAACAGGAACGTAATCATATTTAGATTGATGATATCGAGCTCGGATAGCACTGAACGCAGGTGCAAATCTATAGCCACGTTCGTACCTGGAATATCTACAGAGTAGAGGGAAAATGAAACCGAGTAAACATAACGGGATTTTTAAGATGCTGAACGTGCGGATGGCGATGCCGCGTAAGGCGTTGATGTCTCACTACTGTGACAGCAATTAATTTTCAATGATATTGCTGCTATATCATTGTTGCTTGAACCTGGAAGGGCAAATATTTATTCCTATTCTACCCCGAAACGACCTTACCTGTGCTTTCTCTAAAACGGGTTTATTCTTGGTGAAAAGAATAACAGTATAGACCGAGCCAGTGGACACCTGTTGCCAAGATAGAGTGCCAAAATAAGACTGATCAGTTGGCTTCCTTTGAAGAGAAATATAGAGCACATGGAAACTGAAAACAGGCAGCGCAGCGTCTACATAGGGTGAATCAATGGTATTTACTATATATATATATATATATATATATATATATATATATATATGACTATGACGATAAACTATGAGATATATGGCATTATCAAGAATCACGCTTGGTGTTCCAGACGAGGTGAGATAAAAAAAAATCAAGTACACCGTTCTACATATAAGTTGTTGTCGCTGTAAATGTAGAGATAATTTTGAAAATTATCTGCAAATATAATAAAAATCGAACAAAAATTGTGCGTAAATCCACAACCGATGATTTTCTACCATGAATGTAATGAGAAGCAGCACAGTTTTATACTACCTGACATATGGGCTTACCTAATCTATAAAATCTAATGGGGGGTACACCACAAGTTCAATCCACAGCGCTAAAAAGGTTGTCGCACTGCTTGTCAGGCGTCTTGTCTATTGGCTTGTCGTTTATATGAAGAAGACTGATAAACTTTAAAAATTACTGTCACACAAGAGTCCTGTAAGTCTACCTACCTGTAAGTCTATTTACCATATCCAATATTGAAAAACATATTGTGATATTCCAAAAGCGCAAACGAGTTGACGATTTGTTTGCGGAAATACTGGCGATAGTTTTTGCATTTTCCTATTACTCTCAGCTCTAAAGCAAGCACTAAATCACAGGCCTGTTCTGACTATTCAATGTTCACTGCCAATATACAAGTGTCAACTATTTAGACCCTGTAGCAAATATTCTCGTCTTTGAATGTATTACTAAAAGGGAATTAACGTTCGTGTCCAAGCTATGAAATATCAAAAGCCGTGTCGTTTATGAAGCGACGCCTCCCATCAACCCCACTAAAAACGTCCCTAGGTTTATTTGTGATCGCCTTTCCCTAGTAACTCATCTCTGTATCTGTGTTAATGTACGCCTGTCTTGATATTCTATCATATATTTAGCACATTCAAGTACGGCAATACAAAGTGTAGAATACGATCAAAATATTTTCGTAATTAATCAAAATAGAACGAAGCTTACTGTACTTGACCAAAGGCTGCCGAAGCCTCATTGTAAAACGTGTGCTCTAGTACTTTAGTCGCATCAGTCTTATGCAGGGAACGCTTCACGATAGGAATGACGTGACCTTGTTTGGGCGTGTTAAATAATATAATAGCAAAGATGAACTCTGATCTCCTTTTCGCAGCCTGCCTTTATTTGAGGAGTTTACCTACGGCTCAACGTAAGGTCGAAAGTGGTTCACTTGACTGTAGAGAAATTGCATAGGCTTGCACACTTCCAAATAACCTTTTTTTGTCTGCTTACGTATTAACAAGTTCATGCAGGCGTTCTCTACTTCCGTTGACGTCTAGCTGGCCATAAGGAGGATGAGCAAAAGGAATCCTGCTTAATTTTACTTATTGCCTTCGATGTCGACGGTGTGCGATTAGGTCGACTTATAAAAACTTAAATAAACTGTTTTTATAATACGGACAAACACACGGGGGCGATATTTTTCTCTACCCTGTTCAAGTCACCCGATCTTGTAAACTATGTCTGGGATGTCGTAAATGGTAGAGTCGACATGACGAGAGAATAGACGAAGCATTCTTTGATTATCTAAACCATAGCTGTTTCCTCTAGAGCAATTGCTTTTCGTTGCTTATAATATCAAGGCTGCTTGATAGGCGTAGCCAAGACTCCGCAGCACTCGAAAACGTCTTGCGATATTTTCGAGTATTAAATACTTGAAGTACCTACGCTTTAAAACGAAATATCTTGATGCGTAATGACTACCGATGTATGATTTCTGTATTGTTCTAAATGACAGAATTAGAGAATAAAAAGAAATACCAAAATGTATAAGTTAAGTTTAGCTTGCCAGATCATTTGTGATTACTAAGTCTGTATTAGGTTAATCATACATTTAAAATTGCTTTTCTTCGGATTTCAAAATGTAAAGCTTCTAGAGCGGAAAAGGTTTGCGTTACGTTTTCCACATATCGTGTTATATGTATGCGTGTGAGTGTGTGCGGGTGTCTGTGTGTGCATACTTGATGATACATTTAATAAATCGTTTTAGATTTAAGTTTAACGTAAGCTCTCGTTTCTTTGGATTTTTTAGTGAAGGGGAGCGTCTTGGCAGCATCTCATATGTCGACAGTGTTGTGGGAATGATCTCAGATGTAGTTCCTGCTGGTGTAGGACCTCTAACCGTTGGACCGCTGGGAACCGGAACTGGCTCCCGAAAAACGCACTACCGAACCCAAGAGATGGTTAATTGGGTTAAGATGATAAACACTGATGGTAAAGTGTCCAATTATGGTGCAAAAACGAGGTTTAGGATCCTCCGTTTAAATTATTGTTTTTTCTATCCATATATCTATTATCTAATTTCGTACAAGAAATTCTATAGATCTGCGGATTACTTTGAGAGCAATATGAAAATAAAGTTTTTTTTTCGACAATGTGCCTTACATTGTATAGGCAGTGCACTCTAAACTATGTGCTTCGAATTTAATTCGGTACCACCGTTAAACAGATAGTCAAACGGCTGGCTATCAACACGAAACGAAATATGTTTATGCTTGGATTCGAACCTAGACCACTACGTGTCCCTAAGATAGACTAAGTCAGCGAGCAGTACAATTCGACATAAATCAAATGTCGAGGAATGTACTCCAACGTTAACAGTTAACAACACTGTTTAACATAGTGCGTTTTTTTGTGTGTTATTCGCTGTGGTGAAAAATGTGTGGTGCCAGTGTTGGAGGAGACAGGATGCCTTGTCATCGGAATGGGATACGGTGACGGTATACAGCTATTTTCGGTCGGCGTAAGGCTTCACGAATTGTTTTTTCCATTTACCAAAAAATGTTCAGTCAACATTGCCTTCTTGTAATCACTGCCAACCTCACTGCTAATAGGTTGCCAAATAGCTAACGTCATCAACACAAGACCTATCATTAGTGGTCAATTTGACTGTGTGGAAATACATAGTGTTAATAAAATATTCGAAATTTCAATGTGGAACTCCGCACATGTCGTACATTAAGTCATTTCATGTAGCGTATACATATAATGATCAAATTTTTTATTTCTCTTTACTATTAACGAATGTTTTGCTGTTATAGGTTAACGGTGAAGCGCGTACCATTCTGTCGCGACGTAATTCGAGTCCAGTGAAAGATTTCTGTCTTCTTCCACCTCCCGTCAAACAATCGGGTAAAAGCAAATGTAAGTTTAGCACATTCTCTGACGAATAATGAGAGACCAGATTTTCAATATTTAATTTGCAACCAAATCCTGTAGTGACCGTGTAAATTTCGGACAATTTTTGATGTTTTACCTAGCCTTGCTTGATCAGCGTACGCTAGGAGAGTCCTGATTAAAGAGCATCTTTTAGTAACACTGTAGCTATATGACATATGGGTATGTACACGAGAGAAAACCGTTCGTGACGAATACGTTGCTTTGATCAACATATCCTGTTAAAGTTCCATGGCTTTTGTTACCTCGTTTCTATCATAACTGCAGGCACCAGAGACGCATTTCCGGTGGAACGTCCGCTAGCGGCCCTTTGCGAGTTGAACGCCATCTCAGTACTGTCCTTGCACAACGGTGCTATGCGGCATTCGCTCACCCATAACGCTCAACGGGTGGTCGCTTCAAGACACGCTCTAGCCGCCTCATGCCAGATGCAGATTGTCGTATTTGCCTCAAATGATTTTAGGTGACTTAAATTGAACATATTGAGTGAACGTTGTCTTCATACTCATTTTATAACAGCAAGAAAGCGATGCGAGAATCAATGTGTAAATATTGCTATAATATAATTGTGATTGCAGTTGCATAGACAAGTACATTGGTTGCTCGGAGTGAGCGACTTTGATTAACCATTTTAATATGCGCGATTATTTTGTGAAAAAACAAGGCAGCAGTATGGGTCCACGTGGACGATCAACACTTAGATAATGTTTTTGGTGGCTTTGCGAGCCATGACAGACGTTGAAGTACAAAAAAAAAAGACACGACGCTAACAAAACTATGAAATCGATTCTAAAAATATTGTTAATAAAAATATTCTATTTGGTTGTTGCAGTCTGCTTTTCGTGCTTCCTTCAGGCGGGCAAGTACCTGTTGCCATTGGAAACAGATGGCTAGCATATGCCGAAAAAACGGTTTGTTATTTTAATTCAATTCCTTTTTTTGTCACGTAAAGTTACTCAGTTAAAAAGTAAAGTGCAATAACAGATGTCTCACTTTAGACAAAAGGGCAAAGACGGTGGAAAGTGGTGAATAAAAACGTGAAACGCAAAGTGTTGTCAAACTAAATTTATTTTTGAACTTGAAAACTACTTTTTTTTTGGAAAATTTAAGGCAACCCTGTTACTCTCGTAATTAGTAACTCTCTAACCCACGTTGTTCATCTGTGACATATCGCATTTCTAGCTTTCACACTCGCAGGCCACGCCCGGTGGCCTAATCAGTGAGGACCCGGCGTCGGTAACCGTGACGGTCATACAAACAGCTAAGATCATCAAAGCCGGTCTAACTAGGTGAGATTTCTTGCAGAAGTGAACAGAATTCGTTGCGATTAATTTCTGGATACTGTTATTGAATTATAGCGCAATTGCAGATCATAGAGATTCGAGAGTTTATCGAGGTCGTCATCCGTTGCGATTCTCAATATTCTTTTACTCAAAAATACGTGCATATATATTTTTTGTAAAGACCAATATTGTTAGACTTCAATGGGAACCTGACTTCCTTCGTTAGAACTCTTGTTTTGCCATTAGCAGGCATTATAGCATACGCTATAAGCATAACCTGCTAATGGCTAATACTTTGTTTTACATATTAAATTGTTATTTCGCTGCTTGTGGGTCTGTTGCATTTCTGACGGCTTAATATATTATGATTTACAACGAATCGTTATCACTCCCATCTGCTCATGTTGGGTTTCAGGTTGGGTGAAACTGTGACCAGCAGTTGCTCACCGCCTCGTCGGGGCAACGCTCACTTCAGTCAGGGAATCGTGAGTGTTGTTGATGTAGCCGCGACCGATACGGATCGGATGCTTCTGCATTTTTTGGTACGATCGAGGCAATTTTACATTTCCTTTGTTGGACTCGTGGAAAAAATAGCATAACCCACTGAAGAGTGCAAGTTCCCTTTTTAAATTTAGAATTTCACAGACCTAATGGCTGCTTCCTTACGATTTGCTTAGATGTAGAATATATAAGTGTAGTTATATAAGAAAAGTCATCATGAAGGATACTTTTATATGCTCTCAGGATGAAGTGGGCGGCAGCGCCGAAGACTTAAAACCAGAAGAACTCCAATTCCATTCTAGTTAAGCATACGCAAATTGGTGTGGCTCTCTACTTACGAATTTGTTAGTAAGCTATTAAATATTATGATAGTTTATTTTAGATTTGCAAGTGGTTATTTTCCACTTCGGCAACCTTTGCGCACTTTTCACATGTCTTATGCCGCTTACGAAACACGCACGGGTAGCCATGTTGTTTTGCATTTTACAGGCGCATAGGGACCCAATCACTTCATTGTGCTTTGATGCAGCGGGCAGTTTGCTCATGACAGCTGATACTCAGGGCCGAAAATTTCACGTTTTCCGACTTCAACCGCATCCTGCTGGCTCTACTCATGCTAAGGTAAGCCCCTAATTCTTCCATGACTTTTTATAGTTTGTTCATGGATCTCGGATATCAGAGCCACTGCCTTGTGCCCAAACTTGTGTCCAATGCGAAATTATCCTTTATTCTTGGTAATGCATCCTAACATCAACCTGCCCATGCAAGCATCATCGTAATAGCCTTTCAATATCGTAGATTTTTTCTTGATTAATTGTGACTTTTTTTCTCTTGATAGAGTTTTACAAAAGGGCGTAAAACGCCACGGAGAGCAGGTTTCGTAAACGTTGCCTAAATTAAGCGTGTTCTATTTTTCTCGACAGGTGGAGCTGTTGTACGTTTTGCAGCGAGGAGACACTACGGCAACCGTCTGGGATTTAGCTTTCTCACTCGATTCGCGTTGGGCAGCCGCAGCCACTGCACGAGGAACTGTTCACGTGTTCCCCATTGCGCCGTACGGAGGTCGGGCATCGGTGCGAACTCATTTAGCGCCCCGCGTTGTTAACAAACTAAGTCGATATCACCGTAGCGTAGGCGTGGATCGAGACTCGGACTCACTCATAGTTCAACCAGCGGTGCAGATCCGTCACACCCTCAATCTCGGTAGGTCCATGTAAAAATGAGTAAACTGGTTATGGAGAATGGGAAAACTAAAGATATACTTTTTTTTTTGGTTTGTGTTTGGCTGTGTAGGCAAACCGCGAAGACCTTACAGCGTAAGTGGTTAACAATAATAATAATAATGATAATATTTCAGGTGATAATGAAGTTGGCTCCCGAAAGGGCGACGGAATGTTGCTTTCCATGGGATTCTCGTCGGCACGCGCTTGTTGGCTCACTAATAATAAGGTAAATCTTCCAACAAAACATGGGTATAGACAGAGGCGACAAAGTTTAAAAAACACACACGTAAATAGACGAGTTAGGTAATAGATGTCCATCATCTTTCGTAACTGACACAATGGTAGCAGGCAAATATTTGAATTGTATAAAATATGTGGTCGATAATACCTTGCGCAGGACTCCAAAGCACACTTTTAATCGTTGTTTTATCTTTTCGTCCATTTTTGCTACGATGAAATTTATCCTCGACGTTTTCTCGCCAACCCTTGGCTTCGTCTGCTTTGTCTGTCCGCCTACGCAAATTTGTAGGCGCCCTTACAAGCGCCTAACCAGGACTCGTTGTTTACGGTGACCACGTCCGGGGCCTTGCTCGAGTACATTCTTGAGTTGCGTCCGCAGATGACCGAAAGCGGCACCATTGGAGGTCGGGCGAGCGACCAGGAGACTGGCATTGATGTGGCTGCCCACCATGTAGCTGAATGGCAGTTGCTAATACCAAATACTGTAGCCGGCGCGACGACTTGCAATACAAGCAGCGGTCCGAACGCCGCCCACGGGGGTACGAATACGGGACTGAATCCACCGACAAAACGAGTTCCACCGCAGGGTCGGCCTCAGGGTGGGGGCGAGGGCGCCATTACGCCAGGAAAACATAGCGGATATTGGATGAGTCAAGTGGAAATTGTTACATATGCTCCACCACATCGGCGGTGAGTAATCACCGGAAGCTCAGTTTTAAAGAACCGAAAAATAGCATGCCTTATTTCCATGTTGTATTTACGGCTGTACGTCTGTAGACGAATATCAGCTAAAAACCAATACATGCTATTATCACCTATTACCTATAAATTGTAATACTGTATATAGTATTTTTTTCGTGTAAATAAGGTAGTGAAAAACGAAGCAGATGATAGGTTTTCTCTTTTCTGCTTTTTCCAGGCTATGGATGGGCCCTCAATTCTCGTTTAAACCCGGTCACCAGCAGGGTGGCGCTCTAGCTCTCCATGATTCTTTAGTAGACGGTGGTCTTATTGAGGTTAGCTGAACATGGTTACTTCAAATTATAGGTGACAGTTTGACAATGTTTAAGAAACATAGTTAACATTATCTTAAACACATGCACATTATGGACATGTTTTTAATAATGCCCTAATTCTCAGTTGGCGTCAACGAGTATTTTTTGACGGTCTGTACATTAGATTTTCTGTTGTACTTTCTATACATTTTCATAGGTGGAATCATCACACGATCTGATCGCCGAGCATATGGCGGACGCTATGTCCGAACCAGATCTCCCTCCTCGCTATCATAGCGGTAGCATGGAGACGGGTGTACCGGGTGTACACTCCTCTGCCGATTCGCTTTATCATTCACCTAGCCAAAGTTCCGAGCACCTCCTAATCTTCGAGGGCGACATGGAATCGCTATGACAACAACAGTAACAACGCGCTCGAGCCATCTAGTTTATCGAATCAGCCTGGGAGAACAGCAGGAGATTGCGTTCCTACTTTTTTGTTTTTTATGTAAGTTAACATATCTTGCGAACCAGAACGATCACTGGTTATGCATTCAGTGTAACAGGCACATGAAAAGTTATTCGTAGCCGATAAATTGAAAGTACGGCACAAGAAGTTGTTATGTAGATAGTTAGGTCGTTTATAGGTGCTGATCAAAGACTTTCAACTTTAGAACGGTCGGAAGCTTCGAACAGAGCCGATTTGGTTTAAACGATTAAGCTAATAATATTTATATCTCATAGTGGTAACCTAAAGTTACATATGTATGTAGTGTATTGATTTACAACTTTGTCGCGCGTGTTTCGGTATAGCCAAAACCTTGGCTCAAAGTAGTTCGCACAGAAAATTCTCAAAAAAGTAAGCAAGCTGAACCTTAGTGACGCTCCTCAAATTCTGAAAAGTTCAATTCTCTTCAATCATTAACGAGGAAAAGCTTGTGCAATGCTCCTAGCCGTTTCCTGAGTAGTTGCATCGTGAACTTGTTGCGCTTACAGCATGAGAAGTAACAGAAGAACTAGCCCAGGACAATTTCTGTTCCCTTCGAAGAAAACTGAATATGCTATTCAAGACAGTTCTCATTTTTGTGTTTAGTACCGTTGCAGTATGTCCACGAGAGCTAGCATTTTGAGGCACTGGGCTACTGCAAAATCTCGAGAAAAATGAACCGACTCAAAGGAAAGAGCAGAGCAGCTTTTTATTGAATGAAATGGGCGTGCCCAGGTCAACGTTGGGCAGACAATGGTATTAGCACTTGCAAGAGGCGGAACTATGTAAACAACAATTTGGTGGACTCGCCTGAAAAAAATGTAATAAAAAACAGCAACAACAATAAGAACAACAACACAGCAAACACCCTTAGCGAGTTTCTATTTTACTGCGCGAGGTCGCCGTGCTAAGTAAAAGAAAAAGCGCGACACCGTTGTGAGTTAAGGATACAACCGAAAAATGTTTGTTCATCTATGTAAGTGTCACTGATTGCTACTAGGCAAACTTCTTCGAGCGGCAGATCTGTGTGCATATAAAGTACGAAAGTGTTAGCGCGTGTGCTTTACGCAAATGTGTTTTTCTTCCAGAGAAAGCTCCGCTGAGCTGAATGAATCGCCTTGAACTCTGAAAAGGCTGTCTGTCTATGTCCTTACGATGGACGCTCAACAATGAATGCCTAAATGCAGTGGCTTGGCGCATGATCGTTTCATAATGTGATATCATAGACTAGTAGATTAGCCATTGCAGGATGCGTGATTATGATGAAAAGGATATATCAAACCACACAGATGTCTCGACCATTCTGATAGTAACTACGACGAATATTGTCAGTATAACGATGCCAATGAAATGACGCCTGGCTGGTATTATTATTATTGCATCTACTATTAATATAATATTATACTACCATATCGCTATTGTCTTACACAATATAAATGCTATTATTTGAAAATGTGGCAAGAATTCATGTCGATGTAAGTGAGTAAATAGAGTAGCAAGCAACCTGTGGACAGTTCTTACGATGCAACCGACAATGAGCAAAAAAATAAGGCAGAAATTGCTGGACGGGAGAAAAGAAAAGGCAAGCGGATGCAAGCGTCAATCGTGTGCTGTATTACTTTGATAATATAAACGAAAGGGATGGTAGGTTAGATAGTGTTAACTAAGCGGGTGATACTAACTACCAAAAATGCTCGCGCTGAGTCCAGTTATGAGTTGTTATGATGCGTGATGAAAGACGACACATTGTGCTTTTCTTGCAACGATAATAATAATAATTATTACATTGGTAGTGTAATAATAGAGTAGGGCAATTGGACCTGTGAACTATTTTGAATGACGGTCGGCAAAAAGAAAGGGACATGAAACATTTAGAATATATGACTAGATACGGTTAAATGATCGTGTGGTGATCATCGGTCGTAAGTGCCAGAGACATCCTAATTAGTTTGATTTCGAGATACTGTTAACAAGCAGAGAATGTGACAACGTTGGTACATTAAAACGAAAAATCTTTCTTAATATGCTGATACTACTGTATGTCAGTACGTTTTTTCCTTTGTCCAGATTAGCTGTAGGCTTCAAGGTGAAGGCCATAGTTAGGCAGCAGAACTTACACGTGTCAGAGACGAGAACATAGATTACAGTTGGAAAATGGCCCACAATGAATTGGGTTCGATTGTCGCCTCATTCACAGATGGTTAGAATGACGCATTTGTATCTCAGTTTTAAAATGTCTGTAGATATCTGCGCGGGTTGCTTTGGCAGCTTTTTTAAGCGTCAGACATACGTTTTCGAAGTCTAGTAGTCAATTGTTAAGAATTGAGAAACATAACAAGGGAATGACACTTGAATTGCTAACAACGTACATGTAACAACACTGTCAAACGCCTGTCTGAAATCACTGTACGATTGGATGGCTGTCTCATACTATATTTGATAGAATAGCAAAGATACATTAAATATAAAACAAACAAATAAGATGTTTAAAAGGTTAAACATACTTTAGCTACTACCACCGCAAAAAAAAGACGACCTAACGCAATTTCGGTTTAGCGATCGTTACAACGATCACACATGATAATGGACCAGCAGATAACGTACAGGTAGAAAATTCACGATGTCCGAAGCGTAAAGTGCTCTATGACGCTGACTGACGAATAACATCAACGACATCGGTGGCGATGATCATAATAATTGTTGTTATTGATAGCAATGACGTTTGAAAATAGATGGGGCCGGAGAAGAAAACGACCATGCTGCGCTCCGATAAAACGAACGCTAAACAGTGTGAAATGATAAAATTATCTCTGAAGTTAGATTTACTACTGTCATAATAGTAATACTACTAGCAAGAAACCTGTACATTACATTGTACTTTTTATTTCTTCTTATTACGCGTCTGCTTCGATATACGCGGAGACATTTGTAGTCTCACACTTTATAATGTAGCTAGCACTCAACTGAGAGTCGCTCCACCCAGATCGCGACTATTGAGCCTATCGATTTCGATTGCGCACCAATGCGAAACTCACCTGGGCATGGCCCTGGAAAACATTTCAGTAGATAAGTGCGACATGCGATTATGTTAACATCGCCTTTATTTCGGAACCTCAGCCGTTGTATATTTCTTATTACTACAGATGCAAATCAGCCAATGTTTAGTCCTTAGCGTTGAGAGGCGCAGTTGCATTCGACGAGAATAAGCGAAGCCATGATAAGGGGCAATTGCAGAAAAGAGCTCTCTCGATGGTCACGAGATCGGTACGAATAAATGATGATGTTGAAATATTATCTGTGAAATGCACATATAACGACAATGGGTAAAACCAAAAATAATTTTATAAGAAAAATTTTAAAAATTCTTGATATCGAACAAGTCGAGTCGTTTGCTTTGAGAGGGAAATACAAATGACTGTACAGCAAGCGACTTGCAGATACAGAGGGAGTTCGCCCAAAAGGAGCGTAAACAGCTGTTACATATTTGATAAGGACTGCATTATCTAGGAAACACTGTAGGGTTCGTTTGGCTCAAAACAAATTTTGATTGTCCTACATAATCGAGCTTCTTAGACATTATGAATTAATTTTGTGATCTAAGTTAATCGAGACTAAGTTATGGTTCCAGGTTAGTTCCCGTGTTAGAGCTTCTTGTGTGCGAAGACTTTAGAAATGACTTATTTTTATTTGAAAACTTTGCTTGTATAGGTGCGCTGATGAAAGGGAGCCGTCATTAATTTCCGTGTCGGCTTGCGCAAGCCATTAAGCTCTATTGAGTAAGCTTAAGACAGTGTGTCTATGAACAGACGAATAAACTATACGGAAGGCGTTCAGCATACCGCGCGTTAGACTCTCTTCGATTCTCTCCATTGGTTGCTGACAGGCTATAGTCGAAGAAAAAATATAAAAAAAAAAACATTAGAAAGCACACGACGCAAATATTACAGGAAATCTGACGTCGATGAATGTTACTGACCAGAAACTACTTTTCACTTAGTCATGTATATTTATAAAAAGAAAGAAACAAAAAAAAGTCTAAAGAAACGTTAGAAATGCCAATATGAATGTATCTATGTATCTATGTAGGACAATAAAATCAAGAGAAAAACGACAAACAAACGTGAGGGGACTTTACAATAAAGGAAATTAAACAAATAGCACGTTATTACTAAATATCCGTGTTTTGTTTCAAATTAAGACAAATTAAGGGTTCAGGTGATACATTTGCTGAACGTTTCTAGATTATCTGTGACACTGGTCGCTAAGTTTTCGTGGTTACCCTAAGATAAGAAGCTTGTAATATTGATAATTACCAGAAAAGGCCAACAGGTCCAGTAATCTTATATTTGCGCTAGCCTAAAGTAAATTTGTGACTGTAGTGCCTCAAACGTTGTTTAAAATGCCACAAGGAGAGCTTTTGGTACTAGACGCTAAGTTATATCTATATTGAGATATTATAAGAAACGTTGGATTAATATCTTTACATAAATAGTATAATTTACCAGATAAGGATACAATATACACGATAAATTATGACAAAAAAAAAATCGCAAATGGAAAATCACATTATGTTTTTTTAATTAAATTAACTCGTATTATATCATCAACCCTCTTGCTAGGCATTCTCTAATTTCGCGTCCTGCTAGCTGGCCAAATACCGGCAAAACGTGAAATATATAAAGCCTGTATTTTCATGTCCGCAAACGTAGTTTTTTTTTTCACCAGACCGAAGATTATTACAGGTACTCATTAATAGAGTCAAAAGACTATGCGTTGAAAACCGGTTGCACTTATTTATCCTAAAACGACCCGTTTTCAAACCTGATTCAAGGAAAAAGGGAATGCTCACGATATTTTTAGAACCTGGGAGTTCGTTCGGGACTTGTTTTAACCAACATTCTTTGTTGTTGTTGTTTCCACTTGTTGTATCCACCTGTCGTATGTTATGATGAACGCAATTTCTAGAACTTCTTTTAGCAAATAACTTGACGTCTTTACAGATTCATAGAATGAGTATTATAAAACTGTATTATTAAACAAAATAAGATTGAGCTTAGATCAATTCCAAGAAGTAAGACGATCCATGAATTACGATTAACAAGCGTCGGTATTGCACAGTGACCAATCCAATATAAAATTAAGGGAATATTCGTCTGATACATTTCGCTCACACAGAAGAAGTATACATTGCACGATTTTCTAAAGGGGCACCTATAACGGCAATAAAATCTGTAATATGTAATCACTAAATACTCAGTGGTAGCCAATCGTTCAGTAATGATCAGCGGAAACCGGCAGGGTAGGCAGAATTGGCAATTTAGTATCTTCAACAAGCAGTACCAGGTTATGCCGAAACCATAAACTATAGTAATACTAAAAATTCGTGCACAATATAAAAGCTGTTTAGTTTCAGTTTTTTTTTTTAAAGTAGTTCAAGTAATTACATATGGCACAGAAATATTAATGTTGAAGTACATTTACAATCGTCGTAGATGCTAAATGGCTCAGGCGTAGTTTACTGCAAAATCAAAAAGATTATAGCTTGATGACACGTTTCCTAGGAACATAGGACACGAGTCCTATGTTCTAGGACAAGGATTTGCCGCTGTGGTAGGCATCAGTTTTTCCGTTCGGTCGTAAATGTGACCGCCTTTGTTGCCTAATAATGTTTCGCTATTTTCAAAGTCTTCGAACCTGAAACATTTAAGTATCCTTATGGCACTCCCAATAGTTACTTATTCATTACGGATCGAGCTCAGATCTAGCTTAGTCAGAATCAGCAGTATAAGACTGTTTCATTCGCTTCCTTTTATTAGGAGCGTAAATTATGGGCATTTTAAAAAGGACGAAATAAACTCGCACAATCTGATATAAATCTACTTGAAAGACCTGGCAATCTTGGTTCGAACAGATAAAAATGACACCCAAACATTTAGTGTTACGATAATAATACACTGCAGACCACTAGTGGCTTAGAGAGCCGAATTAACATAAACGGTGACAGAATTTCGGCTAAGACGACCTGCGGTTGCATTTACCCCGTTATTCAGTTGCAGACTGGCCTTCAGACAATATAGCTAACCTGAAACGGTGCAAACAGGTGGTGGCCCAACCGTACTACACTTATGCATGAAGTCTGCATGAAGTGCTGCACTCAAATTAGAGAATTGCGGTCTGTATATGGTCGCGTTATTCTTCAGAAAAGCCACACTCCTCGTATTCACTTTCAGACAGTTCTTTCCCTAAAATGGAACTCTCCTACTATATAAAAGATACAGTTGATCTTTTTTGCCTACGTAAAATTCTTCAAGCGTAGAGCGTATTTTGCGTTCATCATATACTTGAAGGTGTTTATTTAATCAACTACGATACTCCTGCTTCGCTTTAGGGGCGTCGCGTTAAATGCCCTCACTACCGGCGTTGCGCATCGCTTTACTGTCTGCTCACTCTGTTTTTTCCTCCGTTATTCAACGAACCACTCACGGACGTACGCTAAAGTTTATCTGATGTATCCGGCCGCAAACCGCAAAGGCCATCACATATGCTCATGACCAGCATCTCTTCGCCGGGCAACTCAGCTCGTTAGCTGTCTTCTTGAGCCACACGTATTGATATATATATATATATGTATATTACGTTCTAGAATAAGCAGACGTCGGGTCGCAGCCAACAAGATCTGCTATTAATCCGCTGCTGAACGTAGAGTCTATCCCTGAGAAGAGGGCGAACATAGAATACCGCGGCGACCGCTGCCCTTAGCTGTTGCTTTAATTGAATGTCCCCATCAAATCAGTTAGCTGTCGGTCTGTGCTAGATCAATAATGGTGTGCCTTATAATGTTGTTTGGGGTGATGCTGATTCTGGGTGGTTTCCAATCATCGAAGGGATATGATCAGGTACAGTCGAAGCATGTTACCGTCAGGATCTTAGATGACGCGGGAAACGGTGCTGATGTAGGTGTTGATGTTGTGACAATGGACACTCTTGCTCCTCCAAAAACAAAGATACAAGATCGACGTGAGGAGAACTATGATGATCTGGCAGGTGAAGATAAGTCAGATTTTGAGCAATTGCAAGGTTCGGGGTTAGCTGAAGGTAATCGTGATGCAGCTGGCATACATATTATGACTACGGAATCATTGTCAGACATTCAAGCTAATCAGAAGCCTGAACAGAACTCTATCATCGTTGTGCCTGAAGCAGGTGACAATGCCTTCCCGGAAAAAGCTGGCGATTTACGGTCAAAAGCTACTGCGTCCAACTCGGAAAAGGATTTAGCTGTTGAAACGAAAACCGAAAATTCGATAACGGGAAGTTCGATAGCTACGCCTTCTGTGGAAAATACCTCGACTGATTGGAAAGATAAACAGACGGTGACTGTGTTCAACACCCCTGCATTAAGTGACAGTACCGCTGTAGATGTGACTACTCATAACACTAGAAGGATTACTACCGCCAACAAGGATGCGTATTCGGCTGTTGAGGCCTATACGAGAAACCCGGTAGTGGGAAACCTTTACGGAAAGGATCAAAGGACGTCAAAGAATAATGCCTCGACCCGTATTTGGTTTGAAACTGCCGTTAGACTTGATGTTGATCAACGTGTCAATAGATCATTGTACTGCTGCGGCGGTAAGAATCTACTTTCTAATATAGTTCCATGTAGCCAGTGATAACATGATTTAGTAACTGGGCGCGTTATATACGATTGATAAAGATAAAAGTCCCCTATTTAATAGTAACTATTGTTTTCGACCCTGGCGTCTACTTACGGATAGAGTGGACCTGAAGAACTGCACGTTGTCGATGTGGGACGAATCTAAGCACGGCTCTATGACATTGTGTGTAGGTTTATATAGATCTCAGTCTCTGACGGTTACATGTGTAACATGTTTATTAGACCCTGCAGTTGTTTAGTGTCAGAATGATAAAGAAAATCTATTCTTAAGGGCAGCCGTGATGAAAGACTTGATCACGTATTCATAAATTTCAACAAACCTCTCACTGTACGCGTCAGAGAACTACTCATAAGTATATTTTAATGTGTTATTTTTAGCTAGTTTTTCGCGAAAAGTATAGCAAGTGAATTTATGAACTATCAGGCGACGTAGTTATCCTATTAAACCAGCTTATCCTTTCAATAGGCCAATGTTATTGAACAACTTCCGTGAGGATCTCATTGTTTACAGGTCCAGTTCTATAAAACATACTTTCAGTTTCATACTGACACAAAAGGTCGGCCTGACTGCCAGCTGAAATTGTTCCCTCGATGCCGTGATAGTCGCTTCTTAAGATTAGACGCTAGCAAATTTACCTGGTTCCAACGTTTGTCAAGTTACATGCTAAACTTGTTAAGGTAAAATAGTTTGCTGAGCTGAAATCAAAAGCTAGTTCTGTTTGAAATCAATCAAGAATTAATTGCTTTACAATTGTTCGCTATCTTAAAACGTTTCATGCACATTTTCGCCGCACGTGATCCATAGTTTATCTTTAGGGGTGAGGCCGAAATCAGTAACCCTAAGCTACGAAGAAAAAAAAAACTTTAAAACACGATTTAATTGGAAACTGGCATATGAAAATATTTTTTTCAAATGAAGTATATGTATGCGTATATGCGCTGTTAGTCACAACGCACAATGAGTCAGCGTACCATCCACCATAAGTTTCAGGTACCTCCTTTCAACTATTCTAGACACACGAAAATGGAAACCATTATATATTGTATAGAATAGAAAGGACAATCGCTTTATCTATTTTAGATTACTGATTAGATTGTAGATTACTGAGATTTTGTTAAAAATCTACACAACGTTTCGCGCTTTTGATCGAATGGGTCATTCAATGTCATCAACGTTTATTTCTCTTAGAAAACAGATAGATAGTATTAAGGCGACTATATCACTGAAGGCGCTCTCTCGTCCTGTCATCGTCGAGCACCAATTCTGCAATTGCCCAGTTACAGGATATATCTATATATCATCGTTGCATAAATATGGTGAGTAAAAGCATTTTTATGTTAATTAATATATGTTTACTGCTCAGGAACGTCCCTGCGGAGTACGGTTGAGACAATCATGACGTTTCCCGCGTTAATACGTGAGGTATCATCGACTGGCAAGATCAAAAAACAAAAATGTTGGGGTTGTGGCAAGTTTAAGATAAATTCAATCACTTGCAGGGTGCCCAGGCGGAGCTATGAAACGAAGCCACCACGAGCTGAGGGTTAGTAAGCCTTGCAACCAATCTGTGTCTAGCTTACATAGGTACCGTTCATTATTTAAATCCGATAATTTATAATTCCGTGTAATCTCTCAAAATTCGATAAAGCTCATGTGAAGCTTTGATTTTATAAATAAAGGATTTACGGTTTAGTTCCATATTGGTTTATACGGTTGGTTCATTCGCCGTATCCCAGTGTTTTACGAAACATCATGTAGTAAAGCTATTTTCTTAAATAGTAGCTAGACCGCATCGTTTACTAGCAGAAGGCCCGTTAATCACATGTCATTCTTTTAGCACTGCTTGAACAATTACTTCACTTCATCCATAAATAAAGAGTTGCACCGAACTGTTTCACTTTTCCAATATGTTGTGCGTCTAATACTATTCAAGTTGTTGTTCAAGTTCTCTAAAGCTAAGTTGTGAGATCAGCTTTCACATACACATGTTCTTACGGAATACAGAAATCTAACTTCCAGGATGTTAAACATGTGACCAAATGAACATAACGTCAAATGTTGTTATTTCAGAAATTACTTTTTTCGAATCCTTGGATTGGCAGTGCCACTCGCCTAGAGGTGATCTCGATACAAATTACAAGCACAACTTAAACATAACCTGTACGGTAATTAAGCTTAATGGTGACTTAAACGTCTGTGTGCATCAAGGTGCGTATTTACTATAACCTATTAGTTACTCATTGTACTTGGATAGTAACTGTGAATGATTTCTAGTTGTTGAAGGCCCGGCAAAAATTTGCAACTAGCGTAACTTAAATTGTATCAAATAGAAACTTGCCATTTTTGCATTCGATACTGCCCTAATTTCATCGGGCCATGGCATAACTTTGTCCAAAAGAGGGCGGTACATCCATAGTATTACAGAATGTATATTACAGAACTCCAAGCTTAACTAATGTCAGACTAGTAACTTGTTTCCGAATTCGCATCTACATAAAAGCTTCCGCTGCTTCTTAATAGGGCTTCTAAAAGAATCGGTTATGAGTTTCTGTCGTGCTGTACCCAGCCGCACCCTTGAATTCATCTGAATTGTCATTGCGTTACTTTTTACCACCACTAAATTCCATTCAAGACCGACCTCTACGACAGAACTCTAGCCGACATAGCCGTCTCTAGAAGACAGTAACGTACGAACAGCTTTCTGCTTTTTACGTATGGGATCGCCATTGATCTCGAATTAGTTGCTTTAGCTTTTCTATAAAGCACAATATTTTCAATGGCCTTATAGACTTCCTCGGATTGTGCCGTCGACATGTATTTATAGACTACTTAACTATTAAGAGTACAGGTGAATAAATGGATGTATTCATTGCATCTAATCGTCTTGTTCGACTATAACTTTTCCTGTGGCAATTTTTATGCAGATCGATGCCAGCTCAAAGTGGTACCACACGACAACGCCAGAAAGATCCTTTCAGCTCTGCTGCGATCTCGAAGGACACCTTTCGACCCAACGATGGCTACCATCCTTTTGTTCCTTGCCGTAGTCTTTATCGCGATTTCCCTAGTCGTCACTTTCCTTGTAGTTCGCAATTGGATGGAATAATTTTCGGGCCATTCTCTCTATTCCGTCTTCGCGTGCTTCAGTTTAAGCACCTATTGACTAATCTCAAACTTATTGCAGTACAAGCAGCGCAAGAAATTCCATAGCACTTCTATAGCCACTTTCACGGCTACCCCGATAGTTATTTCCAAACAATTCTACTACATACGAGTTTTATAGATAGATAGGCAAGTATATAGCGTGCTGCCGTTATGATCTCTTTCCTTATCGTTTGAATAGGTAAATCTAATTCATGACCACAAACGGTTGACGTTTTTGCAGTTAGTTGTACTAGAGAAGAAACCGTCGTCGTCTTCTTCAATTCGTTAGCTAGTGGCTCTATTAGTAAAATTTTATCCATTAAATATATTAAAATTTTTCTGATTTATATAAAAATTTATCTTTATACATGTAGATTTAGACAGCCATCATTATTGTTCCCTGTAAATAAAAGCGGGATACCTTAGTTGACCCATAGTAGTTACCTTCGTTGAAAGTGTGCGCAAGGACAATGAAACGACATTATACATGCAATGTATATTAATTCGGATATTTAACAACTGATCGATGTTGACAAAAACAATCTTAATGTCATGAACTATCGCGTGTCTCGTATGAAAAACTGCGTTTTTTTCTCCTATTTTTAGCTATGAATTACGCTTAGTGATTTTTAGAGACTCCTGATATATCTATACTCCAAAAAGTGGCCAAATGACGTCCAGCAACAAGCAGAGATCCTGGTAGCTGATAAAAATATAATGACGGATAATGCTTATCGCCCCGAAATGACCAGCGAAGCCCAATATTAGAAACCTGCATGTTTTCATATATATATATATATAGTGCCGCTGTCATTCGTTTCTCGACAACTCAGAAATAACTGGCCGATTACTACGACTAAGTACTCGACCTTATTCTATATTTTAGTCGGGTATAAGCACAGAACAGCGACAACAAGCTCTTCGTTAGCAATTGTATAACAACAGTAGCAGATACTGCATAGCAACAATAATCCATGCATATTTGCTTTATTGTTCGTGTTGTTATCTATTTTCACTGAATGATGAACTTCGATTGTACATTGGATTGAATGCGCATTGATTTGGATCGAATATATTGACTTGTATATGTAATTGATTAATATAAGCGAAAAACAAACAAATCGACTTTATTTTGACTTTATGGCGACGCTTCTTATTGTGCTTGTCTGTTCGGTGAGAAGCTATGGCTGAGCGAAGGAGCAGTCTATTGCGTTGTGGCAATGAACAGCTTCTATTGTCTTGTATCTTGTTCTAAGAGATAACGGTCGCGATAAAGTGCTACTTCTCGTGTACAAGTTAAATTCGTGTGTTTCCTAATAATATATGTTACGGCAAAGTTTTGAACTTTTGGCGCAGATTTGAACGGTAGCCTCGCAAATTCAGCTAGTTTCTTATTTAAACTCTAATGCGGAAGAATTCAGAAAAAATCGTGCAATACTGCCTGGTTATGGATGACTCTACGTTCAGTACTATTGTGATATATATGATATTACAAATATGTAAACAGATTTTGCAGTTAAGCTAGAAGAATTGAATCGCCGACTTGTTTTATGGACTCGAGGCCATACTTCGGGTGCTTTTAAGAATGAATCGCACCTAATCAGGATCCGACAAAGTGGATCATATTATTCTGGAATTGCAGAAAACATCTACCGCCTCGCTCTAGCGTGATCAAATTTGAATAGAGCTCTTTTTCACCACTCATGTAAAGGATAATTCACTCTAGGACATCGTTCCATCATCGGATGTAATATGTTAATTTATATCTGATCGTTGGATAAACATAAGTTTATCCTACGCTTGAAGATCAGTGAAGCGTTAACGTGTATTTGTTCCGCTTATCAAGCTCCAGTCCATTTCATCGACACGAGACTGCGGTTGGTCAGCAGTTAATGAGACACCGTGAAATATAAAATCACAATAAATCTCTGTTTTGTATCTGTTTTTTTCACAACTTCGATGCGATGCCATCGACTTCGCCAGACTAGCCGCATCAGTCGATACCTGATTACATCTGTCGACTGAAGCGTTTACGATCTATGCTTCTTGCATTCGACATCATTTCGTCATCGTAGCCGTAGTTACTTTTTCAAGCTTCAGCTGCACTAGATCCCCGTGATCTTTTGCACTATGGTAAAGCTAGTGATGTTACCGGTGTTGCTGAACTGCGTCGATCATTCCTGGACACACATACAAATCGACGCGACCCTATGCGCGCATATATCATACAGAATCAGACAAGTACTCTGCTAACCGTCACCCTCCGGGAGCTGCAGCAGGTGATTGTATTCTGCTGATGCCACTCTAGCCGGCCGGGAGGCACCGAGCGTCGACGTCGTTGTAGACTGCACCATTAGAGAAGTCAACTATACCAGATATCGAAGAAAACAGGTTGAAGCGTTCAAGGGCGCTGCGATTGATAGCAAAGCAGGCTGATTCCTGGTGAGAAAGGGTCACTTCATTGAATCTCCGGAAACTACAAATGGCTGTGCTGGCAAAAGGAGATCGAAGGCTTAGAAAAATTCTGAATACGTAGTCCAGGCTGCGAGTGTATGTGATTCACTAGCGGTTCACTTACGCAGTGTGTCAATTTACTGCTGGTAGGTACAGCACGGCCCTAAATATTGAAGTTCCTTCAATAAAGGCCAAAGAGCGCGCCACAAACTACCTGTACCAGCTGAAAGGCGTTTCGAAGGGACGGATAACAAAGAAGGACTGACACAGGATAGCGTATTGAGATCTTCAGGGTTGCACTGAAGCTCAACATTGCGACAAAATCCGCGTCGATAGGAGTTTAGCAAAAGCAGTGCCAAGCCGGTATCTCTATAAGTTTGCTTTAATTAATTCGTATCCGCCTGTTGGATCTGGACAAAATGTCTGCTTCCTTTCATATCCTGGATTATGCTGTACTTGTAGGTTCATTTGTGTTACCTTCTCTGATCGGATTGTTTTTCACCTACAAGGACCGACATCAACAGAACAAAACCGAACATTTTCTGGGTTCCCGACAGTTGGGAGTTATACCAGTTTGTCTTTCGCTGATGGCTAGCTTCCTATCAGCCATAACGGTGCTTGGCTATCCCGCCGAGGTTTATATGCGCGGAGCTTCGATTAGTATATCGGTATTTAGTTCAATTCTGGCTACGATTTGTGCAGGCGAAATCATGGTACCCGTATTCTATCGACTACAGCTTATTAGCATGCATACGGTATGATAATAAGGAACTCACTAAATATATCTACTTATTACGTACGGTTCATATACAAGCTCTTACTTTTATAAGCTTTTAGAAAGCTATAAACGAGCAAATCCTTAAGACGACGCTCGAAACGGTCAGCTGCTGTATGCTATTGTATAATAACTTTTTCTAAAATGTAATGACACGTAAGACGTATATTTGTTAACGACATTTCTGTCACCGGACGCACAAATCTGATCTAACTATTGGAGGATACCACTTTATAAAATCTCTAGAGCGGCGTCATTCCTAGCTGTCAATCCAACTTTTTGCTATTAGGAACCGAGTAGAAGTTTCTAAGTTTTACGCATCACTTTGCATTATATACTACAAACATATTGCATAATCTGTTCTTGTTTTCAAGGTTTTACTAAGTGACGCTATCTTACAGTATGCATAACTATAGTTGATTGTTTTTTTGGCACATATCCTGTATTGAAGTCCTGGATTAACTTGATAGGTTCTCTCGAGTAAAGACTTTTCATTCGCGCGTTCAGATGTGCAGACGTCCCATTCTGTCATTATACGCCATAAACCCATTGCTTTATTCGACCCTTATTTCTTTTACTGTTTCGGGGAATGTGATTCATTGCTTAACCCAAAATCTTTTCACAAAGGACCCATATTTACGCATTGGTCATGTATAGACCCGTCTTAGGGTTAGTTGTAACCATCTAGTTCTTACTATACAAATATTGTTTATTAGCCCTTTTACGGCATGGTCGCTGTTACCAAAGAGATCCCCACAGTCAGGCCCACAACAAAGCTTGGAAAATATCAATTGTAATAGAGGTGGTAGTGCAAAAATCCCACCAAACATGTCTCAGACCACACCAAACCAAACCAAACACATCTTCAGTATCGCAAACAGGTTGAAGTGCCGCCAAAATCGTTTCTGTCGTGTTCACCGTGTGCAGTACCGGTACGTGTCTCTATCAAACGGCGTTAGTATCGATGCGTGGATCAGTGCAGAAGCTTACTGCATGCTGTTGTATTGGATCTCCGGAAATATGAACTTTTACTTACATTTGTGCCTACCCTATTCATAGATTACTTCGTTGAACAAATGCATTTCTTTTAATATTAACGTTAATAAGACGAGCTTGTTACGTGAGTAAAACCTGCATACTCACTCTTGAAAGGACGACAAAGCAGGCCCAGCTACTGTACCCGTTCATCCGCTTTTAGGACCAAAGGGCATTGTATGTAGCTATCCTTTAGGGTTTGGAGCTGAACGACTAAAGTATATTGGCTTTCTCACGGTGTCTCTTAAATCTGGGAGATGAAAGTCTGTTATTACTACTACTATCAATATCACTAGTTGAAAAACATACGGGCACCTGTTTGATAACACGCCGGGGTTATTGACCTTCGCGAGCCAGTTACGGCAGCGTGTAACGGCTTAATCCGTACAAAGATCGTCTTTCACAACGGTTCACTCCACGCGTTTCGTTGGCAAGACACTCTGCTACACCGTGATACTTTAGTGATGCCGGCTTTTTTTGTATCTAAGACAACAGACCGCAGGAAAAATAGCCATTAGGCGTTTGAAACATCGACGCCTATAAATCAATTGAATTGTTTATGTAGCGAACGATTGGCTGAACTCTCTCTTTGTTTGTATGAAGGTGAACAAAGAAAAGAGGCCGACATTTCGTCTGTGAGAAGATTTCGATCTTGTTCCCCAACTTCGAACATTTTTCTACCACGTATTTATTTTTATATTAGACAGTGCTACAAATAGATTGAAATTCACTTCGACTGTCATATCTGGATCTGCGTATTTGAAGAACAGTATGACTATTTTTAAAGTGGAAGCGATCCACTAATCAGCTTACATCGTGCAGCTACAAGATAAAGTGTGCTTTATTTAAGGATTTGCATTCAGAGCGTCCACTTCACATATGATACTCCACATTTACATTCTAAATAAGCTTAAGTTGAACAACATTTTTAATCAAACTGCATCGGCGCGCCTCCTCCAGTATCTTGAAAGACGGTTCCACACTCCGATTCTACGAAGGGCTATCTCCGGGGCAACCGCCCTATCTTGTGTAAGTTGTACAATCACTTTGTTTGAAGCTAACAAAGCCATTAACCGACGACCAGCTTGCTTGCAGTGTACATTTATACCGAACCGTTTTGCCTACGGTCTAGGTATTGTCGTGGTACATGCTGTGCTACCAAATTGCACAGCAAAAACAAATACCTCTTTGTACTCATTTTCTTAGATTATTTATTTAGGTGTACAGTTATATGCGCCCTCTATAGCTATCGAGGCTACTACAGGAATCTCCGTTCCAGTCTCAATGGTTTCCGTTGGACTTATTTGCACATTCTACACAACAATCGTACGTTCATTTTAACGGTCTACTTCGAATTTTTCTGCTGCTTCCAATACTGTTTCTAATTTAAGGTGTAAAAAGACTTTCGATACGTTTTGACAATTGTTCACTTGAGACGGAACTGTTTAACATTCGGCGTAATTGTAAGCAGGCCGGTTTTAGATTATTCGTATTAATGGTGTCACAGTCAGAAACAGCGCTCATGAACGCTTCGAAGAGGTTATTTGTTCCGTCTGTCTGAATTGCCCAGGGTGGTATGAAAGCCGTTGTGTGGAGCGACGTTTTCCAAATGAGCCTAATGTTTTTTGCATTAGCGATGGTGCTCGTCAAGGCCGTATACGACGTTGGCGGAATCGACGAGGTCTACCGGAAGACCAACGAGGCAGGGCGGCTTAACTTCTCCAAGTAAGTTTTATTCGATCAGAAGACCCTTCTCGTTTACACAGACGGAACACAGATCATACAATTTCCAGTAATCTGAATTGCACCGACTACGAAATTTTTCACAGATATGGCAATAGAATCTAGACAGCCAGAGAAAAGTGGAAACAGTTTTTTCTTTACCTCGTGAAGCCGGCGTTTTCGTGTGACACATAGGCACAACAATGCGATTTCCCTATACATACGAAGTTGATCTTCACCTCATTTGTAAATGTCATTCGAAACACTTTTAGATTTGAATTGACAACAATCTTGCGTACTAACAAGGGTGATGCTGCCATAGTTTTCGCGTCGACCCATATGCAGCGGACTCGTTCTGGAACTGTTTCCTCGGAATGGGAGTTTTGTGGTTCTCTGCTAATGGTATGTCGCAGCAACAGGTTCAGCGGTATTGTAGTCTGCCAACGATGAAAAAGGCTCGATTGTAAGTTCTATTATCATTCTAGCATATTTCTTCACACAGTATACAATAGAATAGATATATATATATATATATATATATATATACTGCGATAACTTTTGTGGCCGCATTTTTTCAGTCTGGGATTCAGTCGGAGGGTCTGCATAACTGTCTTTAGTAATAGCAGCTTTTTATATTCTGAGTTTTAGCTAAAGATGCCAAAAAAGTACTTCTGCTACAATGATCAAACATCAACAGGTACAAAGTTAGATTGCTAATCCGCGTTTGCTGAAATGCGACGATTTTCAGAGCCCTTTATCTGAATATGATTGGTGTTGCTCTAACGTTGTCAAAGGCGTTTGTTTGCGGGTTGGCTATTTATGCTTTCTATCACGGGTGTGATCCTTTAAAACTCGGGCTTATACGAATGGCTGATCAGGTACAGTCCTATTTCAACTATATTTGTCTATATACCTATCTGTATGAATTTGTACATATTTGTTTGCAATATATGAATATTAAAGAGGTACAATTATAGTTGACACTTCTATTGGACCTGTTCTTATGCACTGCGGTACTGCCCTTACACAAATGTCTTTTTACAATTGACGAGTTGCAAATAAGACCGTTGTTTAATATTTACTCGGACTTTATATACATAGCCCAATGCGTATGTTTATCTGAGCCTATTAGCAGACATTGCGAACAGCTGCTTGTAGTGTCCTATAAGTCGCAGCGCTGATTAAACACAGATGAACAAAATTATTTTGGTTTTTTCGTTCCCAACAGATAATGCCATACTTTGTGTTAGACCGATTCCATATCCCTGGAGTTCGTGGACTCTTCGTAGCTGCCGTGTTTGCGGGCTCGCTCAGGTATCATTTAGCTGACATTCGTTTCGCCATCGATAGCTACCACATGGTTAGGCAACGCTATTTTCTCGTACCACAACGTTTTCAAGTTAGACAGATCGTCTTATGATAACGAAGATTTGAACAGCTGATTCTACTTAGCATATGCGTTCGTATTTGTTTTCGGTGTATTGAAGCACGCTATCTTCTGGTCTCAACTCGATGTCGGCGTGTCTCTGGGAGGACTTCTTCGCCCCTCTACTGTCCCCCGATATCGGTCCCAAACGGGCAGTACTGTTCACTAAATGTATCGGTTAGTAGTGCATCAGTGGAGCAATATGTTTCTGAACGGGAAACTTGTAGCAATGTATGCTGGGTCTGAGAAACGTTGCACATGCTTAAAATTGCCCATTTGAAACCGTATATGGTGAATTCATTTTAAATTGTATGTCTATTTATAAGCAGACTCTGTCTTTATGCGCATAATTGTCCCTTTTTTTTTTTTAATTCTAATCAACAACTTTCTTGTTGAAGACAAGGGTTATGCACGATTCATTGTCAACTTAATCAACCCACATGTAATCAGACAGCGCCATGTCTAAGTGTGTGTACACGAATATTTTTCCACCTAACAAATATATCTAGGAAGTAAATGTGAAAGTAATCTCTTTGCTGATGCTTTCCGCGGGCCGTTCATCTTGCAGCTTTGGGGCTTGGTGTATTGGCAATTGGTTTTGGCTTTATCTCGGCCTACATCGGTAACATCCTTCAAGCCTCGCTAGGTATGGCAGCCGCGATTACGGGGCCTGCATGCGCAGTGTATCTGGCCGGAGTCACGCTACCTTTTGTCAATACTGTGGTACGTAGTTTTCATGAACTCGGTTTTGTCCACCATTACAGCCATGTAGTTGGCTAACATAGAAAGTTTCGAGGTTCAAGTTGGTTTGGATGATACGTGGTGAACATTCAAGTGAATGGTAAGTTTTTCCGAAGCGCCGATGCCTAATGATTTTCGCTGCTTTCAGGGCGTTTCAATTGGTTTTGCCGTGTCCCTCGCAGTGTGTATATGGAGTGTCGTTGGTAAACTGCTAAATCCCTTAAAATACCCGGTTCTTCTAGTGAGCGCAGAATTTTGCAACTGGACAACCAGCGATTCGGCGGTATCCACGGTTGACCAAAACACAACTGTTTTCTACTCAAGGCCTCTTCTAGATACAATACACCCTAAGTAAGCATTTGATAAGAAAAACGGTACTTCATTGTATACGTAATAATATTACTATTGACAATATGCAAGAACGATAAGAATAAAGCAAGCAGGCCAAGATAAAAGCGGAACTCTACGTTAAATGAACCTAAACATACATATGTATGCGTTCAGTTTAAACTATTTCGTTTGTTTGTCAATAGCATTTGTAGCTTTCACTGCAATCAAGACTAGATATCTTCATTTCATTGTGATATTATTCTAGTGGTACGAATATCTTAACAAATCTGGGAAGAAAAATCGTTCTTGACAGCACCGAACGAAGAAGTATCTTCAAATCACAAGGATACGGCTAGGTACAAGGATAAGGCAAACTTTTATGTGTATCTAGAAGTTCCCATCATCTGTGTAGCAAATATATAATGAACCAATTGCGCCTTCGCTAAAATTAAAACTAGTTGTTATAGAAAAAAAGGAAGTAAATAAATATTAAATTTAGGTAGTCCATGGAAGGGCGTCCGAAAACAACTGAAAGGCCAAGTTCCCATTGTGACAGTGTACGGTTATCCTGTGTACCCACATGCAACGTCTGCCAATATTCATCATGTTGTTATGCCAATTTTAGAGGGTTGCAACATCTGTACTATATTCATCCATATGTGATGCCAGCCTTCGGCTTAGTACTGACGATTGCCATCGCTATTATCGTGAGCATCTTCACCGGTACGTAAATCATAAACACCGAATCAGCTGTTTCCGTCACTGTGAAATCGTAATGTGTAAGTATCAGGCACCTGAGGTGGTTTGGATTAGAATCGGGTAAACCCACAATTTGCTTTGTGCTGACAAGAGTTAGAATGCAGTGAATTCGTGAGTTTCGTCTGTGGTCATTGGATGAAACGTGTGTCGATTTAATAGTTGAACACGTTCTTTCTCTATAGGAGGCAATAGCCAAAAGATCGACAGCGGTTTGTTTAACCGTACCTGCTACAGAACTATCACGTGGACCCCGCCGATTTGCCTCAACATCTTCTGCTATCTTGGCTCTGTCTTTCAGTCTTCCGACTCTGTAAGTACGATTAGGAATACGTTAATCAATATCATGAACCAACCAAAGCCACCTTTAAGGCTTGATGCCTTCCACAGTTATTGATAGAGCTAAGCAGACAATTCTATTTCTGAAAATATTAGATACCAATTCTGAGAATACAGAAACCAATTACGATAAAGTCCAAAGCAATATTTCTGCTAAATGAACTTTTATAAGTCGCAATAACTATCGTAACGGCTAAATATTAACTTCAAGTTCAGGTACGGCCAACGTATAAATCCTTAACCGCATAATGATCTATTCACTGTCACTTTACAAATGCCCTGCTTTTAAAAATGCCGCTTTAGAAGTTCAAAACACATTGAAAAAGAGCCTGCTGGGACCCCGGTATTTTTCCGACTTGACGTAAATAAGGCAAAGTTTTATGTGGCGGTAGCTCACTGTGTGTCTGGGCGCTAAGCTACTCGTTTTCACGAATCTGTTTTCTTGTTCAAAGCAATATGTGTAGTGTACTTTGCTATATAATTATTTTATGTTGCTCTGTCGTTTACATTGCAGAAACCAACAAAAGACCTTCAAGCGATTCATGAAGATATTTCATTGGAAACTCAAAATTCTCAGAACAGCTGTGTCACGAACTGACAGGAGATAGCATCGAACTCGTACCGTCTAGCCGACCATATCCGTTGCAATTATGTTTTCTATTGTTATTTAATATCGTAAATTATTTATACATACTTAATTCTGCAAGTGAAAAAAACGCATGAAAGGAGCAATTAACTCATTTGATGACAGTACCTCAAGCATTACTTCACGGAACAATTGTTTTTCTTCTATATTTGTTCTACACAAAAATTAATCTACATTTATAATTTATATCTCCATGTATAGTGCGGCCGCCTCTTAACTATAATAAAAATTCACATCTGTTTTGAAGTCCAGAAGTCATCCAGCCTTCCTCCTTTTCCTCGAACCCCACTTTCATTTCGGATGCTATTATCATTATCGAACTGCAGACGCTTCGGCATTGAAGCGAACGTCTACCTGAACACTTTTATTTGAACTGTACTAAAACCTAACTAGAATTTTTCGTTTATCACGGTGCTAGCATTGCACTAGAAAAGGTCAAAGAGTCTTAAGTCAACCGTCAAGTCCGTATATTGCCTATTTTCGACTGCAATGTATTAAAGTTGAGCTTGCTACCGAATAAGAAACTCGGCTGTGAAATTCGGATGCAGTAAAACATAGAGACATCACGGGAACATTAATCTCAGTCAGCTGTTAAAAGCATGGCAAAATTTTCGAAGTTATGGTTATTTGCACATGTTTTGGGGCAAAAGTCGTAGGTTATTAGACGACCACGTCCAAATGAATGCGAATAATACGTTTTTGACATTGGTACGAATTAGGAGGCGCCAAGCGGTTCTTCAGCGGTGAGGGATGTCACCTCCAACATACGCAGTAAGAGCTCCAAACTCAACGTGTAAGCGGGCGTCCAAAGCCCACACTCGAATAGTCAAGGCAGCCTGTATTTAAGACCTATCCGAACGTATCTCTAAAGTGCTAGAGAACCATTGAAACGTAATAGGCAGCGATTGATAAAAACTATATATTGGTAAATTACATGTCTAATTAAATTTTAACGCAATAGTTAGTGTTATGCAATAATCATTATTTATTAAGAAGTTATTCAGTCGCTTTTCACTTAGATACTTAATGTTCAGCCTTGATGTCAGTGACAGCTTTACTGTCCTATGAACTGTCCTGATATTATCGGGAGCCGACATATTGACTGTAGGCTCCGGATACGCTTAAACTGAAGACTGCAAAAAAATTTGCTCACAGTTTTGATGGCCTTTGACGTATCTGAAACCGTTACGCTCGGTCGGATTTATGCTCAAAACATTTAACTGTGGTATCGCCTCCGTACGATGACGCAAATTAATATAATACAGTATATATATATATATATATATATATATATATATATATATATATATATATATAGATATATAGATATATATATATATGCATTAAGCGTAACTACTTAATCAATTATGCCATTGCAAGCGAAGACTACTTAATAAAGTGAGGCTGATTATCTTCTATAAGCTTATTTGGCGCTTCTATTAAGCTAAATATTGCATCGACAGCAGCGTCAATTGGCGAGTCAGAGTATAAATAGACAAAGTATGGAAACGGTCGTTGTCAAAACTCACGAACATTGCATTTGTTATTTAATTGCAGTTGTCTGGACAACGGTAACGGTAAATGATGTACTATCAAATCTAGTTGTACATATTATCCAAGTTTAGATCGCAAGCGTTGGACAGGCTGCTTCATCGTCATCGCGACAGAAAGGGTTTTCCATAATGATAAAATTTATACATTGAAAAAAATATGTTCATTTTACGAAGTTCGCAGATATGTTGTTTGAAAGCTTCCCCGCCTTTGGCGTGCCTCCTAAATTTTGACGAAAACGTTAGACCTTTCTGAACATTTTTTCTTAACTGGAATTAATATATGAACCTGTTAATGAATACAAACATTGTACGATTTTTCGTAAATATCTATCTGGCCAAATGCCGCTTTCCCAAGCGCGGGTCCACGCGCGGCTGACAGCTGTTCTCTTTACCAACTGGTTGGGTTGTCCGTTAGAAGCAATGAGCAGGTATTTCCTTCACTCTTATTGATCGCGGCATTATTTCGAAAACGTATTTCGAGTTACTGCCTCAACCAAAACTAATTACACACATTAATCTTAGTCAGCATTAGTAATAGATACGGTAAAAGACGAATGCTATAGATAATAAACACTATGACCTTGTTATAAGAGAGCTAAATACGAATTTCTATAGATAAAAATTAGCTGCCTTGAGTTTTTGCGCCAAAAATGTACATTATTCTGCTACAGGGAAGTGTGTCCGCAGAGTGGAGCGGCAATTGTTTGGGTTGATCCATCCACAAGCAGATACATACAGACAGCGATAGAAAGACAAGTTAGAGGAGCGTTCGATTGAGCGCCACGGTGCCGGTGCGACGGGGTCGCTCAGTCCAGACGAAGTGCTGATCTTTGTGTCTCTGTGCACTGAGCTTAGAGTGGCATTGTGAAGAATGACAGAAAGTGCAACTTTGTGCCGATGTGAAACAACGACTAGAATGATTAGAAGATCGTTGTCAATGGCGTAAGACTCAGTTTGGCCGTCCATACTTAGCCAATTATTAGTTGGGATAGGGATTCGAAATCGGGCCGGCTAACTTTCGCTAAATTAGCCCAGTTTTACTTATTTGTTCAATTCAAGTGATTTGAGAATAGGGTGAGATACATTCTGGTTGAAAAGAATCATGCAAAACTTTGTAGAAATAATACGGAGCAAAAACTCAAATTTTGCATAGATTGATTTTGGGAAATCTAAAGTTCGGATTTGTAAATCTCAGTGAAAGTTGTTTTAAGATGTTAACTATGTGTCCTCTGTATTAAGTTTGATTCACTTATTATATGACTATAAGTTATCTTAGTCTCAATACGTCAGTCTTGTGCCTTTTCACTCGATATGCCTGGCTAGGGAGTAATTAAAAATTGCTCAAGCTTTGACCTTAATATTCGGTTCGTGTACCTCTTATTTCGAAGGAAGTATCGGACCCTTTGGTACGCTACGGTAATGTGTGGCTATACGTCTAGATGTTAATGTACTTTTTAAGTACATTATGAAATTCCGATGTCTTAGAGAACCGAAATATACTTTTGGCAGAAACGTCGACACTGTTTTTTTGGTGTGCGTCGAAATGTGGAATAATGTCCTGACGACATTAGGGAGCCATATCATTTGAATATCCCCAATTAAATGTGTACATTGCAGCTTTGTGTACTTAGCTGTTATGGTTAGCTGGGCCTAATTTATCACCTAATTTGTCTAGCTGGAATTACAATAAATATTTACCGGTAATATGTATTTATTTCTGTCGTATCTTTGCTAACGGGTATGCTCTAACATTTGATCATTTTTAGCATTAAACTGACAGTGGAAACGCCCTGATGCGTATGAAATACGACAGAACGCGCCTTAGGTCGTAACACCCTCTGGGCGGGTGTAGCCTTATCGACGATGCAACCCCAACAGTTCGTCCTTCTGGGCACCACCTCGGTGGAACGCTGGAGCGAACAACTCGATCTTTCGTTAGACGCAGATGCTCTTACAATTCTTACCGAAGACTTGAACTTCCGACTTCGGCAGCTTGCCCACGACGCCTCACAACACATGCGTCATTCTGGTCGTCGGCGAATTACGCCAAACGATATCGATCGAGCACTACAGTGGTGCAATTTCGGACCATCGTGTGGCCTAGGATGTCGAACTAGTACTGAGCAGACTGATTACGTTCAGATAGACGACATGTCGGTGCCAATTTTTAAAAGTATTGAAGTCGAAAACGCATTGGACGTCCGGTTAGATCTCGATGTTGAACCTGTATTGCCAGCCTGTCTCAGCCAATGGGCACTTGTCGATGGCCGGGCACAACCGGGTGTCGAAATCGAATATCCTGAAGGACAGCGGAAATTGGACGCCTTCACCTCAGTACACTCGGAGTATCTTGAGCAGGCTGTGCAGGCGATCATGTCGGATAGCGATGAAGCGACAGCGCTAATCATGGACGACCTTGCCTCAAACCCGAATCTAGCCGTTCTGCTACCCTCGTTATTGAACTCGATCAGCGTCGGACTTCGGCAATATCATCACGACCCGCCAAGGATGTTCAGGCTGCTTGGAGCGTTTAAGGCTCTCGTCAATAATGACTATTTGTTGATGACCAGCAGCGCTTCACTGCAGGCGTGTCTCCAAATCTTGTACTACTGTCTACGTGAGTCACTAGCAATGGAAGCGACGGAAACGACAGACGAGCTCACTTTTCGAATGAAGGCGGCGTACGTGATGCAGTTCTTTGTCGAGATGAACTCGAATTCGACAAATCGTCTCGAGGAGGAGGTCACCGCTAGATGCATGAACGACTGTTTGACAGGCAATATCGACGCAATGTATGGGGCCCTATTCACTCTTCGCCTTCTTGGAAAAGGACGGCTGGTCTTAAAAGAGCTACCTGCACTAATAGCTGTTATCGAACCGCTTGAGCAGTTGCCTGCTGCATCTGCTAAAGCATGCCTTGCTCGTGGCTTTCTTCATGAATTCGCTCGGCAGGAAATTGTGCAGGCGCAGACAGCCATTCTACACAACGAACGCTACGAAGTCGACTACTCAGCCATTGAACAGTACCTTGGACCGAGTATCGCGGCAATGCTGCATCCTTTAAGTATAGGTGAATTCTTGTTCAGACCGGCCAGAAGTTCGCCGTTAGCTGAAAACGACAACTCTTCCGACCAATTGCTTGGGTCATTCTACGAAGATTCCACCCAGACTGTTCACAGTGGCTCACCAAAGAAGCAACCACGTCTCAAACCATCGAGTAGCATACTGAGATCACAGCTGATAAAACGATCGCCAAACGCTCCATGTTCGAGTATTTACGAAGCGTTTGAGATGAGCCGTCTGTGTGGACAACGCATCCGATTTAACTACGGCCAGCCAGTTGTCACGATGGAAAGGCCGAAACCGGTGACTCTTCACGAGGTGCACGCCAAGACGCGAGCGAAGTTTGCCGCCATTGTTGCCAAGCAACATGGACTAACGCCGAATAAGAGGCTTATGATGAACCGAGAAAGAAGATCGTGGTCGGCGATTATGCGATCTGCCTGTGTTGCACTCGTTCTCTAGTCGGAATCTCTGTCGGTGAAGACGCAGACCTGCGAATCTGATTTTCACAAAATCCGCACCATAAACTCTTACTTAATAGCTCAACAAATGGCGAAAAGTGTTCGAACAGAGAGGCTGGCTCTGCAGAGAACTCGCGTCCAATTCAGCATGCAAGATTGTTAGAAGACTGGTAATATTGCCAATATTTATCGTACGCGATGTATTGAAAATACTATAGCGGACAACGAGGGTGGCGGCGGAAGTTCCGCAACAAAGACATAAAACCAATACACAATTAGAGTTCTACTGATAGTAACGATGAAATAACGATGATGTAAGGCTGTACAGTATTTTCGATTTGTATGCAACCAGTGACGGAAATGTATAATTTGTATTATATATACATATAATTACACATATCTATATGGAATCTATAACGGATCGTATTATAGATGATAGCTCAGAAATGTACAACAATGGTTAAATTAAATTTACATTGCTTTTTTTTCCATGCGTGATGGCTTTCACCCAGGCTCTTCGTTGCACCGAATACGATTGTTTTTTTTTATGTTTCGCGGTATTAATTGGCGTTTGATATCATCAATTTGACTAGACGCGTTCGTTATTGTGTCGCAGTGTGTGCCAAGTGTGTTAGGTGTTGGGATAGCGTTCGGAGTAAACACATTGGACTTATATACATTTAATTATTATACGAAAGTTTTGTTACTCGGCACAGAGACTCACTTTGAGCTGTTTTTGCATGTAGTTGAATTTGTAATATTACTGTATAATTAGAGTAAGCTATCTACGTCCTGTCATGTTCGTAAGTTATTTTTTTTCATCGTTTAAAGGAAGTAAATGATGGTAATCGTAGCAGTGTTATCTGGGTGGGACAGGAGTACTTGTAACGGTAAGTTCGCAATCGTATTGCACGCACAGAACATGAGCAAGAAAGATTAAATTCACTCGTTGTTAATTAATTTCCTTCCGTCGGTCGTGCAATATACGAATTTCTCGTATTTTTATTTCATGCATCCTGCAAAGCAATTTTCATGTAGGAATCGACCATTGACCAGAGCTATGGTCAGGGGGACGGGAGAAAGAATTACAGTACTGATCGTTTACGTACGTGCCGATACGTAATAGCTACACATTGACTACGTATACTGTGATGCCTGCGCTGTGTCAGTTATCCAACCGTAAAAGTGTGCATCTCGGTGGTAATTGCCATTAAGGACGTGTCATCTCTACTGCGATCATGGAAACCGCACTTCGTTTTACGTTCGTTAGATCCCGACGAGTCAGTTGATGATTTCATTTCCGTCGGGTTTGTCAGGTTGACACATAAATATTCCGACGAGTTTCTCCTGTTGTTTCTACCACAAAATCCGTCTCCAAACGGAGATGGCTTTTTTGATTCTGTGGAGGTCATCGATAATAAAAATCTAATCTACTGCAACAAAGATGCGAGAATTGTCGTATTGATGGTCTGTATCGCAAGAACATATTATGGCGATATTGTGGACACACGGTATAGTAAATATAATCTGTAACGACGATAAACGTACATTGAAAACGTGTTACAGTTTAGCGTACAACGTGTTGCTGATAAATGTTGCGATGAAAACAGTTACTGCGACTGTTTTAGTTCGTTTGAGAGGTAGAATGCTTATTTAGTGTGAAATTTTGTGTAGGATTTTATAAAGGATTTGACTGGCAGGATCTCTAGTAATACAGAGTGTGAGAAATCCATAACAATTTCCTTCGCTTTTGGGAGCGATGCAATGATATTATATATTTTTTAAGACTAAAACAACTATTCTACACGGAGACGAACCGGCGATATCAAGCACGATGCCAGAAACTCACAAAGCGAAAACCAGGAAAAAACTTCTCCTCGCAAGTTTTTTTAACCTGTTTCTAACCAGTCTTTCATAGCTGACTTCCAGCAATTTTCTTCCTGTAGTGGGTCCCGGTACGACGTGTAACAATGCTGCGAGACTTCTTCAAGCGAGCAATGCAATATAATTAGAAGATCTAACAGGAGCACTGGTTATGATTTCCATCGTTTTTGCTATTGCACGATTGTTTACTAGATGTTCTAAGCATGCTTATGCCTAGATTCAAAGTAACACCACGTTAATTTTCCTACTGACTAATAGACGCGTCATCATTATATTATTTGGGGGAACAACAGCAAAAGGTTTCGGCAGCAATCTTCCCATTTATGTCGACATGTATTATAATTAGGTAATGGCTTGTAACTGTGCTCTTCTCAAAACGTGCTTGCCTGGGCCAATCATGTCGTTCCAAATACTCACGTTGTCTTAAAATAGGTTAGGTAATAGAAATATTAAATATTATATTATTGGCCCTACTCTCTTCCAGTGCGCGCTAGAAGGAAACGTTACTTATCTGTCGAATGGGGCAGCTGGCTACTAGCAACCTGTTTCATCTTCCTAAGCAAAGCACTGTATTATGTGCGACCTAGGTATCATGAAATAGAGGGATGCCGAGAACCGGAGATTAAAACGGTGCCTCTATGATCACATTGTTGCTGGGATCCAAGACTAAAATTTAATTCTAGATTAAGGAACAACTGATCTTCTTTGGTTTATTTCAAATAAAACGTGTACTCCATGCGCAGTACCACATCGTAAGCAAGTCCTCATTTTTACAGATAGAGATTTAGTCGTCTTAGCCACCGAGACGAATATGTGCTGTGTGTGAAATAAAGGAAAGATGTTCTAATGGAGGAAACAAATGTTGTTTTGATTGCACTAAGCATCAGTAACATTTATTGGATGTTTTAACTTCAAGGAACTTCCTTAGCTGAAAATTTAAGCTATTTGTAGGCTTCAAATATCTGAAAAAAGTTGTTTTTGATTTTAGCTAAGATATTAGTACTTTTACTCAACTGCCATGGCATTTATGTTGCTAATATTAGCCATTGGCACCGGTGCAGTAGTACATGAAACAGTTACGTGTATCAGGATCATTAGATAATACGATTCGTCATAAGCTAACGTAATTTTTTGCTTACTCCATTGTCGGTGCTACTGCTTTCTCTTCTAGATAGCTTTGCACAGAGCTGGCATCTAGCACCTGTTTTCGATCATACGATGGATTGCATCGGGTCACTATTAATGTACTTGGAAAGCTAAGATTTAAAAAAAGAGAAAAAAACTGTTGAAATGCCGTTTGTTAGACTTCCTGATAACGGAATACCTAAAAAATAAATGAAATTTTACCAAAGATCCGCTATACTTTACAATTTTAGAGCGATCAAGGCACAAATCCTGTCCGTACTGGCAACAAATTCGTGCTGCTTAAGTACAGTACGTGAATCAGAGGAAACTGCTCAAAGATAGTTCTGTCGCTTTCGTTCTGAAAATTTCGATGTGAGGGCTATTCCTCGTAGTGGCGGATGGTAGATAAGGAGCTGATTAAATTTTTGCAGATATTGAGCCAGATCGACACATGGGTAGCCATGATAACGTAAGCATCATCATTTGAATAAAGCTGGTTGCAAAAAAGCCACACGAAATCATGTTTCTATTTGCGGAATTTTACAGAAGCACAACGAAATCGAGCCATTTCGAAAGTGGTTGAACAAGGACTGAATTGATAAATTATACCGTAACGCCGCCGTTAAGGGTCTATCAATCACATGAATCGTTCACTGATTGTTATATTCCAAAAGCACAACAAATGATAGTAATTTGACCTAGAATGACCATTAATAGTAAGAATCAATAAGAAGTATCCGTTATGATTCTTTGAGAGAATTAGTTCATCTCAGTCACTTTATGGATAGCTGAAGAATAGGTGTATGAGTAGGTGAAAGCTGAATTCAGCGCAGCTAAGGTTTTCGTCTGAGAAAGTCCAAACCTCAATACTTAAGCAGTCATAAGACGCGTTAAAGTCAAAGCAGAACTTTAATTATCGAAAACTGCATGCAATATTTCTATCAATATAGCCATTTCAAGCGTTTTTCGCCTAACTGATGACGGTAAAAAATGATAGCTTATCTTATGTGAATATGACGACTGATACCGTTTATGGACATGTTTGATAGGGTCCAAGAGGAACTTTATCGTTTTATGTCACTATGTTTTGCATCTGCGAGCATTAATATGAGTTTTTTTTTGGCAAACAAAGTTAAAATTTTGAAACTTTAAGGCTATCGAGATCAGATTAGTTCAGTGACTTAGGCGAGATATGAGGCCTGCGTTCAGTACAAGGCACACGAGCGAACTTCTACTCTTCAGCCTGGCTCGAGGTGCTTAAAAGTTCGAACCAAAGCCGACGCTTTGCGCAATTTCGCTCTAAATTCTCTTTGAAAAGAAATTTCATTGACTTCAATATTAAATATACATGCGTCTGAAACATAAAAAAGCCATCATTTGGGCTTGACCTGTTGTGGGGGATACTCTTGTATCGTAATTTGTACGTAAATTTAACAGTCGGCCTTCTCTTTTCGTTCTTTTTCGACCAACATCGCAGATGAAGATTATTATCACTAGGATTATTATTTGGGCATTTTTCTCTAGCTAGTTATTATTAGTCAGTCACGTTTAGGAAGAGAAATTAGCACATCGCGGAAGCTAGCTTGCAGGGGGGGGGGGGGACCGGTGCTGAGTGGCTGTGGGCTTGTATAGCTCGTTTTTTTACTTTGTACTACAGTTACCGCAATTTTATTGAAAATACACATGTCTCCTCGAAATGTTCCGTAGCTGACGCACGTATTAAACATAGAAGTCGATGTTCAGCCCCCATTTAAAACAATTCTAAAATGTCATAAAGAAGCCCAAAACTGGGTCGTTTGAAATTGGGAATTGTAGAGTCGTTTGCTTTATCGGATGCAGGTATCGAAGAACTTAAACGCAGAACATAATTTACAGTTAACAAGGAATTTAATTAAGTTTACATGCCGCCATTTATTCATTTTAGCTAAACAATATTAACGCGACTTTCAGTTATTTCCAGTCGATTCCCGATACGATGTCCGTTCCGATGCCCTTCATCGTTGCGTTATTATCTGTAACTGGGAGAAGCAACCGCGTCTCGACAGTTGAGCTGAACTGACATTTGCCCTACGTTGCGGCGGTTTTAGCAATGGATAAACAATATTTGTTAATAAGTATCTCATTTGTAACCATAAATAATCCACCACATAATGACATAAATCTTTATCCGAAGTGCCGCTCCTAGCTCAGTCACCAATAAGTACTGAGTCTGTGCAATCATTTAGTTGAGTCATCTTGCTTCAGCCGGGCTCCTTGAGGATATCCACAGACACCCAGACGACGTCTAGTACTGTAAAGAGTATTTACTAATAGTCCAAGCGAAAGGCTGAATACAGAGAGATAGAACACGTTGAAAGCGTCGGAAATATTGGCAATATTTTTAGGTTGATTAGCACGTACTGTGAATTCGGTACCGGTTTACTTCATGCTCTATCATTTGTTGGACAGAACTTTGAACAAAAGTTCCGTTCGCTAGATAGGTTTCATGGACTAATGGAGGGTCTCATTAAATCATATTCAACTGAAAAGATAATTTTCATAGTTTTTACAATGAGCAAATTTAGCAACAGAAGGAACGCACTCATTTAATCCTAACTAATTGTGATGATAAAAGTCTGCAACAGTTTAAGATAATGTTGATACTGAAGATCTGATATAAACACGTTTCACTACGAGATTAACTAAAAACGTCAAATAATATTTTATGTCAGTATCACAAATACTACATCGATAAACGTTTTTATTTAAGCAGAAATCATTAAAAATGTGCAGCAGGATATCTTCGATGTGGACTACACTTTAACGGTATATGCACCATATAAATAGAGAACAGGCACCATATAAACAGTACACCATATAAATAGAAGTCAGCTTATACGACGCTACGAGTCTATTTACCTTCCAAAGTTGTTGTGTGTAGCATATGAACGTACGCTGTTAAATTTCCGTTGTTCTCTCCAGTTTCGTCCGACATTTCCACTCTGCCACGCGTCGACCTTGCTCTCTGCCCTCCCACCTCTGTGGGTCCTCTTCCACCAGAAACTTGGCGGCCATTTCAAATACTATCAATCAGATAAGCCTTTGCAGTATTTTAATGCATCGTCGCCGCTAACTAATGCGTTCTGTTATACCCGATCACGCAGGATGTTCGTCCAGTTCAGTTGACAATTGATGACATTTGGGACTCTCATTACATTTTGAGAGCATCTCTTACCCACCTGTGGAACACCACCGTTTCGCCGCGCCAGCTCTCCGTCGATCAGCTGATCGAGCCAGTGGCTTGTGACGGACGCAACATTGGCGAGGACACGAACAGCTGCAGCACCAGCAGCAGTAATCACAACGACGAAGTCGACGGTAACAATAACAGCAACAACAACGCGGTGTTTTGGAAAAACAACAGTTGACAAGAAAAAGCAGAGGAAGAAAGTAGAGGTTCTTCTTTCCTGCGACTGCTGCAAAATACGTCGTTCATGGCTGCGGTACGGCCGCTGCTGACGACTGCGGTGATCGTTGCAGCAGAATTAAACGCTGTACAGCTGCTGACAACGACAGCGGCGATCGAATTAGACTACCATAGCGAAAATAACGGTCCAGTCGTGCGACGCACCTCGAATAATGGCGCAACATTTATTGACTATGGATAGCTGCTTTAGATGACTCTAGCCGACAGCGCGTCGTTGTTTTGTCTTGAAGTTGTTGTGTTTTGTGTGTCGCTGCAGATGCTCGACCCATGTAAATATCTATATTTTCCGTGGAACGGTGCACAGTGAAAACTGGCTAACAATACTCTGCAATTGAAACTGTGTGTGTGCTGCTACTAATTTAGAAGAAGATTTATTACTATACCGTTGACTAACTATTACGCACAACGGTTCTAGTTGTTATTACTAATGTTTAAGTTAAGTACTGAGATATTTATCAGCTAGCATGAAACGTTGAGCAGCTAGATCAACAAAGATAAAGACAACTCAGAAACGTTGAATTGGAATAACGTGCCATTTCTACCTACATACGTATTCTTATTTGGGTACACAATTAGAAAAAAATAATCAAAACAAAAGCAGACAAAGTCAACTCAAGTCTGCCAGTCGCGTTGTGTTAAGCCTCTGGCCTCGTGTCCCAGAACTGTCACTCGTTCTGATCCTGTAAATATGTCCTGACGCATACGGTCTCCTTCCATGTAGCCATTAGGACTACACCATCGTTGTAGTACATTTCTCATTACTTGTATAACTACTACAGCGGCAGCGAAAGTATTCTTTCTAATAAGATAACGCACGCACAGAAGCCGGTTGGACAAATGTAAAGAGGAACATGTGCACAATCGGTAAAATACTTGGTAGCAGGCAGCCAGACAGCGGGCGCACAGAGTACTAAAAAAGTCGTAGTACGAATAGCTACGGTAATTTATCGTTATTTGTTTGCAACAATAATAATAACATGGCTCCTATTCATACGATTTCCACTGGTAAATATAACTACCTGGTGTACCACTAACGAACAATTGATTTCGTTACCACATTCGCACACGGGATGTTTCTCTAGCGATAAGTCACACTATGTTCTGAGGAGTTATTGGATCACATTGTTGAGATAGTGTTCTTCTTCTTATTATTATTATTACCAATGCTAAACGTATTAGTTGTTATTGTTTGTATAGTATAATGTTGACTTTGGTGGTTAAACGACTGTCGATATCGTTGCATAGCTACAAGGGCGGATCAGAACGGCCATTCGGTATAGGGGTTCGTGTGAAGAGCAAACACTAGAGCTCTAGCATCGCGACCGCCGACACGAGCGCTATTGTTGATATTATCGCTATTGCTTATGTCGTTATTGTGAATTTGTAAATACTGCTAACTGAACTTCTGATCAACTGACAGAATACTACAGACGATATATACATGCATTTTTTGATTTAACCGTTAATGAGTTGATTGTTGCTTGTTTAAATTCTCTTAAAAGTTTCATTTTCCTGCCTACATTCTTAAGAAATTTTTGATTCTTGCTACTCTTACCTACCCATCGCTTTATACCTGCACTGAACCGTGCTGTTCTGTAGCAAATCGAGTTCTATTGCTTTAACGTATACCAAAAGCGTTTGTTTACCATGACATGTAGTGGACAATCACACCGAGAAAGTAACGCGCGTAGACGAATCTCATTATATGCATTTTTTTCACAGGCTAATAGTAAGTGTATAAAACGACTCACTATTGGGGTACTACAACTTCTGATAAGACATTTTGTTGTGCACCAGGTCATTGTGTACCCCCTATCATATTATTAAAAGTGTTTACTAGCAAACCAATGACCAAGCGATATTCAAAAGCGAATACTGCCGACAAGAAACGCAGTATCTATATGCAACCGTTTTAAGAATAGGCTACGATTCAATTTACCCAGTTTGCCCTTTCCGGAATAACGGGTTCAATTGCCCACTAATTCGGGGCCGAGAGTACCTGTTACCGATTGGGGACTTCGAAAGCTCCGTGTCAGACGCTTGAAACAACGATGCCTGTACCAATGTCCAGCACCGGCTTGGGCCGGATAAGCACCAAAATGGACAGCCGAAATGTTGTTTGTATATGGGCGACTCGATGTGGGGAGCTGGCATTAGTACCTTCAGAGAATCAGCTACTTTGGCTTCCGCATACCCCCTCCGCACCAACGAAGTCCTACAAGGATGCATGTCAACATCTACTCGTTAAGGTGAGAAAAGCACAGAGCTATCTGGCATCACTGGATGGAAAATACGCGCTAGTATGAATTGAACGTTACTGAAAGGGAGTAGTACATATTCGTGTATACAAGCGGAAATACACAAGGTTCGATATATTCGACTCTTATAGAAATGTACCAAATGGTTAAAAAAGGGGCCCTTAATTTAACACGTTATGCTAATTCACGGTCTCGCATTATGCCATTACAAGATGATGTTAAAAGCCTTTTTGTTTCATTCTGTCTAGGACGGAATGTTCAGGCCACAGATTTCTTAATCATTGTAGTTCACTTGGCGATTGTATAGCTTTGTTCTAGCAAAATTTACAACAGGGAACTCAATTGGCTTTAAAAATATCGATTGATTTTCACTTTGTCACGCAGCACGCTAACTTTACAAGCACAGAATTGGGGAAAACAAATACCATGGGAATGGTCTGAGCATGCGGCTAGCATCATCTGATGATTCAATGAGAACTTGTATGTTTTGTGATTCCGGAAACAAACATATGCACGTTCATCAAGTTCATGATGTCAGGACTGGCGTAACTTGTAAGCCAGTTCCTTGCAGTAACGTCGATAAAAGCAACCATAATTTAAAAAAGTAATCGTTATATTTCGAATTGCATCTGCATGTGCGGCAAATACCGCAAATAATACAAGAATTTGAAGATCAGTCTGTGACTAAAAAAAAGACGTTGTATTGGCGTAGCGACGAAATGTTTGTGTATCAAGCATTTAGTCGCTAGAGAGAGTCTGCTCGCTTGCCTAAATATATTCACTAGGTTTAAAGCTCATAAATGGATTACAGATAAAAGGAGGCCCTAGATAAAAACCTGTAGTGCTGAACGGTTATTTGTTATAGTCGGAAATATATGCAATCACTCATAGTACAGGGCTAAATATGGTTTTAAAACTAGGTTTCACCTTCCGTCAGTAGGCCGTCGCATATATATATGAGAAAGTCAAGACGCTGACCTCTTCTCTTTCGACCTGCAGTATGAGATTCGACCAGTTGGGACGCCGGAGATGTTTCTACAACGGATTCGCGTTGGTGGGGAATGGTGGCAGCGGGTAATTTTCAAGATGGAGACCTTCTCCAAAGGAAAAGTCCAGTGGGTTCGGCAGTCGAGACTTTCCGAGGTGAAACGATTTCTTCTTGTTGACATAGTTTGGGTTGGGTTTAAAGTACGATTTTTTTCGTCACGCAAATTGCTAGATACGCGCGAATTCGCGAGAGAAACGATAGTACTAAGCAAGTTAAAAGGATTGCTCAGTAGTTTGTTTTTTCAAATAGTTACGAGTAATATCAAGAAGTGTATACCTACTCTAGTTTGTCGTTACCTAAGATATTACGCACAGTATCACGATACGAACAATTTCCTGCCTCATTGTGCAGATCCTCAAAGCTATATAGTATTAGGATAACATTAAACTGTTCTTGATTTATTAATTAACTAAACACAATCCCCTATCTACAGAATCCGCTGCAGAGCGATGACCTGCTCACGATAGAGCTAAACGCGGGATGCCAACTTCGTGAGCAGTCACTTGATGAGACGCGGTCACATCTTCGGCAGTTTAAATCTTCCATGGACAAAATTTTCGCAAGTGCGCAATTTGACGCTGATCGACTTCACGCTGTAGCTAGTACCCTGTTTGATGCAGTATGGCCCTGCGAAAGTTTTCATTGGAGTGTGTTCATCGAGCTCACTGAGCGACTATACGGCGGCAACCTCAAAGCAGTTACGGGTAAGATCAAGTTTTTTTTTCATAAGCAAGAATCAGTAAAAGGTTTAGAGGAGCCAATGCGGAACATATATATATATATATATATATATATATATATATATATATATATATATATTAGATCTACTTTTGTTAGTTGTTTATCCAATTTACTATACTTGTCTTCGCTGTTATTTTAAAATAGATCAAAATGTCAATCATGCACGTATTGTTACTGTTATTATTTAATAAAAAGAATTCAACAGATTTTTTTTTAAGTTTTATTTACCATTCATGTCAATTTCGCTATCTTAATTTTCTTGTATATCTCGTTGTTCCTACACTATTGCGACCTCCTATCAAACGCAGATATTTATCGCTTGTGCTGTTCTCGAGGTTCCACGTACGCCTGCGTGTACGACGTTCTTTGCGTGCTGGCCTGTCTAGAACTCGCTACGGATCATGGCGACGTTTCTGGGGAGATGCGTTGCAGGTAACGTTGTATGCAGGGTTCAAGAAACTATTGTAACATGTTGTTTTTGTGATAATAATGATAATAATAATATCGTTTTCGTCATCTGAAGTCAAATTTAAGCTTGCACAGAAGTGAGCGAACGTTAGGCCCAAGAGCCCTGTAATACAAAAATGGACATAATAATCTTGTATTTCGTGTTACCAGAGATTCAAGTTTTTAAAAGAGCATCGAGTAAATCTATTTTGATTAACGAAGTTTATCTCTTATTAAATACAATCTCAGCATGTTTGAGCATTTTCCCACGTAATCTAGTTTTAGTTGAGTTATTGATAAACATTTTAGGTTATCTAATTAAGATATCTAATATGCGTTCATCGGTTATTTGTAGACTAATTTTTCGAATGTTTGACCGTGATGAGGACGGCATGCTCGACCCAGGTGAGCTTGCGTCCCTTGTACACGAAGTGGAGGCGGCACGAACTATTGGGGGATCGGTCGATACAACACGGAGAGATCTCGCCGTGGCAGAGGCCCGAAAAGTGTTTGACCTTAAAGAGAAAGAAAAGCTACCATTGGTTAACTTCCTTACAGGAGTGGGAAATCTACGTTTTAGGGGAACGTCCCTCCTACTTCGAGCGCCACACTCGGTTTTCGAATATCTCGACACCGCACTGTAAGAAATCAAGCTTATTTTATTTATGCAATCAACGCCCGTATTTTGAAATTGCACAAGTTTCTGGGGACTAGACACCTGTAATTCGAACGAAACTGTTTTAAACTATGTTCCAATTAACTGTTGTTACTGCTGCAGAGCCGAACCGGGCAGAAGATCGAAACGACGGCGTTCACCGAGTAAAACTTCAATCGACTATACGCTCGCAGAACATTCCGTGCGAGTTCGCCGAAGCGGAGCTGTGTGCGATGTTCTCTCTTGGTGGAACGTACAAGAACGCGAGGAGACCAGCGGCGACGGTCTTCGAGGAGGAGGGATCAGTAACAACAAAACCATGGACAGTGAAATCTCGGTAGAAGGAGAGAATCATAACCGACGAGATTTGCGTCTCGGAAGGACAATCTCGATAAACGCATTTAACGAGGTATGATTTTTTTCGTTCATTGTCTCTTAAGTGATAATTAATGACACTTTGGTAGATTATTACACATTATCGCTAGAAGCTTAAGTCACTTTTGTTCGTTCTTGCAAGCAATTATTCTTCGTAATATTTGCCTGGGTTCATTTTAAAATATTTTTTCATAGAGCAGGCTTGTTGCAGTTAGGGAGATAGTTAGCATTTTAAATACAATGCAGTGGACTCTAAAATAAAAAAAGCATAGCAGACAACTGATTTAAACTTTGATAAAATTTATTATTAAGGCGCAATTTGCTGTGAATAGAGCGTGAAGGTACTATTTCTCGACGATCAGGGCGACAATTGGACGAAGCATGTGGAAACATAAATCTATGATCACATGACCGTTTATATTATTGTTTAGCGTAACCATTCAAATGAGCTACTTGTAGCGCTACGTTATTTTGAGCAAAGCGTAAATGCATCTGAGAAACATAAACCGAAAGAAGCGTTCAGTTGGGCCGATGTGGATCGCAATGCTTTGGCCGCCTGTATCATCAAAGTCTGCACTGATGTGAAAGGAGTTTTACTCAAGGAAGATCGCCTGCTTCAGCTACAAAGTCCTGTTTATATTCTTGGCGATATACACGGCAACTACAAGTAAGTTTATACTTAAAGTGAAATTATCGTCGTCGTTATTTTTATTGCTGTCGACAACCGTATCAGGCAAAGGAAAGCGCCACCATATGTCTAGGCTCACGCATGTGTCTTGGCGTACGGCTGACGTCCATTATAGGGACCTCGTGTGCTTTGAGAAGGCGTTGTGGCGAATGGGCCCCGTGGTAACACCGTGTACATTTTTGTTTCTCGGCGACTTCGTTGACCGGGGCCCGAACTCAATTGAAGTTGTGGCTCATCTTTTTGCCAACAAACAACTAGCGCCAGAAAAATTCTTCCTTCTGCGAGGCAATCATGAAGTACGCAGTGTGCAGAGGATGTTCAGCTTTTACACGTAAGGGCTGTGCTAAATTTCGGTTCGACAGAGTTTTCTAGTTTCCACCTCGAACGTTATTTGACTAAATCATAAACTTCTAGGAATGATGCAAAACTATGTTGCCCCTTTTCAGTCTTTAATGGTGACATCCTTATCTTAATTTAACATACTCGTCTAATCCTTCAATGCTAGTACGATCTTGCTTTGCCATTGTAAACACTTGTTTTTACCGATTTTTTTTAGAGAATGCAAAACCAAATTTGGGTCCGATATGGGCCATCGAGTGTGGGAGGCCATAAACTCATGTTTCGATTCGATGCCTCTGGCGGCTGTTATCGACGACAAGCTGTTCTGCGTGCATGGTGGTATACCACCGGCCTGGTTACTACAAAGACCTAATGCCGATGAGGCTGATTCAAGCCAGAAATTGGCTGGGTCTATGGAAGCTATTAACAGCATACCGAAACATTTGCCCGATCCCGAGGTTCAGAGCCCACTGGCTTGGGAACTCATGTGGAGCGATCCAATGTGGTAAGCAATTTTGCCACGTGAACCTTTTTACCTAAAAAGTATATTATTAATAACCTAAATAGTATTAAATGCAAAAAAATTGAAATGCCTAGCAAAAGGTTACTAATTTATCTTTGAACCTCTTCTCTAATTACGTTAAAAAAAAGCTCAAAAACTTCTGAGTTGTTCCCCGCTGATACATCGATTGAGGATCAAGACGTACTATACACAGAAGACTTCCAGGCTAATCCTAAACGACGCACCGCTCACATGTTTAGCGAAAAAGCCCTCAACGAATTTTTGCATTTCAATGGACTTTCACACGTTATCCGTGCTCATGAAGTTCAACAAGCCGGATTTCAAGTAAGAGCGTATTCTAGTAACAATTCCATAGTCATAAGTGAATAGACACGTATAGGAAAAACCAGCGTGTTTTTTACCGTAAGAGCATACGAAACGTACAAGAGCCTTACATGTTCTTATGGTAGTTAGCTCTTAGAAGTTAGGTCGAATACCGTGAGTACAGGTGAGACTGACAGGTTGACAAGACTGCATCATCTTTGGAGTATTCCGGGAAATACTTAAAAGGTCTGTCTGATATGGTCGAAATGGAGTTTGATTCTGCAGATACCGCTGTTTTTTTTGGTTTCAGGTCCAACAGAATGGCCGTTTACTTACGGTATTTTCATCTTCGCGCTACTGCGGAGGTTCAAATGAAGCTGCCTGCGTCCTCGCTGATAGACAAAAATTGCGGATGATCCGATTAGATACATCATAAAGCAATTAAATGCTTTCCATTTCATGGCTCACAATTCCGTACTACGATTTCATCGCACATTAGCACAATGACCAGAAACATAGAAATTACTGTTTTAAAAAAACGGATACAGTGTAGTCTGATTGATGCTCAAGTAATCAACAGCATACTGATTACTGCCGCGCAGAAAACGTGTCATGGTCATACAGGAGTTCAGAATGCACAGTGCCGGTGCGTGCGTTGTCCGCGAGACAGCGTCAAGCATGGTCTTATGTCATCGTCATCAATATCTTCTTCCATATTTGTGTACTGTTACGTGTACAGTAAGCAAAACGAGAGCTACTGATAAAGCTGGCGATGAACATAAGCTTGTGTTGAAAGGAAAGTCGCTATGGTACAGCTATGCTTGTAAAATATTGACTCTTAAATCAATTTATTCGTGACAGGCATTGATATTGATTTGAAGCATATAAAATATACTGCTAAAGCTCATTAAAACAATTCTCTGCAAGAAAGAACACTTCTAAGTGAGGCGCAAGCGATACATAAATATGCTGCCCACATATCTTGGAAGCTGTTGTTCTTAATAGTCTTAAATATTTCTTTCTTTGTTTTCTCGAAGGAAGAGATTAGTAATGGCCAAGGACGTAATGGATGAGATTGTAAGTACCCAAAAAAAAGTATTAGTAATTCAAGCAAACTCGACCATTACCTTCGTAAACAACTTCCTGCTATTCGGACTATATGAAGTAATTCTATTATAAACAATAGTACTCAGTTAGGATAATGTAGTCTTAGCTGAGTTTGTTTTGAATAGAGCTATGAAAACCCAGTAATGTTGTGTATGTGAGCTTCTGGTGGATAAGTATGTTTGTTATAAGCAGCTGTACCTCACTTTGGACGTCCTATGTATAATTATATAGATTTTGTTAATCGCGACTGGCCATGAGACGAGCCGTGGATATTTTCAGTTGCTCAAATGACAAAACGCTTATTTGGAAAACAAAATAAATAAACCGTATTTAATCATTATTCATCGGAAGGATATAGCTTGCCAGTAATTCATATTGAAGCGTTATTTGCTACCTGTTTCATGCTGGCAAGAGGTACCATGTCAGTTCATAAGGTTTAGCTGTCATGCAATAGGGTTGCTGGACATTCTGGAACTGTTATGAAGGTAGGAAAATTTTTTGTTTTTTAGTCATCATTGCTCATATATCGACGTTGCACACCGTGAGATAAATTGCGTGCGCAGACCAGCACAATAGTGTTCTTTATTTTAATAAAATAAATAACATAATAGTGCACTAAAGATGTTCTTTATTTTGATGGCATTGAATACAGCAAGCGTTATCATAACATCGGATATCCTTGGCGATTTCAAAATTATGGATGGTACTATTAAATGACATTGAAACTTTACAGGGGTGATTTAAAATAAGATATTGAAAAAATAAAAATACGCCAGTACCGTCTCTCTGTTTCGAGTTTTGCGTCAGGTTAGAGACGGCTGGCTCTCAGTACGAAACAAAGCATGTCTGTGCCTGGGTTTGAACCTAGGCCACAACCGACCAGTACCGTCTACCCTAACCAAACGGTGCTAGGTCGACTGCTGGAGTTTGGAATGGCGAAATGATGGGGTCAGTGCTTCAGTATTGACCTTAACATTTCATGAAATCACCCTCTATTCTTTATGATTGTACCTGTACTGATTCGATACAATTCAATGCTCGGTAAAACATATAATGGACAACACACTGTGCACAACACACAAAGCAAGCTATTTCGAACGTGCTCTGTAAAAAAACTATTCCTCTGCTCCTCGCTATTAGCCTTCACGTACCTTCCATTCTGACCTTTTATTGAAGTAATTTTACATGTAGCTGCTGAACTCGTACATTTTAGTTTAACGCTTCACAGTACTGAAAGTTTATACTTGCCAAGAATATATTATAAGGTTTAGAGAGCCTTACCTACAAATATTCAAGTTTTCAGGATCTTCAATTTACAGTGCATTGAATCAATCATGCGCGTATTATTTATTTTTATTCTTACAGTTTTTATGAAAACTAATTTCCCTTAGGTTCCACTTAAGGCAATGTTTACATGTAGTAATCAACAGTTCCGGTGGGTCTATTAACAATCTCATCGATAGAGACGGCTATTTTGACTCGTCCCGCGAGTTATATTTATTAATGCCAGCAACCGCGAGGCTATCAGCCATCTCGTTCCCGTGGATGCCAACGTGTCCTCGAACATGTCTCCAGGTGACATCAATGCCCTCGGTGGCTCTCAGGAGTACCTCAAAGTCTTCTTTATTGATCACAGGTTTTCCTGTTGCCGACTTCCAACTATTCCGCTGCCAGCTAGGAAGCTAAACCAAAAAGATTCAGAACGTGTATGGTTCCAGACACGTGAATTTGCCAAGAAATAGATTAGACAACCCTTTATTTATAGTACAGTGAAGTCAACAACAATCCATTCACTGTAGAGATCGCAATCATCGTGTATATGTTAAGACTTGACTGCTGCTGGGTAATGATTCAAAAGTACACAGACTAATAAATGTTTAGTACTAGCGCCCTCTTTGAATATATAATTATACCGTAGTGTTAACCTTGAAGATAGAAAGCTTGTTAGATATCGTACCCATTTGGTGACTGATTTGATGAGAAAGTCGCTGTCAGTTCGTATTTCAACACAAGTGAAACCTTGTGCTTTCGCTTGACGCACCGCTGCGACCGCGGCATGGATCTCGGCACGATTATTCGTGGGACGACCCTCAAGCGGCTCTGATATATTACGCGTATCACCATCCCCCCAATATACACCTGTTAGCAAATTTTCCAAAACTAGGTTACACAGATGCTGTGCTATCGATACCCGAATCAGTTCATGTTGTAGAAAGTGGCTAATTTGAACTAAGCATTGTTCTTGAAATATGCCAAAAAAAAGTATCATAAACAGGTTGACCAAAAGTCGGCCGTGTCAATACTGACCTATGCCAGCCCTAGCATTGCCGGTACCGTTTCCACTGCAGGCTCCATCGGTATAAATAACGGGTCCCTTGACCTCGCCAGATCCCAAAGCTTGTGGTTTAATGATCGGCGCCGTGAGAATTTTCGCGTTGAGTTCAGCTGTATTTTCTTGGTGTGAATTTTGCCCAAACTCAACACTACCAGCAGCCGGAGTCACAGATAGCTTCCTGTTTTGAAGTAGACAACATCAGCTCGTATTTCTCTAGAACTACCTCGGTACAGATCAGGCCCATACGTGGTATTATGAACTAGATAGGAAAATAGATCGAACGGCAATCATATCGAAGCTCCGTTCCAAGTAAAAATTTCATACCCCGAGGCCTACAAACGAAGTGCCGAAGGCCTCGCTATATGAACGACCTAAGAGCCATTGACGATAAGTCTTAGGCCACCGAAGAGCTTTAATAAAATTGCTTCGAAGATAGCATGAAAAACTTTGCTAAATGATTAAAGTTAGTGATTAAATAAAAGTTAGCCTGTTACTTATAGCACTAAAACTGGTAGCGATGCCTACTTGTGCTGGTCTTTTAGTTTCCTTTTAAGCGATCATATTAAAGATCATTGACGGTCCACAAATAATATTTTGGAAGGCGTTATGGCTGTTATACCAACGTAGTTCATTTGGTTGGAAAGCACGAAACAAGGTTGACCTTTTAGTAGCTTTTTTTCGCGGTTCACTGGATACATTCTGTGGCACTTTAGAACTGGCCGACGCTGCGGGTGCGTCTTCTCCCGCCACGGGTGCGTCTTCTCCCGCCACGAATCGGTCGGCTTCAGCCCGCGTAGAAAATTTCTTGAACCTAAAACATCAATTTACACTTCGGTGTCTTGCTCTCATGAAGCCTATTTAGAACGCTGTTGTTGACTGCCAAGCTAATAATTCGTCTATATGTTAATAACATGCTGCAAACTGAGCTGAACCCAGTATCATTGGTTGTTTCCATGCATAAGCTCTTTACGGGATTTAATCGATTTCAACTTAATGCATGATATCGGTAATAAAATTCTTGGTAGAGAAACTCAATACAAGCGACCCTTGTTATTATGAAAATGAAGCAGCTAATAGTACTCAGAAAATCGACTCACCTCGCTCTGGCAAAGCCTTTGACAAGCTGTTCACACTCAGCCCAGGTCTCAACGACACCAACTTGTCGTCCATTTCGTACGGCATAAAAACTTCCTTTCGAAGCCATAAGTTCTCGAAACCACAACTGCCGGACGTAACCTAGCATTTGTCTGATCATTGGTCCGCTTCAAAACAACAACAAGCAATAGCTAGAAACAACATGTTGGAATTCATTTAAAGGTGCTGACTAAATAATTTGAATAATAAACGGTAAAGTGTCAATACTTTGATTACGATCGCACCTATCATTCTAATTTCTCATTTCGACACGCATAATGTAGTCGTCATTCGTTTTTGTTGACGTCCTCTAACTTCTTGTCTCATATCAGAACATCGAATGCACCGGCGTGGGTTCGAATCCGAGAGTAAACATACTTCATGTCATAAAGGACCTAACGGCGGTATCGGATGTTGTACTCGAGATGTTTAGAGTATTGGATGTCACCCAGGAACAGCTGTGTGTCGCGCCCTCTCTCACCGAATATCGAACACCCAGTGTGAAACCCATGCATGTAGAAGCTGACTCTACATAGAGGGTTCAGTCATAATCAGAGATTTTATGACCGCGTCATTAGCGTATCCATCATTGGAAAACAGAGGCTTTTGGACCCTGTTCCCTTTACAATTAATTGAAATATACAAATGCACATTTATGCCGAATCATTTAACCAATATTTTTCGTAGGATACAAGCTGGTTAACTCTGATTATTTCTCGTATGCAGGAAAGGCGGCTAAGCGCACCGGCGCAAGAAGGCTTCTAGCAGATGCGTAGAAAGATTTGAGAGAAGTACGTTCGAAACTTTACATTACATTGAGTTCGCAACGAAGCTCTTTGCATTGGTCTGGTGACTGTTAATAAAGAAGGAATCATGGAAATGCTTTGAACAATTCTACCGCTTTGTATCAGGCCAGCAGTGATTATTTATGATAGTGCTAACTGTGTCTATCAGAATATAAATAGTCTTTTTGTGGTTGGGTATCCATGTAGAGTGCGTGTGCCGAAAGGTCCGTGTGGTGATAGATCATAGGCGATTTGCCCAAGGGGTAAGAAAAATAGGTTGCGTATCTAAGGAAGCGAACGATGACCTTTTTTGGAGTTGTTTGGCGCGCGTAATATGTCTGAGCAGAGCGTACGGACGCAGCATGGTCGATTTAGCAGCTAAAAGAATAAGGCTAACACATATTCTATGAGCGCTAGTGAAGTTTGTGTTTCAGTGGTGTATAGCAGTAATATACTCTATCGCTGAGAGGATTCGCCCAATCACTTAAGGTATAGACGTATACCTAAATACATGGACTTGGCGTTTGTACTAAGATTTATGTATAAAATTATAGTTCAATTGGTTTGCGTGTGCAGATGCTATCATTTGCTAGACGATATTGAAAAGTTGTGTGAATCAACTACTGAATTCTCTTGTCTCAGTATAAACATATTTTTCTGTAGAAGTTTAACCTATTTGGAACTTCGATCAAGTAAACGTTTTTTTTTTATTATGAGACAGCCAATCTTTTTAATAACAACCATATTCTTCATTGTAACCCATATACTACTCGATAGTGTGATAAATTAAAATGAAAAAGTTCAATTTTTTGTATATATATTTTCTTATTTATATCGTTTTTTTGCTTAGATGATAGCCAATTGACTTCTGAATGCAAACACTTCAACAAAAATTTATGTGTTCATAATAATGTATCACTCGAATGATGTTGACGTACATACTGCTCGTCATCTTATGAGAATAATAATAGTATTATAACTAGCTAATTTCCAGTTTTCTGGAGTTAACCAACGCATCATTAACTAAAGTTAAATACCAATAATTTAGATGTGACTCTGTTAGCAAAAAATTTGCATAAGCTACCATTATCTTTCAAGTTATTCTTACATAGGGACAACAGTGAATTTTGAGAAAAAGAAGGTAAGAGATTCTTCATAAACACGATTAAATATTTTAAAATGAAAAACTATTACGTAGTTGTATTGCGTTAGTGTATCGCATTCGAAGTGTCAGGTAAGCTAGTACAAACATCGGGTACTGAAAGGCAAGTTTGTGACAGATCTGTAGTCTATGGTCGGTTGTAAACGTTTTTAAACCGACTGCGTTAGTCTACTGCGTATTCGTTAAAACGATTTTAATGTTCGCTATGGTTGGATAACAAAGTTTCTGAAACGGCGCTAAATTCAAATTTCGATTGTTGTCAGGCGATCACTACACCTTATTGTTAAGCTAGCGTGACAATGTAGAAAAGATAAAACGTCTTAGAGCAAACGAATATGATTAGGTCTTTAAACTACTCACATGTGAATCACTGTCTAGTCGATAATGGTCCTTGAATTGGACTTTACCATTGTTTCTATTTATAACTCTCATATAATCAACGTCGAAGGAAACCTTATCGATCGAAGCTGGACTACACTTTAAGGCATTTTGCAGGGCACGCGGTTAGGAAATTGTTTGCCAGTGAACTTGACAAAGCCACCAGCTATTGCACTGATGTCTCGTTGGAACGTTTCCCATATCTTATGTAGTAATATTAATAAATATACAAAATATAGTGCACTTATATTATCCACAAACACGTTGATTGCTATTGATTCAAACAATATTTTATTATCATACAGTCAGTCAATCTAACGTTACGTATACGAGCTTGGTTTTTACTCTGCGACCTCCACCCCCTGCCGCCTATTGCGAAGGTGTCTATACAGAGCGGTTCCATTTCTCACAGCAGAACTATATTGGTACGATAAAGGCAAACTTGTAGTAAGTAACATTTGCTGTTTCCAAAGCAGCTAATTACGGCGGTTAAAGACGGTGAACTAACTATAGTTATGAAACATCAGAACATATCAATGCAGATCTATGATCGACCGACTCAGAAATAAAGTGATAATGGTTACCCATCTGACAAAGTAGCTTGCGAAATATTACTCAATTAGTAGTTGGCTTTTGGTAGAGATCATGGATAGATGTCTGACAGGTAAAATTGAGTATAGACAACAATTCAACCTGCCACATTAAGAGCAGTCATTAGATCAGTGCAGTGCTAGTGAGCTGGATTCAATCAACAGTGATATGAGACTCGCTTTAGATGTTTATCACGATCTCAGTTGTTTGATAAGAGTGCTATTCCGATATTGAAACTTTTGTGACACGATGTAGGTGTACTCTGTTCCAAGGAAAGGTTATCTGATAGCACGTTACATATTGTTTGGTATTTCCAAGTTATTGGCGCTGTTTGCACGCACGCCATGGGATCCTGATAGTTCACATACAAAATAATGTCTACAAACTGCGCGTCAGCGTGTAAGGTGAATATATCCTTAGATTATATATGCATTGCAGATCTTTGTGGAAACGGCCTAAAATACGAGGATCTATTCCTCAGAGGCATTTGGCTATCAGCGTTGCTTAATAGGAATAGTCGCCGATTGAACCATCACGCGGCATATGAATATGTGGTCCCTTTCCATATTTTGTTTTTGGATACGTTTTTATTTTTTTTCTCTATGTCGTATAATTGTCATAAACTGGGCTGGGTCACCCTTTTTTGCAAATGATAGAATCTTTTACCATTTTTGTATCTATGAATAGCAATTTGAGAACTCAAATGGATCACCATCTAGCTAATCGTCTGCGACTGACCAAAGTTACTTACGCTACATGCACAATTTTATCCAAATATTACTTATAATTAAGCCAGACACATATATATATATATATATATATATATATATATATGAATATATGCAACGACAAATATTACTCTGTGTTCCCGTAGAGTAACTCTGTTTTTGCCGTATCAATAGAGTAAGCAATATCAGAGTGTAGTTAGATCGGAACGACGATACGCAATAGTATGTGAACAGATCTTACATCTGGATCCGCGTTCGGTTAATAGAAAACATGCTATTACATTGCTTGTTCAGTTAAAGTCATATTGCCATGGCCAACAAGGACAGCTTTGATAAATGAATGGTTTAACAAGATGTTTTTACATTAGTATGGGATCATCGGTGATGGTTATCCTGTTCAACCGTATTAAAGTATTTGATGAGCTATCCGATGCTTGTAAAGTTCGATCATTTCACTGTTTTTTATCTCTATATTGTTCTACATCTTATTTATTAGTAACAACAGAATCAGAGAGGATTTATATCGTTAAATATTGTCCATATGTCGTCTTGAGTGACGATCTTTCTTTCCGTACTAGATGCAATTTATTTTCATTCATTGTTTAGTTGACCACTGTGGTTCCAAAGGTTTAATTTGGACTTCTCGTTAGAACAGAAGTGCTGTTTACCTTAAGGAATATACACATGATAAAATTGAAATAGCAATTCCCTGTGTGTAGCGCGCAGGTATAATATCTCAGTTTGCGACAATGGAGTGGAACGCTGCCTGCGCGCTCTCGATCCTGTCTATAGAACGTACTATTTAGATAAATCTTGTTGTCTTCAAAGACTGCAAATGTGTCCGAATAAAATTTCCTGCTATTTATTTTATTCGATCAGGGCGGCGCCAGTTACTGGTCGGATGGCTTCGCTGACAGCTACACCTCCGCTACGGAAGGCAACATCGTGGCGAGTCACACAGATATGTTTATACCTCGCATCGTTAGCTTTTTCGATTGGGACGCTTATCGGATATAAAAGCCTTAATGCTTTGTTCGACAACGATATAGCATCCTGTATTCTTAATGCAACAGCCATTGTGATAGGTGGGTTTACGCGCGTAAGCTGGAGGGAAACAGTGTGTAAGACTCTCTATAGGCTTCATATGCATTGCAGTGTACGTTGTATTAGCAGACAACTCGGTTTAAGCCATTGTTATGACATGTTGAATTCTAAATTGATGTTGATACTATATTAAGATTCTACTAAACCGGTCAATTTGAGGTTATTGTTCATAGAATACTAAGTAGTTCAATATTCGCTGTGATTTTCTGTGCATGTGCATATACTTTACTTAATCTTCAGATAAGGAAAATTCTCAGAACTGTTCCTTGACTCTGGAAAGACCCAGTGAGCATACCTGTAAATTTGTGTACTTCGACGTAATCTGCTCGGTCATCTATTCAATCATCGGATGCTGGTTCTTTATTGCGTGCACCTCTGAAGCAAAAACACGCCCTGATGAGACGTACGTTGTAAACTCGATTAGATCCATCATGCTTGGAGAAAACAGCGTATAGCATCTTATTTCTTGTTCTTATTTCTTGAACTCACGTTATTGAGCGTAGTAAGGCATGCGCCTTACAGGAACAGATCCAATAATATTATAGTTCACGAAGAGTAAGTAATACGGTGGTAGAATGTTACATGTCATCAACAACCCATTGTTGTTACAGAATACTTCTCAAATTGTTTATTCTAATTATGATGATAGCGACTTGATTAGAAAAATAACATATGGCGAAGAACAATTGTTCTTCAAGACATATACTAAGACAGAGTTCCTAGTGCAGCTATAATTATGTAGCGATGTTAAAGACAAGCGATGGTCATTCTTATGCGTTTTGGTTGCACTGCTATTTTCATTTCAGGGTGATCCAATCGTGGAAGTTGGTCGTCCCCTCAATATTCTTTACATGTATACTCCTTTTGCTTTCGCTGATTTGCTCCTCATTCATCACCAGTGGGTTAGCTTCCTTCTTGGATTCGTTTACACAACAGACAAATAAGTTCAAGTAAGATCCAACTTCAGTGATCCTTTTATACCCTTAGATAGTTTGTTTAAATATATATACATGGATATGTATTTTTTAAATTGTTTTAATGGTTTTTGCCCGAAACTCCAGCGCAAGACTGGGAGAAAGGTGACATTTTTTGGGCAGTTTTCGTAACAACGATTTAGAGGTCCACACAATAGGTTTTGAAAAGAAAAAAGATTTGGTCCGTTTTCTACCACGAAGTTGAAAATGCTGTTGCATCCAAGAAACCGTTGGGAATTAAAAAAAAATTACTGATTTCGTGATTATATTTACTTGGAATTTCAACATGTAAGGTCAGTATTGCCTTGAGATAGCTGAATAAGGGTAATAGTTTAATGAAAGCGCAGTAATGATTCCAATGGAAGTAACTGATAATTGGCATAGAGTAATAGGCAAACGCTTGAAGGTCGCGAAGAAGACTAGACTACAACAGTGGACTATTTGAGTCAGGACCGAACTGAACAATGAAGAAATATACAGAACTACTAAAGGAATACAACTGAATTGCTAGAACAGCAAAATAACGTAGTGATTCGAATGGTGCAACAGAGGTTTCACTGATAAAAGGTGATGGAAGAATTGCAACAAGAACATTGCGACAGGATAAGAAGAAAAACTGCAACGGGGTAACGGAAATAAGGTAATAAGGTGTACAACAATTTCAAAGATCTGGCTTTAGGACTCGAATTCAGACCAATAAAATCAACCCGTTTAGATTCGGGCTAGATTCGAAAAAAAAAGTTACGTGCTAACGTTGGCTAGCGTTCGGTATGATTTCGAGAAGAAGATTAACAAGCGTATGGACTGACATACTATTGGAAAATGCAGGAAGATGTTGCACAGATGCGATACTGCTCTTCAAGGTAGAGGTCGACTAGTGACAGGCGCTAGGTTTAGATAATGGTGGTTATTACCATTAAAGCATACACTGTTGACTATTAATTAAGTAAACATAAATTATCAGTGTTAGTATCGTTATTACCGCAAGATCTGTTTGCCACTTGATCTGTTTATAAATCGTTATCCGTATTATCATACACAGTTTCGCATTTTTTTCGAGCAACTTCGTTTGATGAAATCCTCTCAACATGGAAGCTCGTATGATACTCAAAATATTTCTCGGATAAAACTGGCCAGTGTATACCTGATGTGTGTTTATACGTAACAAGCTTATCTGTAACTGCCTATAGATGTATTTGTTACGCCCTATGCCTTATTTTTTTCACAACTGACTGCATTACATAACTTACGTCGTTTTTATTTTGGTCCGTTCGTCGTGCCCTGCTTGATTCGCAGCTGTCTTCGTTTCAAATTGTCAAACCATCTGACGCTGATAAATGCGACCTCATTTAGCAATCAAGTCCGCACCTTTGGAGTCGTAGCTGAGACGTTTACGTGGCTGTGCACGACAACATGGCTACTGGCACTCGGTTTGCTCATCTGTAGATGCTGTGTCGCCGCTGATTTCGTCACAAGTAACGAGGTAAACATGGTGGACGATCTGGTCAAAAAGGTTTCCACTCGGCTTCAGGCTCGCTTCAAGACCACGTCTGTTCCCACCGTCTGGCGAACGCGCGTAGCTAACGTTGCTAAGAACGCCACTGCTACCTCATTTACTGGTAGCAATGCTCCGTCTTATGAAACTGAAATTTTAGCTTACTAAAACTTCCATCGATGCCACAAGGCCTAATTGCTTAAGCTTGTCGAAATGCTGAATTTTTGACCAGCTCAAAGTTTCTTAGGTAATACGCGCCCCATTTCCGAGCACCGTTTCTTGCTGTAACACTATGTTCGCGTTAATTAACTCAGTAGCTTGAGCTACAGTCGTTAGGTGGCGGTAGCAGTTATACAAGTCACAACCGTAAAGGGCGCAAGACGTAAAACGCTACTGAATTCTGTTGTTTACTGCTGAGCTTTAGATAGCTGAAAATCCTACTGACCGGACACACTAGATGAAGTCTTTCTTTCCAGAGATACTTGTATATATATATTTCACGAAGATATATATTTCGAGTATCTAACTAGTATATTACTTTTAGTTGAATCTGTCGTTTGAGCGATATTAGGCCAAAATGCTTGTCTTTGAAATGTTCGCAGACGATTGCCCTATGCACAACGTTGTGGAATGGAGTGCTTCATGCCACATTATTTGTTCGTTACAGTTATCGTTCCTGCTGTACGCATAGGCATCTGTTTTTATTGCGCGAACAAGCCATGTAAAATCAATGTGCTTGGATAACACATTGCATGATAAGCTATCAGTCGATATTCTAGAAGTTAGCGGCCTAGACGCGCTATGTATTCAGTGTAAAAGTATTATGGCATCGAAGTGCTGCAAAACAGTTTTCATTCAATGTCAGTTTTTAAAAATAACAAGTGGAGTTGCCTGTTTGGTTAATCGTACCTATTATGCTATTTAATTTTAGTACACCTAGTTGCTACAGGTCATTCTACAAACATCGACCTCGATGATCCTTCCAACAAGCTTTTTTGTCGAAGTAACTGATCGTTAATTTTGACCTTTATTTTTATTTGACAGTATTCGTGTTGAAACTGTTTGGTTTGTTTTAATTTTTCCCATAATTACTGTTAATGTCTTTTATGTAATGTAATAAACATGTGCGCGAATATGTGTGTTTCTGATTAGAAAGTCGCAGATCATTATTAATTATAGTGCACCATGCATGCGGTTGCGTCTGTTGCTTCCACACAGGTTGCATCCTCAACGATAAGCTGGCATAGTTTTTTTGCGCTCTAACTGCGAATCGCGTGTCGCATCATTGAACTAGCCTAAATTTGGCATGGTAAAGCATGTAAGGTCATTATGAGAATCCAGCTATATAAGGAAATGGTGTACCCGCATTTGCATGGCAGAAGACTTTTACTTGCACGATCACAAATACATTGCAACATTAGGCCTATTGAATGCAGGCGTGTGGTAGAAATTGTGGTTGGGGCTCGACTGTCCTTCTAGTTCTCGGCTCGGTACCCTTAATTTTATATGACATTTTCGGTGCGGTATATATGTCAATGCGTGTTCTTTCGCAGCCGGCATGAGTGTGCTCCTTTTTTTGCTAAAAGATACGTATCTCTGTGTCACTTGCTGTAGCTGATCTGCACTTCGCTGGCGCGTTTTGTAGCCCGATTATGAGCTAAGCTTCATCACGCAGCGATGTGAAATTGTCATGGGCTGCCCCATAAGAATCTGACTGGTGTTTTGCGACTGAACGTTTTGCCGACAGCAGCAGCAGCCACAAAGCATGGGTACCGACAGCTCACCAACTGTGAATCTAGCTGGCAGGAGCCGCATCGAGGCGTGCAGCTGGTGCGATTCTTTTGGCCTAACCTATGGATCAGTTAAAGATTTGCTCAAGAATTGGCGAAACGACAATTCCCAACAGCGCACGTTGCTGCGACCGGCGGAGTGGGTACACTCGTCTTCGACCGAGATACAGCAGGCGGCAGCTGACGCACACCATCGGCAGCAGCATGTTCCGCCAACGATACTGCCTTTGGTTACATACAGTCATCGCGCTAGCACGACGACGCTTAGCGACACGGACTATGAGAGTGCTATGGGCGACAGCCAAACCGAGAATACTTCATTGATAGGGTCGGAGTTGGACCTCGGAGCCAGCGGTGACGGGTTTCGGAAACGTTAGACGACTAACCAGTCAATTCTGGAAGCTTTTCATAAATGAGTAAAGTTTTAGGGGATGCATATATATATATATATATATGGATTTTGATCGTCCACCCATCACTAGTACTGTATAGCCGCTTTAGTAGATTGTCATGTTGCAACTTTTTGTTGACTCAGCTGCGTATTTTCTTAATAAGAATAATGTGGTCAACAGCTATGTCAACGACAGGGAAACTATAACTCAACAAACTACAATTACAATAATAGCGAAATTCATAAGCGGTAGCATCAATCCCATAATGTAACTGCACGGAGCCAACCATGCGCCGACAGCTCGCATTATATGGACCTTTCTATATATATCTATATATATCTTTGCCTAATCCTGTTATTACCATTGACTAGTGAAATCGTTGTTCGTCCGATCCCAGCCCTTGACACTTTTCGACCAAAAGCTCTCTCATCATCCGCTGCGCAGTGTGCCACTTTTATGCCAACTTTATGCAGTCTCGTAGTATTTACTTGTCCGTGAATTGCATGCTATTCTGATCACCATTAGAATGTTCAACTCTAAACACCTTTCGTAGGTCTTCATCAAAGCAGAAAGAAACGCTACGCCCGCTCAACCTGCTGGATCTGATAGCGCCTACCCGATATTCGATTCGTTCTTAGCCGTTTGCTCGCCTTGGCAATAAACTAGTGCTGCTTGCAGATTTATGGGGTTAGATTTGGTGGCGCTCATCAAAATCTGACCGATAAAATAGACAAAACCAATGGACTTCTTGCATCCTTGTTGGTCTCCGTGTGCTTGTACGATACGTTCCAGTATATGATAGTGGCTGACGACTCGGACGATTTTGAACCGGAATCCCGGGTAGCTACCTCAACGCCAGTACCGTCTCCGGAAGCGGGGCCGGCCACGACCTCATCCCGACCAGGTCCCAGCCAGGTACCTGAATTCTACCCCTCTCCGAATGAAACTTAAATCGCGCCGTCGTATTTTGTCAATTGTTCGATACTCTATCGCTTTGAGGGAGGATATCTTAACGTTCGGACTGAAGATCCCAGCTTGAAAGACTCCGTAGCATTATCGTCAACACCAACGCCGCCGCCATCATCAAAGCCTCTACATCTGCGACTCTACGACCCGATTCCCTCCACCTTGGCCTTCCTATTTAGTATTTTGTTGTGATAACTAACATTTACAGCATTAAGATATTTTTGTGCACATCCCGTCTTCTAATCTGTGACACCCATGTTTTTCGAACAATCTTGATGGACTCAACTGTATTTCTGGCCAAATAGTGCCCGGATTAGGTTTTCCGGAAGACACAATTAGTGATGAGATGATTAACGAGATAACTAACGCTAAGATTGTGTTTCCCAGTACATTCAAAGTAACAAACAGTATTTCTGGCAAAAGCAGCTTTATATATCGTATATGGTGCGTAAGAGGGCCAGAAAACCTGATTTTAATATTCGTACTTCGCTTTGGGGTTAGTTAAAATGCTGAATGAACAACTGATTGATTGTTGCATTCGCCCTGAGGATAGAAACAAAAAATCTAACCTTCACAAAAATACTTACATGCCAAAGACAGATTCGATAGGTAACAGAGTTGCAGTATAAATATATGGACCAAAGTTGACGGAGAGAGATGCTTCTAGGAGCTGAGCTGAAATGATAAAGTGTGTGCTTGAATTGAAAAATGACCTACTTCCTAGGAAACAGTCGTTGTCCACATTGAAACATACATACAATATCCATTTGTACGCTCGTGCATTAAGGCAGCGAGCTGAAATCTTCGTCTTTAAAATTGTTACTTGTAAACTGGGTCGCGTCATTCACGATAAAATGAATAAGGTAACTGATAATATAAAGCGATTTTTGTTTATATGAATGAGATGTTCACATAAAATCGATCAAATATGGTTCAAGTGAGATGTACAATTTTACTTACCAAGAACAAATCTACAAAGCGTAGAGGCATGTATAGAGGGATGAAGAAAAGCTGTCAATTGACATCTAGGTGAGTACGATATCATGTAATTAAAGCTCAGAACGATGACAACTTGTCTCAAAAGTAGCTTAACTTATGCTCAACAGTAAAAATTAGCTTATAATTTTTATGAAAATATTTCTTAGTGGAGGATTAATGGTGGAGGAAACATACAATCATTAGCCAGGCACGGTAGCTTCTAACGAAAGATAAAAAAAGTATTAAGAACATAAGCCGGTCGGTTGTTCATATTTGTTATACCAAATGCCTTAGCAAACTGACCTTATTAGCGTAAACGTACAAAATGCGTGTGAAGAACTTTCTACGAGGAATATGTTCAGATTCTGAGTAAATTAACATCGATTTATATATGCTACTGCTGCCGCTGCTGCTGCTGCTGCTGCTATGAATTTCAGAACAAATAACAACTTTGACCACAAGAAGAGTTCGTTCCATGGCTAGGACCGTAACGTCGGTTACCACCTTGAAACTTTAGGCCGTTTATATTAATATTTAACTAATGGGTTCAGTTACGCGAGAGTCAAGCAAATGTTTTCAGTACGCATTATCGGTATAGCAGCTCGCGAGCTTCGCCCTGCGCTCGTTCGCTATTTAAATCTTTGCGAGTGGCGCACACGCTCTGCCGCTATCGGATGCTGCTGTCGTTGTCTGATCGTTCACAGCACATCAACAACAAATACAAAGTCGTCTATCTAAGTAGAAAAAAAAGACGTACGATCCCAGATCGACTTACGCCGCTCAAACAGACGTCAGTTTCTACTGATAGTAAATGAACGATCAAGGCTATGAATTCAGCAAGGGATCAGACTGAATAGATTGGGCAAAACGAGGACCTCAATTTTTGAATATTCTAACACGATGGGAAACAGATGACAATGACCATTACACAATTTACAGTCGTTACATTAAACGTTTTCCCTCATTACCTTCAGGGTGAAATAAAAAAGTGGGAAAAATCTTGGAAATGGTAGATTTCATAAGCTTTGTAGGTCTTCTCGTTGACGTAATCACGCATGACATTTTATAGGAATAGGTAAATCTGGGTTTTGCGAAAAATAGGCAAGCGAGACTTTGTGCTCTTCCATTAGAATTGATTTAAGCCAAATTGTGGCCTTCTTCGCCCTCGCTTGTCCTTTCGTCAAATCAATGTAGTTTACTAATCAGCTTGGTTTGAGAATGTTGTTTCAGCTAAATATTTATTGTCAAAATAGTTCATGTAAACTACAAACGCGATGTTGGTCAACCATTACACTACCGTATGTCCAGTGGTCCACTTAAACGAGCGTACACTAAGGGCTATATAGATTACGTGTTTCAGAGATTTCAGAAAATACAATGTAGAGATATTCACATAGTTAAATAAATACGAAACTTTTTGCCGCACTCAACTTTGTGGGCTGACAAGCGGAGTTACTGAACTAGACCGTAACATATTCATACAGGCGACTGGCATAAGGGTTGCCATTTATTCATTTTAAATGATTTTAGGCGTCGCAGATTCTGAGACGCATCACCGCCTAAAAGATGCTTTCCCGAAATACGCACGCAAGTACGTTCTGAACAATTTTTACTTGTTCAGAAAAGAACCTGATGATCTGCATTTTCCAGACGTGTGATCACGTATTATATTCTAACCGTTGTAACATTAGTAGTACGTCTATCATTATGTGACACTATTACTGCGGCGTATAGCAACACTGGGGAATATAACAAGACATCACTGTAAAGTTGATGCGGAAGCGTTTAGGTAGCGTTCAGGAGTTGTTATTCAGACATCTGTATGAAAACAATAAGGATGCAAATCGCTTTATTGTATGCTTCAGGACGGAGCCTGCTCTTCACTTAAATACTCTTAATTGGCCTTTTTTCAAATTAGGACAGCCATGTACGAAGGACTATCTAGTTGGTACACAGTTCACCAACAATGACAGCGTTCCTTATAGTCATAATAACGTGGTTAAGAAGCACGATAAATCATCACTACTAGTAGTGACAATAATCATTACCCTTATGATCATCAACAAATGGGTTAGCATATTTGTAGCTAACGGACATTATTATTATTTCAATCTAACATAGTACGTTTTAATGGGTTAAAAAATTCTAATTAAATATATGATCCGATATAATTTAGATGCATTGGGGTGGCTGAACTTCATACAGAAAACTTGACGAAATACTGTAAAGAATTATTACCTTATCATTAGAATAATAGAATAATAATGACAAAATAAATAAACAAATAAATATTGTAGTTACAAAATGAGCACTATTTATTTTCAGTGACCATACTCGTGCAAACGAAACGTACCGTATTGTATTGTATTGCAAATGGCCTGTGGGACCTTGTAGGGGTGGGTTATGGGCGATAAAGACAATTGCTAAACGAGGCTTCGACCTATTTGAAATATTTAATTCAAATACCGGATACATTTTATAACAAAAGAAGAGTTTCCTGTTCAGAATGGGAAGTAAATTTACGGTATTCAAAAATGTAACGCGCTCGTCTTTTTCTTGGACAGGCAATTGTTTTGAACCTTTAGCACTTGAAGTGATGAAGTTTTCAACTTCTAGTTTGAAATTCAAAATAGTTAATAAAGTTGCGTAATTTTAAAAAAAACTTCGGCAGTGACATAAAATTAAAAAAAAAAAAAAGAAATTGGTTTCAGACCCGCCTATTATTCACAACACATGCGAATAAATATAAGCATCCAGAAGAATAAATATTTCTGAAGCATCTCAATATTGTATTCCAATGGTAGATCGATCAAATGCCTTAAACTAAAGGTAAAGCCTAAGAATTAACAAAATTATACACAAATAAAAATCTGCGACATAAAAATGTTGCCAGAACATAGTAATCTCTAGAAAAGAATCAGACAAAATATTACTACGATTATAGAATGCTACGATAAGGTGCTATAGAGATTCAGCTGTACGACTTAGTCATATGGACCGATACTTGAAACATCGGCTGGCGGTGTCCTAAGTACTTCCTGAATTCGAATTAGATGTATTTGCTTTTAATGGTTATTTTTATATACAATAAATAACAAAAACTTTATTGATGTTACATGAGAGGCTGTGTGCTGACCCTAGCATTGACTCTATCGCTATGGCCAACTTTTATCAGCGATATGATATGTATTTTTTATACTAGCAAAATATTCTTACGTCTAAATTTTGAAACTGCTACACGACGGCCATTGACAACCGCTCATAAGCAGGTAGGGCACCATTTTTTACAATACAATGATACAGTATTAGTCGTAGTTAATAACTCAGTGTACTGTTTCTAATAGAAGAACGTTTACAGCAAAAAAGTTATGACAGCCATCATTCCAAAAAAAAAAAAAGAGCAGGTAAACGCACCTTCCGAAGACCTGCATCTTGCGATATCTGCTCGATCCCATAAGACGACCGTCATGTTCTCCCTGGTTTGCCTCTTTGCCTCACCTAGCAAACATATCTCTTAGCTCCAAGCTCCTCTACATATCTTTAGCAGTGAACTATATTGCTAAGAAAATGGAATGCCCAACGGCGATACCGCACGCAAAACTCTGGATATCGTTAACTAGAGAAGCTGCGCGCTCTATCAGCACTGCTGGGAGCCAGGTCTATTCCTAAACTAAGGTAATCGCACATTTGAATTCAAAGAACTTGAATGGTCAAGTCAAAGGCGAAAGTATATTTTTTATATTTATGCAGTCAATATATACTCAAACGTTAACAATGAGCTAGCTATTGCCCAGATGCCAGGAGAGATTTGCCAATTAGGCTCCTCGAGCCAAACTCGAATCTAGCTGTATCCTGGTAAAGGTATAAAAACCTACATAGTAATTTCTTGATAAAACGCTCGAGTAGATGAATTCTGCCCACGTTTTCCTTTATTATTACTCTTTTTATACCAGCTAATAAACCAGAAGTTGGCCGTACCCGCGTCAACATGTCAAGCTCGTCTTCAGCATGTAACTTGTAACTTCAGCCAACATTTGTTCGCGTGCAACTTCAATAATATGCAATCCATTCTAAAAACAACTGCTGTTGTCAATTGTCCTTGTGTATATATATTACTGGGCCATGACGTTAGTATAATAAAGGTTATTTTGAGAATGTCGCAGCAAATAACCATACCGGCTTCTAATAAGCAAGGCTGTTAGCAGGTTTTATTTACCGATTCTATTTACCTGTTATATCTTTAGTCTCAAAAAATTCTCTCTTTGTTTACATCGAGAGTTAGATGTGTCGAAATAACAATAAAATAATAAAAAATACATTTTTGGGTATGCAGTTTTTATAATGGACATGATCGAATCTCATTGACACTCGGCGCTCCGACACAACATTTATAAGGTACATGGGCGCTGTAGCCCTAGTAATGCATTAACTGGACACTATTAATCATAACAACAGTTTGTTGCCTGTTGCAAGTATATAGGAAAACTTCTACTTTCACGTTTAGCCCGGTCCTACCAGATGAAAATATTTAACACAACAAATAAACAATATAAATGTTATAAGTACAGAAAATAACAAACAACGGTGTTTGTCAATCGGTTGCTGTTAGTACGAAAAAGGCACATCGACATTCGAAACCTTCCGTCTAAATTCTTCATCAGCGCTACGCGGGAATACGAGGAACAAAGATGTCTCAAAGGCGATCAAGTACGGTACCTATGCTTTGTAGCTACTGGGTTCGAATAGGTAATTATATCATAGGCATTTTATTACTTCACGCTTTATATGATATCTAACAATTGTAGCAGAGTCACACATAAAAATAGAATAAAAGCACGAAGGTTCCCTTTATACTAGTCGGTAACGGACCGTCCTAGTCGATCGGTAGGGTCTTTGGCCACCTAGTCAGCAAACCGTGCCGACTTATCTTCTTGAGCTTTTAAACATAAAAATACAGATTTAGATAGTTTTACAGACGAGGACAGGCGGTACGTTTAATATCCTTCACTATTGCGTTTACCAGGGGTTTGCAATCGTTCCAAGAGCTTTTCCGTGACCTCCAAAAGATGCGATAAGTTTTCCTCCTGATGAAACCTTTTGAACGTGGTGCACTGTTGTGATAAGATAGGATGGGCCTGAGACTGCGTGCTGTTCATGGCCAGCTCCAATAGCTCCACCGCTCAGGTGACCGCCTTTTGGCAAAACTGGAGTTCCTTTGACGATTCCACCACCAATACTTCCGTGTCCGCTCTTGACGATAATCGGAGGGCCCTGGATGACAGGGGACCCTTTGATGATTGGTGCTCCATGGCCACCGATGCCTCCAATGGGTCCCTTCAGTATAATGGGTGGGCCCTGAATTATGGTTCCTTGACCAATGCCGCCAACGCCTACTCCGTGTCCACCTTTTAGACTTAGCGGTGCTATCTGGATAGGAGGCCCGTGATTGATTCCTCCTCCAATATGTCCACCCTTAACGATAATAGGAGGACCCTGAATAATCGGCCCGTGCCCACTGCCTCCTAGAATCCCGCCATGGCCCTTGCCACTTAGAATAATCGGTGGTCCTTGGCTAATTTTTGCTGGCCCGTGTCCGTTGCCAGTACCGCCTTTGAAGAAGATAGGCGCCCCACCGTGCCCACCAATATCTCCTCCATGAAGCCCACTCTTAAGCAGGAACGGGCCGCCTGCATGACTCGTGCCAAGACCTCCACTGTAACTGTTTTTGATAATAATAGGCTGCCCGTGAGTTATTGGACCATGACCTCCAGTCAGATGTCCACCGATACCACCGCCCCCGAGAATTCGGAAACCTCCAATGCCTCCTGCGGATACCGACCCTAACAGGCTGACGTAGGCAACGAACGCAAGCATATTGATGATGCGCAGCAACTTCCACTTCGTGAGACGGCTCCACCACTATCGCGACGATTTCTTCTTTTTTCTTCGTCTACAACGACGACGACGCAAATCCACACAGCTCAGTCCACGTCAACTCAACGCAACTCCAACGTCTAACAAATACCGAGAAGTAGACAACAAGGGGTTCGGACGTATGTACGACGACACAAAACGAGTGGTTACTACCATCACCACTAGCACCACGAAACCCCCGACGACTAACTCTGACTGCACTTCACTCTCACCGACGACGATGTGTTGAACGTTTTTGGCATTATGCTTTTATACAAAAAAATAGCCAATGCGCTTATGCAGGCAACAGAGGCAAAGGGGGTTCTGTTAGGAGAGGATAACGAGAGAGGCGCTTCGGTTTAAAGAGTAGAATAGACATATGTCAAACATGAAGCTGGTTGGTGTGACTAGGTTGTCCTTTCCCACATGATCAAACCGTACCCGGGTAATCCGGACTCAAACCTACCCGTAAGCATCTGCAATAGCGTAAATTGAATAGTATACGTCCATTATACAAGTTATGAATGCCGCTCATATGTACAGCTATGTGAAAAAAGCTTCGAAATTTGACGTTTGCTATAACATCCGTTTCGCCGCGTGCATCTAGCGCGTCATCGCTATCACACGTACTGAGGGCGGCGATGTCGACGGTGCCGAAAGTGCCATGCGCACGGAGCAAAGCCTTTCACGGCCCCTGACGCCATAGTGCTTGTGCAAAGACGCGGGTCTCGGGCGCTCGGGTTCGTGGCATCTATCGTCGATAGTGTATGTCATCTGACTGACACCAGCGCTCCGGAGCGATGTCATAAGCGACGAATGCCAGCCCGCCATAATTAAAGTTTCGCCAACATCGATATTGATTTTCGTCCAGTTACATTCGTATGGTCATATTGTCACGTGCGAGTGATCCGTACGTTCATAGAAACATATACTGGAGCGGCCTGATAGGCTACTGACACGCGGAGGGACATCATCGTTAACGAGCGTTGATAGCGAATAAACAGATAACGATAGTACTGGTGATCAGTAAAGCTGTCCTAAGCGATACTGGCTCCCCTTCATGCCCTGCCTTTCCCCATTTAACTCATCGCCGTACATGATACAGAACCGACAGGAGACATTCGTATGTGTTACTACCATACACAGCGTACAGCACACACTTCAGCTGCTTGCAATGTCGGTAGACAGGGACAGGAAATGTATTGAGTTTTGCGTACATTGGCTTCAATAATGCGGCTGAACAAATAGGTCATGTCCATTGACGAAAAAAACGATTTAAGAAGTGCGGCGTTTGTACCGCTCCGACTGTTTCCTTTACTTGCAATTGAAATCATTCTATAATAAATGAGATAATCGCTCTGCAATCGTGACTCGGAGGCCAATAGCTTTTACTAGAAAAGCCCCTTCGTCTTAGAGATGCGTGCTGTTCATTTGCACAGGGCACCTGGTGATCTAATCGTGAGGAATCGTCTGCTTGTGCAGCCGTGGTACACGTTATTCGCCCTCACAGGGCAGCTAACTTGGGTTTAATTATAAAGCACGGTGCTTATGTTTATTATATTATTAAATATAAAATCAAATCAAAGATTCTATGGGCGGTAATCCTATTGTCTGTAGCCGGCTAGTAACATTGTCGCAAAGCTGCCATTCACAAGGGACATCGTTACATGGATTTTATTTTTTGAGGTTGTTGTTTTTTTTTGAAAGGATGGCAATGGTAAACCACTAAAGTGTTAGTCTATGTGCTTTGATAATATCGCTTATTCAAAGCAAGAGAGACATACCAAATAAATAGGCCATAGAAATACAGAAAATAGATAAGCGTCGGAAAATTTCTATTGTCACCTATACCAACCTGAAGTAACCGACGTAAACAACAGAAACTGAGTCCTACACTCAGGTCGTCTGGACAATTAGGTATCAAAAAGACACTTTTTTCATTTTACCGTAGTATGCCATTGTGAGGGTCTGGCGATTTAGTGAATAATATTTAAATGACAGAGCTTTTTCTTTTAAATATCGCCAAGTTGACACCGTGGGTTGTGATTTTGTAACATCTCAACAGTGAATTCACGCCCTTACAGGGGATGCAGCGATAGAACTTAGAAAAATGTTGTGGCCGCAATGCTTTTTTTAGAGAACATTTATTTTCATAGATTTTGCAGCCGTATTACGGAGTTTATCCTTAAATACGTATGACGTTTATACCTGCAAACACTTAATGTGAAAAGAACGTTTTATTGCTGTTATAGAATATTCAAGCTTAAGAAAAGATATATGCTTGTGCGCTATACAACAGATCTGTCTGACCGATTCGAACCTGCACATACAGCGGTTTCGGAGCTGCACGGACTAGACTGCTTAACGACGTATAGAAGAAGATATTATTGGCAACTCTAAATCGTAAAGTCAATATACGTAAAACGTCACTGAGGTCACTTAGGGGTACCGTATCGATTAAAGCTCGAAATCTGTGCGTGGTCATTTGAAACGTAGCTTTGAGCCTTCGAGGATGTCACATCAGGCACCATTGTGCCCATAATGAAAGACCGCTGTAGATCACGAAGGCGCGGTAGAATCAGGCCAGCTACCACAGTAACCACAGCAGTAGGACAGCTTCAATTGTCGGACATACCCAACTCTAATGTTTAAAACAAGGGTGTTATGTAAGACGTTATGGCTACATTGAGACCAGCGGGTATCTAATCAAAGACTTAGTTCTCCACAGTGGACTGGGGCGTGCTGTTTCAACGAAGCGTTATCAAACCTTGGCGACGAACCGCTAGAGATGTATAGGGTATCACCGGTAGGTTCGCCGACTTTACGAGATACTAAGAGACAACCTAATGTAAGTAGATGTAAGGATTTATAAGATTTTAGGGTAAGACAGAATAAGATAGGAGATTATCGTAAATTGAAAGTTTAAAATTTATACAACCAATGCGCAGTTGAGAACGAGAGGTGGGTGCGCTCGTGTTATGAAATAATCTGTAAATAATATTAACTTAAGGAAGTTATAATACAACTTCCTTTATCTCCCTCTATCTGAGTTTTCCGATACATATAACCTACTTTGTTTGATAAATCTAGCGAAAACGAGAGAACGCTTGTCAGCCTGGAATCCATATAATGAATTGAGTAAACATTCTGTTAAATCTTATCAAGTTACATAAGGGATACCATAATACAAAGCTATTTTTTAATGTACAATTGTTAGGATCTTTTGTCATTGGTTCGCCAAATTTATGCAGGAGAACGGTTCGACACTCCTGATGGCTGCACTTCGGTCTAGTTCACGGCCAGATATCACCGCCTCTGCTAAAGGTCGCCATCTCATAGAACTAGCTTCTAAAAGAAGAACTAAGGTAGCCCGAATTATCTGGATCTGTGTCGTGTTCGCATGTGTCATTGGATGTCTCGGTCAAGTATTTACCTTCCTCGAAATCTTCTGGAGGTAATTCATGCATAGAATTCTTTATCATAAGCGTACAATTTACGTCGGGTAGATACATAAATACTATGCAAACCTAACGACTTTTATTTTTCAATCGATTTTATTGGTGACGAAAGGTACGGTTGGACAGGGTCCCTTTCCGCAAGACAGCTTGCAATATAGAGCATATTCCTTCCCAGTCCAACTGATGTTCGAGTCAATGTTTGGGTATCCGTAGGTAATATATTCCTCTCAGTTTGTATCGCACTTAATAAACAGATCCATACCAAGAGGATGACACTTGAGATTGGTTGTCACTGATGATATCTATACAGCTACTGCTCGAAACCTCAGAGGTCCCATTCCAACTCCTAAAGATCGTCCTTGAAGAGGATATTACGCAAACAAACATCTGGATGGATTCCAGTCAAGTGCAATGGTTCGCTGTTTGACATATTACTTAACCCTATGAGCAAACATGACGATATCTGGTAAGACGATTGTAGTTTTCAAAATATAAACAGTTTAAAATCAGCCAGTACGTCAGGGAAGCATTGCACGCATGCTGCTTTATTGGTAACCTTCAGAGTCACCTGGTCGGGTTATAATCTACTGGACAATATTCAATGAATCTTAAGCCACATAATTTTCTAAAAGTTCACGATTGGGCCCAAGTCAAAGTAGTTCAACAGAATTTCGTTGTACCTGTTTGTTGCACGTTTTGGATATGGCAAACTACAATATATTTTATAATGTATGCTGGGATTATTGCGGATATCGATGATGAAAGCGTTAGGTGGCCAAAGGCCCACTTTCAGTTTTGAATTTGTGGCTTGTCCATCCGGCATCCCCTAGGTTGTGCCTAGTGTTTTACAGTTTACAAAGAACAGTAGCATATGGCCATGGTGTGGTAGTTATTTCGTGCTTATTAGGTAATTTCCGTTACGTTACAAGGACTATAAAATTGCTATTGAAGCTTTTTTTTCGTCGTGAACGTTTCGGTATTTTGTGATGAAAAGGTTCAACCTCTATACCCCAATAGTCATCGTAAGATTAATCTTCGGCTTATATGGGAATTGTACAAGTAATGCATACATTAAAATATGGGTCGTGCAAATCAGGTTTCGGTCTCTACCATTTTGATTTAACGAGCACGAGTGGCTTAAGAAGCGTTGTGTGAATAATTTAGAAATTTTACTCATAAGTAAGTAAATTTAGCATTTTAATTGAATTAAACAATATTATGGTTACAAACGATTTTTGCCAAAATGACATTGTACTGTTATCTTAGTGACAAGTGGAACAACTGGCTGTCGAGTGAATAATGCAGGAACTAAAAGGAGACCGATGATGGCTCCGATTAAAAATCATTCTCTGTTAATAAATAAATGTATGTTTCAAACAAACGCTCTATTTAAAAATTAGAATTTAAAAATATTTCGTTCAACCTTGTGTGCAGATATCCGACCATTATCGATATTGAAACTGAGAAGATGGACGAGCTACAGTTTCCTGCTATAACGGTGTGCAACGTAAATCGGTAGCTATCAAGACTTGAATAGTTTTTCAATTGATAATAGTCATGATGTATTTTTTAAAAGTTGTGGTGAGTTATTTTTGAGCCACCGGAAACCCACTGGCAACTAGTTTAGGTAGATAATCGTCTACCAGTTAAAAAAAAAAAAGGTTCACACAATGCAGTATATATATATATATATGTATGTATATAACAGAACAAGCGGATATTGGGCGAACATGAGAGAAGGAAACTTCAAATACTCACTTTAAAAACTTTCGTATCTCGGCTAAATATTATATTAGAAAAACCTGCAAGAACTTACTGCCGTATCAGTCATCCTATAGGAACAATTGTTTACAGAGAATATGTTGAAGCTAAGAGGCTTCAACCAGCTTGTGCAAAAATAAACGAAAAATATATTTCTCAGTCAAATTGAACGGCGCTGCCCGTTCCTATTAATGCTACTTTTGGTGATAAAAAGCTCCATACTTTCAGATTTCGTCGAAGTGAGTGGTGCAAATTCAAAGGCTTCGAGTCGCACACCTGCCTCGACGTAGGCACTGGCCTTGTGTCGAATGTACGTTTAGTACTTAAAAACAATGTTTATAAACTATATTTAGGGTCTGCCCGAAACTTTAATGTTTACCCATTACGGTTTCCTATCTTTTCACATTCTATTTTTCATATAGCACATCTTAATATTTGCAAATATAGACACGATGTAAGGGTAAACTGGGCGCTAAACTTGCGACCAGAAGATCCTGGGCTCAGTTTTTAAGTGAAACTCGTGCGTGAATCATTATCATTATTATCTATAACAATCTCCTTTAGGTGAGTTCAGCTAGGTATATCGCCCATGGAAATTTTGTGGCCGTTAGAAGGCAATCAAGGTTTTGCATCTCTGAATAATTGACAGTTTCTAATAATGAACTCGAGTTGAATTTGTCGCATCTAACTCACTGTACTGCCTTGCGAGTACCTCAGGACGACGAATACACACTCAACCGGACGCTGAAAATTCAAATGGGACATCAGCGTAAGACTATGATTTTCGAAATGAAGAAAACCGTCAATGGGACCGTGTAAGCTGTTGTATCCGTTCTTAGGCTGGCAGAAGTAGCTTTATTCCAGTTTATATGTATAAGTTCCAAAGGATATGTGATTTCGAGAGATTTTTCGAATGATTGTTATTCGAATGATATTAAAAATAACTAGCATACGTTCGCATTGATAACAGATAAAACAGTGTAATCTACGTTGAAATATGCAAGTAAAAGAAAGCTAGCACAAATTACACGTTACTTTATGAGAAACTCATTGACGATGGATATGATGCAGCGACGTGATAGTGGAAAACGGAGGTTTCCGCGAGCAGTTCTTCCATCAGGAGTACAGCAACTGTTTCGTATATAACGCCGAGTGGTCGGGATCAGGAATGGGCGAAAGAGAACGGGCTCGGCAAATCGGTGAAAACCTATCTGAACTAAAGTGCTACGTAGTGATCTCGCTAGCTATGGAAATGTATAATTTTACTTTGTTCTGTTCTTAAATAGCTTACAAAGCACGTTTTACAATACTAATGAAGTCTCTATTCTTTTACAAGAAGCTTTTGTTATCTTCACCGCCGCTCTGCGTACATAATATGGCACGTGCGATAAAATGCAACTTCACAATGAGTCTTATCTCATTCGTTATTACTATTATTATTATTATAAAACTCACATGCTCCACTAGTAAGCAAATGGTCTCAGTAATTTCACTAACAACATATATTAACAAGTGAGTTTCTTTTTTTTTTTTTTTTCGATGGCGTACTAGTACGTGCCGCGTGCTAGTACGGTGACTTTAGAATCAAAGTATTTTTATAGGTACATGCATTGTCACTTATTGTCCTTACTAGTGGTGTTGTTCGGTGCCGTTATCGCAGACATCGAGTTCACGTTGTTTCTCGAGCCAAAGGAGTACCTCAACGCGAAGGAGATCCCAAGCGCACAAATTGTCTTTCACCACCCTGAGATAATACCTGACCCGCAGGATAACGGAATTCCCATCCGTTCCGGTTATGCGCACACATTTACCCTTCGACATCTTGTAACGCGTCGCCTAAAACACCCCTACTGGACAGACTGTAGGGATTATGAAATAGTCAAACGTGACAGATACATCATGCAGATGACCAAATCGGTACGTGACCATCAACCCCTCAAATTAATGACAATAAGAATGATAAAAAGTCACAGATCTCATTCTGCTGTATACAATATAATGTGCGCCAAGAAGACTAGAGCAGAAAGATTGCTTGCTATAAGCATTGATCGAAGGTAGTATTAATCGGACCTATCGTCTCTATCAGAAACTGCAAGCAGATTTTTATCTATCGACTGAGTTCTCCAATGTACGTTTTTTCTACTTTGTTCTGTTTCCTAATTCGAAGTTGTGCGATCGAGAATGTGCTTTTAACGCTTCGCTACAGATGTGTCATTGTATACGGCGAGATATCTCTCTACCATACGAAGTAGACTGGGATAAACAACCGTCTGGAAAGAGACGATTCTGCGATCAAGATATTACGTGTTGGTAACAAACTATCCACTTGCCTATACTATATTTATAATAAAAATAACATTTTTCGCATAGATACATGTAGATTAAGGTAAATGTAAATGAAGTGCATGGCTAATGCATAGTAAAACGTCTTCTAATGCTCCCGTCATCAGATTACCTTACAGGTAGCAGTAACTGGGCAAAGAAATTCTAGAGTATTCCTTTTCAGTTACGCGCTGTTGGGTCAGAGTACTCGATGAAGTCGAAAGATGCATCGATCGTAACTGCAAGAGGCAGTGTTGGTGAGTCCGACAATAGTTATGTAGTATTTTTTTTTTAACTTTTAACAGAAAAGCTGGACATATACATCATTTTCTAAATACGTTTCCTGTTTGAAGGCACATTAATCATAATATACTTAGTGCGCAAAACGATCGTAATTATTCTATTACTATCTAATGAAATTGTTAAGCATTAGATTTTAACGGGCACCTTTGGCACCCTGCTCGTGTCCTCAATTATTAGACGATGTCGAGCTCTTTTTTTTGTTCCATGCTACTCTCGACTGCCGATAAATGATGATAATATTAAATTATACACTACTCCTTGATCTAGCCTCATATCGCCCTTCCCTATTTCCGCCTGACTCTCCTGCTACAGGGAAGATCAATACGAAGTGTCCATTACTCAGGATCCATGGCCGGACCAGTTTTTTTTCGAAGAAGAGAAAGAACGATTTGGACAACTGGAGATAAGCAACTTCCGAGAGGCCAGAATGAATCTTACCCGAGTCAAAATAATTTTTGGAACCCTTAACAAAATCATTTATAGGCATCGTCCCAAGTATGAGGTAAGTATCGCTAGCTGTCGAAGCTTCATTCCTTTGCCATACCAATAAGATAATACAGACGGCAATAAGTAAAGCACCAGGCGCCTTCGCAAAAGTCCAACGTGACAAATAGAGCAAAAGCGTCTTTGCTTTCCTCGACGAGTTCCTTTCCTCAGGGATCGCCTGAACATGAGCACGACTATGGAACTCCATTGATGTTAAGTAGCCCTTAATAAGCACGTCTTTCAAATGTTGATTCCTTTCTCTGATGCGCAGCAAATCGAGTTATTTTCGTACCTGGGCGGTTTTATCGGTATTTGGGTTGGTGTCTCGTTCATGAATGTCCTGGACTACTTGACCGTCGCTCTCAGTTGGTGCATTCACAAAACACACGACTGGAGAAAGGCCCGTAAAGACCCTGTTCAGAGCATACCTTTGAACACGCAGGTAACAAAGGAGGTCTGGTAATGTACCTTCTGTAGGTTGCCTGGAGCTAAATATTTCTCCTTTTGATGGTAATTCCGCAGCGAGAATCAAATGAGAAAAATTCAATTTAATGACGTAACCGAAGACTGGCGAAAATAGAATTAATTGTACTATCAGTGAACTGTGTCTTACACACGATACGTATGTATCTGTGCCCTGCTCTATGCGGCAGATTAAACAAGTACTAACAACATAGAAATTTAAATGAAAGGGTTTGCATGTTTTATCAATTATGACGTATAGCTATTGACAGCGACGTACTTTTATGAGGGACAAGGTCCTAGATCGTCACACGAAATCTTTACAGAATCGCCAGCGGGTCGACATGTTTTAGTTTATATTCAATATTGTTAAGGTCCAACTCAATGTTATATGAATTATATAGAGTCAACTGGAACAATAGCAAATTGAAATGCGGTCGAACAGAGATCACCCAAGCAATGAAAAGTTTGAGATGTTGCAGATGATGTTGCAATAGAACGTATTTAGATTGGCTCGTTCGGAGGAGAAAATTCGCTAGGTACCACTGGAAAAAATAGGCGTTCGTTCCGTCGAGTTGGTGTTCTGTCAACGAACGCTTACGAATGAATAAAAATGTCCTACCTTCGATCCAAAAAGAGATCGAAGGCTAGTTGCGATCTTGAGCTTGTTCTTGTCTCAAGCTTATGAGGTTTGAATAAAATCACCATAAATCTATGGTTAGCTTTCTTCATTTAGCTTCGGCTGCTACTGCCGATAAAATAGATCTGAATAAGGGTTCTGGGACTGCTGACAGCAGCGAAATTAGTGTAACATGAAATTTACATATAAACTCGATCGATCGCCTCGTATACATGCCAATTGCCAACCCCGCGTTCACCATTCATGATAATCTACCCATGAACGGTAGCCGTCAACAAATGTATGTAAAAACATTTAGTAATATTAGAATTGTATAAGTTTGTAATGCTATATGGAAGCACAGCAAACTCGTTGTCAAAGTCTTAATTGAATTAGGTAGGAAGCTCTAATCTTCTTCTATTCTTCCCGTTGTGTTATCACGCGATCGTACGCCGATCAATGCGGCGACAACTCTGGATCTTTCTCATATTACATTATATAGCCTCTCCTCTAAATGATATGTGCTCCTATTACGTCACATACTACTATTTGATCATCATCAGACCAGCATCTCTGTCCATCGCATTAGCATCTGTTGCCATTTAGCATAAGTCAAATGTCAAACAGTTGACTCATCGAGACGCGTTACATTTCTTTAAGCAAAAAAAAAAAATAGAAAAAATAGATTAAAGCAACAACAGGGAAGTCGTCTAAATCCAGCCTTATCAACAAAGTCTAGCGCACGAACGTTCGTTGCGACGTACGATCCCCCTTACGATAAGCAACTTTATTTGCCAATCGCGTATATCTTTCAGACGCACGCTATCGCGAGTCCGCCGGCGTCGGAAAAGACCACTGCTCATCCAGTAACCTGCCACGACACTGATTGCCCGCTCTCCGTACGCAAGTCGTTATTATACAACAAGCGCGATGGTTACGAGAGAAAATATATCCAACGAAAATCGACGCTTTAACGAAAGATGCATAGTAACGTAAACTGTAATCGACCACACGCAGCAGGCGAAGACGTTCGTACGCTGAAGTAAATCGCTTAAGACGTAAAAAATGCTTCTTCAATTGTTCCCCGTTGTGATCGTGCCGAACTGCGGAATGACAGTGCGGAACATCGATGTTGTCCTTGATGTTTATTTGATGACGGTCAGAACTCACGGGGTTCGCCTAACAGACACAGTTTAAAGCACATGAAAACTTAAAGGAGCTTATTTTTTTATAAATGAAGGTCAAACGTAAGAACCTTGAATTAATATACCCGCATGATACCCGGAAAACTCGTATGTTTCGACATTTACGTCCGGTATCGCCGTTATGCATTCGATCGCACGGCTAGCTGCCAGCGCGAAACGAAGTCTGTTTATGCTAGAGTTAGAGCTTAGACTACAACGCGTCCTTAACATCAGCAGGCAACTACGTTATCCACTAAGCTATTATAGGACATTAATAGTCCTAAGCAAATTTCGGTCGCCTGTATCGAAAATTTTACCAATGTATCGAAAATTTTACCAAGCATCTGGCTGTAAGCTGTTGCCGTGAGCCTGTATAGTTTTTTTTTTGCCAGCTTTTAAAAGCACCTAATCGATATGAATTATATAGGCAGTGCTTCCGTTTTGCGGCCAAAAATCACTAGCTAACCGGTTTCTGGTGAAGCCTGCGAGCGTTTCTAAGCTGATGCTCTGCGGTAGAGTCAGTTCTCTATCACCTGAGAGGGATCAAAAGAACTAACACGTTCCCTCAAGCATGCAAACAATATTATTATTCAACAAAAGGACGGCTCACAACTGAGAGATCTAGCGCGATCGCGTAGCAGAGCGTTCCACAGTTAGCTAGTAAAACCGAATATATAAAGGATAGCGCCATTGTACATCAAATATCGGATATACATAATGAAGTCAGCCTATTTCCAGCACTTCGAATACATGGGACATCACATACACTTTCCACAAAACTAATTACCAGTTTATGCGGCGCCGACGCTTTAAAACGTTGTGTAGTCAGTACGGATTGATATTAACACTCAGCTTTACAGCAGTAATAACATTATGCACAAATCGTTGTTGCAATCTCAATCGAGATCTTGCATGCTTTTCGATATCAGATCAATGATTTTCGGTTGGCTTACTGTCGTAGACGTGGTACTTCCAGTTCGACTATCATGTGTTTTTAACGATAATGCAACCGATAGGGTAATGCAAATCATAAATAATAAGAGACCGATTACTCCACATATCAGCCAACTACACATTCTTCGTTTGTTCGAAGATCGACGCGTGGCCTTCGTCTTAACGAAGCTTTCCTGGTGTCGTGGTGGTAAATTTCCCCTATTTAACGAACTTCGACTTTTAGAAATGCTACCTTCTTTCCGCGGCGTAAGTGACGGAGGGACACAATCAAACTTAGGTCCCTCCATTGTAGATTTGTCCCAGGCGTTAAGTCGGCCGGCATTAGGAGATACAGGCTTTCGACCTCTAGCGTTATTGGGAAGAGGTCTGTTGGCGCCTTTCGATTGTTCGGGGGATTGGGAAGATTGTGCAAAGCCACCAGCATTTGGATCCCTTTCTCCCGATATTGGATTTCTGTGCGTCGTAGCTGTGGCAGCGTGGTCCTTCGCGTCCGACGCTGGCGCTCCTGCGTGCGATGGAACTCCCGCACCTTCCCGTTGTAATGCTGCTTGATGTTTTCTCAACCACAAGGCAACTGGCAGGTTTGACTGCTGAGAAGAGGTCACCACCGGCTGCGGTGGCGATGAACTGGCAACTACTAACGGCGAAGCCGTAGATGACAGTGATGGCGAAGACCTGCTGGCTTCCGGCGAGGGAACTTTTTGTATAGGAGGTTTATTAGGCTTCATTTTAGGCGAAATCGTAGTCTTCGAAAAACTTTGACTATGCTTCCGAGAGTGGCTAGGTGGTCTGATTTACAATGCATAAGTACTGAAATTTTGTTTCCCATGTGTCGCTCCGCGAGTAATTTTGAATAGCAGTAAAAGACAACAATCAGCTGGCTGACGGACAAGGGAACAACGACAGCTGACGTGGGTCTTTGCACAGGAAATTGTTTCACGCACGGCGAGTCA